AATTAGCAGTAGAGGTGGTAGAGTTTTAATTTAGTAAAGAAAGACATAGATTCTTTTTTACTAACATTAAAAAAAAAGTGTCTTTATTTTTATATAATAAGTATAGTAGTTTTATCTTTATGTATAATAATATTTAAAATGTTGTTAAAGTATGCTCTAAGTTAGTTAGCATCTACTAGTAATAGTAGAAATAGTGTTAGAGTCTCTAGAATGTAGTATATAACTAGACTAATTAAGTTCTAGATTTATATAGTACTAATTAATTCTTTTAGTGTCTAGCCTTTAAAGCTAATATCTGTTTAGCTAGGTGTTTAATTAATTTCTATACATAAGTTCTCTTATATGTACGCCTTAAGTTAGAACTTGCTAATAGTAAAGATTTTTACTGCGCTTATGTCTTATAGTTTGCCTTAGTATACTATATAGTATTAGTTATTAAGGATAAACTACTTAGTATATTTTTTAAGTTTAATGCTGTAGATGTTTTCTTCTGTTGCATAGTGTAAATAGGTAGCAAAGGTAAAGTAGTTAATAGCTTTTTTAGTATTCTTACTCTTTTATTTTATTTTTTTTATATTATGTAAATTATTTTTTTCTTTAGAGTAACTTTTAAAGTTTTAGATGTATAAGGTAATAGCTTTATATAATAAAGTCTTATTATAAAAATTTTTATATAAGGCAATGTACTAGTTCTTTGCTTATATATAGTTATTATAAGAGTAGTTTAATAACTAACATTCTTTCTTATAGCAGACAAAGCACTTCTTTATTTACATGCAGTTGTCTCTAAATTATAGCCTAAACTTAGATAAAAATCTTCTACATTATTTTTTTCTATGTAGAAGGAAGCTTTTTTCTTATTATGCAAACTTTTATTATGCAGAGTTATATTAGTAGTTTGTGTAGTATGCATTAGGCAGTTTCTAGAGGTATTAGTTTACTCTTTAGTCTATAGTAACTTAAAGTAATGCCTATAAGTTACTAAATAAGGCTTTACATAAAAGCTTAATAGTAAACATAGCATGTTCTAGTTTTAGTTATCCTTAATAGGCTTATATAACAGTAGTATGCAGTAGAATATCTTTTTAAAATTCTATTTTTAGTGCCTTTTATGTAAGTGTAAGCTTATTAATTATTATTTTAAAAACTTTATGTAAACTCTTATTAAAGTTCTTTTATTAGCATTATATAAAAGTTATTATTATCTAGTCTGTCTAGTACTAGCTATAGTTTACATTAGTGTTAAAGTAACTACTTAAAGTATTATATAAATGCTTCTAGTTATGTCTAGGGCCTATGTTATGTATATAGTACATATTTACCTAACCTTTTAAGATATCTAGAAAGATGTTTATGTACTAAGTTTTCTAGATATCTAGCTATTAACATAAATTAATAAAGATCTTTATTTTATTTATAAAAATATTATATAGTTAACTTATATAGTTATTATTTTTTTTTATGCTTTTTAAAATTATATAATTTTGTCTACTAGAAGTTTTTCTTTAGCAGTTTCCCTCTAGGGTAGAAGTTTATACAGGCTGTAATGTGGTATAGATTGTGCAGGTGGTATCAGTGGTGCATACACTACTGCAGGCGGTGGTGTGTACAATTAAGGGTGTGGAGCAGGCGTTGGGTAGGGTGGCATGTATTGTTTGTACAGTGATTAGTGTAGTGCTAGCTAAGGTGTAGAAGCAGGTGATGCTAGTATGTTTAGTGTTAATAGTAGCATTGTGTTTAGTCTGCTTCTGTGCAGAGCCTTATATAGCAATAAAGGTTACGTATAAAGCCTTTTTAGTGTAATTACTTTTTCTTGTGCTATATTATACAGCTTCTAGGCTTAGGTACCTTTAGTGCCTAGCTGTAGTGTAATTCCTTTATCCTCTAGCACTTATATAAGCTCTCTTTTAAACATGCAGCTAAGTGCTAAGAAGTCTTATAGTGTCTATCCTTTAAAATCCTCTATGTATGCACTTAGAAAAGTAGCGCCTTTTTAAGTTATTATGCATAGATTAGTAATTATATAACTTATATATAATTAAGTTTACAGGCTTATTAGAGCCTTTAACATGTTAATCTTGTTATTCTAGTACTCTAGGCTAGTCTTATTTTATAGTGTTACCTCTAATATCTTTATGTCCTTTATAAGTTATTTATATAATAGGAATTGTTTCTTATTCTTTCTATTATTACACAGAGTTGTTAGTTGCTAATAAGATTTTATTATAATAGTATAGTTAATTGCTTTTCTAGTAAATTGCGCAGGTACTGCTATTATCTAGCTGCTAGGTTGTGCAGCTTTAATAGCTTTAGTGTGCGCTTTACACTATCTTCTCTTTACTTTATACAGTAGCAGAGCTTGCTATACAATGTAAAGAATTAATCTGCTATTCTAAAAAATAGGTAACTAAATAAAGTACCTTATAAAGTGTAAGTGCTTTGTTGTTACTCTTCCTAAAAGATAGGTAACAAAACAAAGTGCCTTATAAGGCGTAGAGTTAATTGCTTGTGCAGTAGATTGCGTAGGTACTGCTGTTGTCTAGCTGCTAGGTTGTGCAGCTTTAGTAGTTTTAGTGTGCGTCTTACACTATCTCCTCTTTACTTTGTACAGTAGCAGAGCTTACTGTACAATGTAAAGGATTAATCTGCTATCCTAAAGGATAGGTAACTAAACAAAGTACCTTATAAGGTATAGGTACTCTGCTATTACTCTTCTTAAAAGATAGGTAATAAAATAAAGTACCTTATAAAGCGTAAGTACTTTGTTATTACTTTTGCTAATTTATAGTTAATTAAATTAACTACTAATTAGTGTTAAATAGGCTCTAACAGCTAGCTGCTTATAGTATAAGCACTTAAGTAGTAAAAGTAAGAGTAGTGTACAGTGTGCACAGCGTACAAGGTAGGTAAGGTAAGGGTAATATATTTCTAGTTCTATTGCTCTTGTCTTTCCTCTGTACAGAGGAAAAGGGGGATATCTAGATGTTCGCGCACAGAGGTTCGCGCACGAGCATCATGTGACAGAGATACGTGGTCCTGCTCGTGCGCGATCGCTCGTATCCAGACTGTGACGCTGCTGCTGCGTACGGACATAAGTTATAATTAATGCTTATAAAAATAAAAATTTAAAAGTATATAAATAGTTTACTAACTTTTATAGTTAAGGTGTTTAAAAAAGTTTTTAAAAAAAGTAGTAATAATTACATATAAGCTAGTGTTAGTGTAATAAAAAATTACTAAGCTTTAAGTAGCTAATAAGGCTGCTATATAATATAAATTATATAAAAAAAAGTAAATTAAAGTAGAAAAAACTTTAATAATTTAAAAAAGCTTACACTTAATAGCTTTAAAGAAGTTTAAAACGCGCAGTAATAGAAAAAAGGCAAAGAAGTAGGTGTAAGCTAAAGTAGGTAAGCTATCCTAAAGGCGCTATAAATAGTGTAATTAGACTAGACATAACACGTAAACATGTAAGTAAGAAGTAGAAGTAGTATCTAAATAATATTCTAGGCTGTACTGTACTATATAGTGCTAGAGCAGGTTGTTATAGGCTATAATAGAGTTTGTTAGGGTAGGGTCTTGGCAAAAGTAAGCAACTCAGGTGTGTAAGCAACTTGCCTATAAAGTACGTTATAGTAAAATTAATTTAAAACTACTTATAGCTTAAATAGTAATAAACTAGTTACTTTAAAAGCACTAAAAATATTTTTATACTTAAAAAATATTTTTTAAGCTTTATTAAATATACTATAAAAGGTTTTTTTTTAATTAATAATAGTTTTTAGTATTTATTTATAAAGCTAGCTAGCTTAGCTAAGTAGGCTAATAAAAAAGTTTAAACATATAAACATTAAAAAGCTATAGTGTATAGGTTATATATAGTAGGTATATAGCTAGAAGGATTTTATTATTGTTATAGTACTTAATAAACTTTATTAAAACATGTAATTTATAGCTATTTAAAAATAAAAGTTAGTACACTTATTACACTTTTACTTTAGTTTTATAATTAAACATATGTTTAAGCTATGCTAGGCCTAGTTTATTATTTATTTAACTTATAAGTAATAAAGTAAAAAAAGCTTAATACTTATAAAAGTTAAAATTTTATAGCTAAAAGTCTTATATATAGTTAAAAATAGCTTAGTAAATTAGTGTAAGTGTAAAAAAGCTACTATTAGCATAAATATAAGCTATTATTATAATTTACTTATAATTACTATTTTATATAAGCTACTACTTAATACTTTACTTATACTACTATTTAAAGAAGATTTATTTTATTTTTAATAGTACTTTAATTAAAAAGCTCTTTTTATTTATATTATAAGTATACTATAGTTCTATGCTATATTACTTAATTTTTTTATGTACAAGCCTAAAATATAGTAAGTACTTAAATGCTAAGTTAGCTTTATTACACATAGCGTCTATGCTAGATGTCTATTAAAATAATAAGTTAATAAAGTGCTTTTTAATAAATTAATTAACTTAGCTTTTACTAGCTTACTTACTACTTATTTTTATTATAAAATTTTAAATTATCTATTTTAAAAAAATAGACTTTTTATATAAAGTTTATTAATATACTTTGCTAGCTTTTTTTTCTGCACTAGGCTAAGTAGTTGCTAATTTTTAAGTTTCTCTGCACATAGGCAGGTAACGTGTTGGTGACGCCTTAAGAGCGTAGATTAATTAATGCTATACTGCTTAGCTACTGCAGCATAATTTAGTAATTCTCTAGGTTTTAGCAATTTTAGCAACCCTAGAGCGGCCTTAATACTGCCTATATTAGTTGAGAGAGAGGTGGTTGAAGTTTTGACAGCTTCGCGCAGAACCGTGCATTACGCGAGGCCGTGCATTACACGCTAAAACACAGTAAGCGCTTCAAGGTACCCTTCTCCAGGGGTCAGACGCCGGCATCCATGGGACCAGGAAGGAATAAAATGCTGCTTCGAGTCTTCTTGGTCACCCAGACGAGCGACCATGGAATCTTGCATAGCCTTTTCGCGGCTATGTTTAAATCCGGATCCTTGATAGAACTTGTCCCAACCACGGACAATCGCCTTTTCGGCTTCGGTACAGTATTTCAGGTGGCAATTGGGATAATCTCAAAAACATAGTCTTTCCATGTCATTGTACCGATGTTTTCTTGCAGCTTGGGGATTCAAGGCCTCCGAATCGTCTTCCTTGTTGGAAATACTACTGCCGAATTGGGGTACGATATACGTACAATTTCACTTAAAAACGGTCAGTTACGAAGCTACCTCGGCAATATTGGGCACCATATATAAGGAGCTCAAGCTAGTTCCAATCACAGCTACCCGCTTTCCCGTCCGGTCGAGGTCCCGTGACCAGTTTGCGGACTGGGCGAGAATACCTTTGAAGTCGTGCAGTCCTTTCCTTTCTAGCAATTTCTATTTCTAGAAGACTCTAGATCCGTTTATAAGGACCTGGCAGGTATCGAATGAGAAATTATAGGTATGTGCTAGGGTCCACTATGTTCCACTGATAACTTCATTCTTCTCGTAGCAAACCAACTGGTAATCTGCAAAGACCTTGCGAGCTTTATGAGCTGCGAGAAGGCCACTAGTGCCTATGCTGACATGAATGATTCTGATTGGCCGAGAGTAGCATTGTGGAGAGTCAGGGATATACATGTCCCGTACTGCTGCATGAGGCATCTTAGATCAAGACCAAACTACCCTGCCGGGAGAGTTGGTGAGGGAATGAAGAGGAGAAATGCCACATCCAGGAAGATAAATATGCAATTGCCATTTTTTTTTAGTGGACCTCCGGAAACCTTACAAACTCCATAGCTGCTTAGAAATGTGTAAGAGGGCTTCTGAGGTCTAGGAAGAGAGACAAGGCGTGACTTAAGAATCGGAGTAAAATGAAAAAGTATTGGAAGTATGTGGAATCATTAGCTTCCAGTGTTGAAGCCCCGCACTAGGGAAATGCGAACCGACGCCGATCTCGAATGAGGGGCCTTGGAATGCGAAGTTCGCAGAATCTGTAACCAGATAACGCCAAAAAGGCGGCCCTTCGAGAGATAAATATCTGGAAAGGAGGTGAAATAAAACTTATTCCTCAGCGTATCTGACGCTAAGCAGAATGAAGGGGCACCAGGTAACCCACCTTGCTTAACTCGGTATTACTCGCAATCTGTGGTTGGAACGCGAGACGTTGGAGCTTCCAAATTCCTCTCGAAGCGCCAGTCTTGAGCAACGAGCTGAATCGGTGGCTTACGGATTTAGATACTCCCTTCTAAAGTCCTAAACAATAAAGGATGCTAAAATTGTCTCATGTTTTTGTTGAGGTTTCGTTTTATCTAGGAGTCCTGGTCACGCGAAGAAATGATCGCATTCGCTAACTACAATTATAAGTGGGTATGGGCGTCGTATCAAATTCCTATTAAAAACTACCTATACGATTGTTCTAGTATCTCTGACCAACATCTCTGTACTACTTCCTCGATCAGTTCGAATTCCCTTCTCGCCACTGTTGCTATAACGATCGTTCTTGTCTTCAACTCTCACATGAAACTCCGTTACGACTTGTATCCTGTCGTCGCGATTGTCGTGGTTACCGACATCGCTCGAGGGTCGCGAGTCTTTTGACCCTTTTAGCTCAATCCCACCAAGTACTGTACTAGGACCAGCTGATTGACGGCCGTATAAGCTGCGACCAAACATTCGAGAACTATTAGGTCCAGATTTGAACTTGGAAGAAAAAATACCGGGAAAGTAACGTGCCATTAGAGGCCGCAGGCATGGTAAGCAAGAGCAAATGATGCCAACGTTCGTTTCGACCGAGCTCCAAGAAGCTGCCGGCGGGTTGTCGAAGGTTGGGTCACTAGAATTTGAGATTGCTACGAGAGATTGAAGGCGCAGGATGGATACGACGCAGACACTAACGAAGCAATGTATCAGCGTAAAGGAAGTGGCAATCTCAAACTTGATTGTGGGTAGATTGAGTAAGGAGCCATATGGAACATGGAGACTGCATTTTCCGTTCCAGCATTACACAGGTTACCAAGCATTTGGTTGGAACAACATGTTTGATTTCCTTTGATGCACAAGAAAAGCTGAGAGGTTGACTTACAATCCACCAAGGGCGAATACAGCGACCAGAGCTTGCTTCTGGCGTCGCGCAAGGTTGAGATTCCTAATCACTGGCATGGGCAGTATAATAATGGCGAAGTCGGTCAAGATGTTGATTCCGGCATTGGTAAACCACATCACGAACTGGTTGATGCATTTTGACGGCTCCTTAGTCCAGAAGGCGCGCACTGGGACGCACGCAAAAATGCTTCCGAATACCGCCCAGACAGTGTAGGCAATAACTACTGTCATAATGGACCAGCAAGCGATCTGAAAGCTTCTCGTCGGAAAGACTCGGCGGTACTGTAGGAGAATCGAAGTCTTTGTGAGACCAAGCGAGAGGTAGTAAACAATAAGGCTAGCCCAGAACGCCTGCAGTGTAATGTCAGCCTTGAACCATTGGAGAGAATTACTTCAACTACCTTCAATGAGCTGCGCATATCATTCGCTAATAGTTCCCAAATATGTTGGCCCATCCCATATTCAACCTCTAGTCAATTTAGAATGTCTTAGCATAGTTTGGGATGAAAGAGCATACGTATGCCGATACATATGGTCAGTCCAGTCGAACAGAACTAAATAAAATGTTACTTTGATAGAGTGCGGTTATGATCGAGGATTACATACCATAGCTAGAGTGATGAAGTAGTCCTCTATGCCGGCGCACCGAACGATGAAGAAGCGCGTGTACAAGCGAAGACCGACAATGGTGAATGCAAGGGCAGTGAAGACGCCTGAGACTTCGATGGCTTCTTTTCCGCGATGTCCGGTAGGCGACATGATGGATATTAGTCCACTTTACGTGTAGTAATGAAAGCAATCTTTACATAGGGCTTAGAAGAAAGGACTAATGCTTACTGCAGCCCTGGGCGGGCGTGAACCACATATACTCCTGAAGCCCTGAATGGAAGCACTCGGACGCCAATTGCCCGATGAATTGGGTTGACAGGGGGATGGCTGAAAAGTGAGATTCGCCCCGCAATTCCTTCAGTCGATGTGACAAGCAACGGCCTGGGAGAGTTTAAGGGGTGAAAGAGAGGCAGGCACCACCAGGAGAAACCGTGGAGATGGTATCATGGCCACATAGGCAGTGATCGTCTCCATGGGGGGTCCCGATGAGGTGGAATGAACCCCCGAAAATGTTAGTGGCTTGTTTGTGGCAAGTCTGCGTGTTCCTTGATGGAACAACAAGGTACTAACTACCTAAACAGTAACCGAAGACGATAAGGTTCAGGCGCCGTCGTGCCGCCAGTGGTCGTTCTAATGATATCGGCGTGGTGCCTGTAGCACGTATCTGATACAAGAGGTTTCACGAACGTTAGGAAGAAGACATCCAGAACTTTGAGAATGCTGGTTTCTGGGTTCCTGGGTTCCAGCATCTATGCGTGGCTGGCGTCAGCAACAATTACTAGAAATTATGACCGTTAGTAGTTCATGAACTAGAGGAATTTTTGCGTTTAAGAGTGGACGCTCGCAAATTTGTACACCTCAATCCAGGACCGCTGGAGCAACACGAGCTGTGGAGAAGGGTAAGCAGTAGCCATGAACAGAAGCGGCCATAGAATGGATCAATCTCGTCACAGTGCATACCTTTCTCTGCCTTGGCAGCTTGACGTGCAGGTAGAAAAGCAGTCTGAACAGTGTGGTTGGTGGGCCGAGGTTAGCCGAGAAATAATCGACCGAAGCGTTCGTTTCAGGAGGTGCAAGTGAACCGCGGGAGCGCCGATCGCTTTGCTCGCACGTGATTCTAGTTCTCCTTACCCGTGTCGATTACGTACCAATATTATTCCCGAAGACACGTCCAGACACCATCATGAAAGCCCTGCTATTGCAGACTGCGAGCCTCACTGTAACTTCTCCGCTGTCAAATCACTTACGATGTCCGCCACCACCTCCATGCCGCATGCTAAATGTTTGAGCGTTGGTTAAGGCCTCCTTGACGGCCCGAATTCAACACCTTGCATCCAACATGAAATGTGGACGTTCCCGATGGCGTTATTAGGTCCAGCGTTAACACCTAACGGTCTACTACCCGCACTCGTCCCTGGGCATGAATGCACTCGTACGTAGAAGCTTTTGTGAAGCTATTGGGAGAACCAGAGGCATGAGGAACTGGGTTGATTGATAAAGGAGTTTACCTAAGGGTCCATATATGCAGAGGAGTGGACTAGGGAGCAGTGGTTTCATGGTGGTGGAGTTCGGAGAGCTCGGTAACTGCAAACAGCTTTGCTAAGAAACCCCTGCTTCGAAAGGGGCCTGATCTCTTTAGAGAATCGTTTAGGGGATATAATATCCGCATCGAAATCTTAATACCCAAACCTCTTTTGCTCAAGTCTACCCGATCTGCACATGTCTGCCACATCGGCGTCTTAAAGCGACAAGTCTGATGCCAATCCTCCCTATGCAACTTCTGCTCCTCCGTTTACAGAATCACATCCAACCCCCCATCTTGACTTGGGAACGTGCATTCGTCACCGCATGGGCAATTTTCGATCAGACCTCTCGCCTGATCTTCGAGACTGGGTCGTGCTAGAACCAATCGCTTCCGTTATGGAAAATTTACGAGCACCTGACGCAGATGACAGATATAGTCTGTCCATAATATGGTATCTAGCATCTATTGAAACCTTCTTTTGGGCCTTCTTCGATAATCTGACGACAGCGCTTCGCAACTCACAAAGAACACGGAATGGGTCGATCAACGAAGATCATTCACCATACGCTTGGCGCAGTCATACTCAGCCTAGCAAATAACATTAACATCCACATCGGTATATACGCGGGATCTTACTTAAAATTTTGAAGAAACGGTATTTGGAAGTCTCACCCACTATACTTCGAATTCTTGAGCTTCAAACTAGTTCATGAATCACGGCATGTCTGCACTTGCTACAAACCGGAATCAATCTAATCTAGAATATAGCTTTTCCGTCAATCCCAGCAACAAGTCGGATCAATCAATATTTAGCAATTCATGATTTTCTGCCCTAAGCTATGGGAGTGGACATGTAGAGCGCCGAGGTTTCAGTCATCGTCTTTTCCATTCCCAATCCAAAACAACAACCTACCTTTTAGTTCGCACCACTGAAGAAGAATCTAGCCTCAGATATGGGGTACCCTTTTCCTTTTCACCTCTATATGGCGCTTATCTCCTAGGCCACAATTTTAAAGAACTGAATGTGGCGCCTCTGGGCAATGCTCTTCCGACCATTAGGGGAAGTGCGAGCTCAAGGCCCAATCAAGCGGACATGCTACCAATACACGCAACCACGCGATATTTGCCAAGGGCATATGAAACGAATGAGAGGAAAGGTAGACGACGATGTTGACTCAAAAACCCCTAAACCCATCTTCTATATCAATAGCTCCCTTGCCAATACATCTCCTGCCAATTCTCCATGAGATGAGTCTCTTTGATACAACCACCTCCAAGTTTCTATGTGAACGAGGGGATTTGTCTTTAGTCTTTGGATATGTCATTCTCACGATCACCCCGGCTTTAATTGTGCTGCAGGAGAAGTTTCAAATAGTTGGTGGAGACCCATCAAAATGTAGCATTAGGAGACACCTGCGCCGAGGCCATGTCTGGGGAAAGAATGAAGTATCTCCTGCTGCCAGGTTGTTCCCGGAGAAGCCGGAGAAGCCAATAGCTGTGCCAGATCCCCCCTGTCCTAGTCCAAAATGCACGCTCTATTTTTTAAAACCATTCAGAATGCTCAAAAGCATGAAGGGCAGTCTCCACATTCGGCCAAGATGTAAGATGATAACCAAGGTGCTCTTGATCAATGGAACCTAGCTTGGCTTGTCCTGTAGCCTTGTGTTACTTTCCCCGTTCGGCGGGTTGCACATGCGAAAAGTGGGGCTAGCTGTATGGGGATGAGACTTCGCAAAGCTCGATTGTTTGTACGCTGCCGCTTCTCATACCATGTGCAATCGGAACGCAAACTCTTTCGACGTTTTAAGCTTGGGGATCCTAGTACCTGGGTATCACATGGAACTTTGCGCCGATGCCATGTCGAGCATGCTGCTCGGCTTGCAATATGGGCAGTCCAAGAAAACTTCATCTTGAACTCGTTGGGATCGTTCCTATACTGGTTCTTGGATGTAATGGTTCAGGGCCACTGTTCTGAAGTGACTAAATTCGCGAGATATTGCGCATATTAAAGTCCACTGCTGGTGCCGTTGTATTTGTCCAGGTGATAGAAGAAATAGGATTCCGATATTCCGAAGTCCGACCGCGGCTAAACCAAGATCTACCAGTGCTATCCTAGACTTTACAATCTTCGGTAACTGCATTTACGTATGCATGATGTCACGCCGAGGTTGAAAAGCCTGATGTTCATTTGCAAACTTAGTTCAACGTAGAATGTGGAAATTGAGAGCCTCAACAAATTCCAGAAGATATCCTCGCAAAATCCTTGTCGCACTCCCGTTGTCTTCCTCAAACATGCCCGGAATAGGCTTACTCGCCATGGCGTTAACTAGAAGTCTTCCACTAGGTAGTAAAGAGCCCGCGAGTGACAAGTGACCCTCTAATCCCATGCCAACCAACATGGTGCTTATTTAGTACCTCACTCTATATTGCAAGTCTGCTATCTTCGCTGATCGAACAAAACCGCAGAAGATAATTCGACGACTCCTAATGGAAGCCAAAAATCCGTTTGGTGTGCACTGGGTTTGCATAGTGGGCTTTCTCGCCAGTCACAGGGTGGGCAAATACGGCGGTGTGTTCCTGGGTCAATTGATCCCTTCGCACTATTGAGAATTTCCTGAATAACTCTCTTATCGTTGGAATGAATACCAGTCAGCCCTTCCAACCACTTTCGAAATCTCGGAGAAAATGCCTTGAACTGTGCTGCCTAGAACGATACCAGTATATCTCGCCAGGGGACTGGATAAACTACGCGAGTAGTGACTTGAGCATTCCGATGAAGGTAATTCCTGGCAGCTATGCTTCCTGGGATTGGCTGGATCCCATTGAATGGGGAACAGCCTTTCGTGGAATGCCAGACACAAAGACAATCTTTGTTGGTGTATGGTCATGTGCTCCTCCGATCGAGCAACCGGATGCGGTGCCCAACCGTGGATATGAAAGGGGACTGAGGTTGCTGACTTCTGTGGAGCCCTAAAGTTGATATCATGGAAATTCTGGTTTATGAAGACTAACGCATATCATTTGGCCGCAAAATAATTCTCACTCCTCGAAACCAGCGTCAAAGAGTTGAGAGAGCTGAACAAGTTCGAATTCAATACCACACTGCGGCAAGATGCCGGCCGCTTTCGTGGCTGTTCCAAGAATATTCAGGAGTTTTGGTTACGCGCGGTGATCTGGATCGAAAATATTCAAAACTTCTAGTAACTTCTACTTTCTCGAAAGGATCGTATAAAACTATTAGCAATTAAATTTAAGCCTCTGACGGTTCATTGGAGCATAGGCATATAGTCTAGATACTAGGGAGACCCGTCCTCATTCTTTAGATGCTTGGCCAACTTCGTTGCCATGAGATCGTTAAAGACTGGTACTCCAGTGAGTCCTAAAGTCACAGTGACATAGTGGTATGAACAACGGCAAGAGTGGATATCGAAGCGTTCGCGCGAGGTCTGGATATGCGTTGTTCAGAATTTGAAGAGGAGAACCAATAGCATCTCTATCTAATAACCTCAGGGCGTATTCAGAGATCTGAAGCCCCCCCGAGCAGTAGGAAAATGGAGTACACAGTCCTCACGTAGCCCATGATTTCGCAGACTGTGAGGTCCTGCTCCCCAGCTCTCGGCGACAGCTCGCGAATGCATGTTTCTTCCGGATCCAAGCAACGTCACCGACCCGGAGGCAAATGTAGACTTTGGTGAAGGATTTTGAGGCTGCCTACTTCGACAACAGAAAGTAATGACAGCAAGGGTCGTCCACGATACAAATATGAGGGAACCTGGCTCGTGCACCGTCCTCACATACTCTACGCCAAATGAAATCTTCGGTACTTTTATAGCTCATCATCTGTTCGGTCCACACATAGCCGGCATGCATCCTGACTACTGGTACACGCCTTCCATTGCCCCAGAGTTCCTATCCCACCTTCTGGATACTAGGAGCTCTATTCTTTTCGATATAATTGAAGCCTTGACTCTGCTTACCAGTGGGATTGCATACATTTAGGAACGTTGTCGTGTGCCAAGAATTTGGATGGTAGTATCGGCTCGAACATTTATTTAGCTGAGCAAGCCCAGCGGACTAGTTTGCCCCTTATGATTCGGGTTTTCCGTTGGGGCGCGGCCGCGATCAGCGCAATGACTCCTGGATCTATACTATTGATATTTGATGAGGAAAGGGAATCTCCGATGGGAAAAGTTGGGTCCAGCTGAGATTCAGGGACAGAATGCATATCTATGGGAGATGGATGAGCATTCGCCATTATTCACGTACATTTTATAAAGCATATTGATTATAAGAAAGAGAATTCTCGGAATTTGTTTTGTGACCGAGAAGCGGCATTCTTCGTTCAAATGAGAGCATAAAAGTGGTTGCTTTAACCTTCGATTCTGATGTTAACCCGAGGCGCCCAGAATTGGTACGTCGATATTGTCGGTATTGCAGGTAGTGTCAGAATCACTAGTATTGTGCATTGATTGCGCCTCGAATGCAATTCATGGTAAAGGTCCGAGCTCTCAGCAGCTGAGCAAACAGTATAAACTTCCCTGAGAACCGGCGCTTTCGTCCTCTCGAATTCAATCCTTGCATCAATTTGCAGAACTGTGCCAGCAAATCACGACCAGTTGTGTTTCGATTCTTGCCCAAGGGAATATACACGCCCCTCCCTACATTCTTCAACAGCCGGGGAGGATCTGGGCAATAACTCTTTCAAAACTCAAGTACTCAGTTTTCAGGGAGATATTTCCAGAATTATAGGGCCTAACAGGAAAAGCCGCAGATCAAGTAAGTCTTCTCTCCTCTTCGCCCATGTCGTACGCGGCCAACCTGTTGTCAGGCGCACAAAAAACGAAGCCCTTTCATACAAGCCGCCCGAGATACGCCCGCCGAATTGAATATCTCCATGTTCCAGTCCAGAGAATCTGTCCTGCTAGCCACTGGGCAGCAAAAGCTAGTAACGATTTTCGTTATGGTGATTCCTCCAGCACACTTTGCTTCCATGCAGTCCACAAATAGAGCAGCGCTCAAGGATTTCTTTGTAGGAATTGCAGTAGCAAGCCCGGTTTACGGCAACGGTGGATGACCTCCGAGTTCCAAGTGCGCTATGCAAGGAAGCGTAATGTCGAAAAAGGGCAATGGTCGAGCTTCTTTCAGGTTATTTAATGGAAACATCGATATCTTCAGGCCAAGCTTGCGGGCAGTGCTGCAGGTGCGACCTCCGTCTAACAAACTTTGCTCCAGTGAGTTAAATCCAGTGACATTCTTTAGGGAACCACCTGGCAGAGTGGATAGCGAACATGTGTCCGGCGATGGGAGCTTCCGCCCGGTGAACGAACGCCTTCGCGGTTACAGCGGTGGCGCACTAATGCAAAGCGCACAGAAAGAGAAGGTGAGGTAGACTGATCGTAAATACGTGTTCGAGGAAGAAGAGGAGGGAGCTGTGCAGAGTGAATCGGGATTTGCAGATGAGGCACGTGTAAAGAGTGAAATTAGTGCCTTCCTAAATTGGTTGCCCCTGCCAAGAGGCTAAAACCGCATATCCTTCAACGCTCCATTTCTCCCTCCGATATCAAGAGCGAATCAAGATGGAAGGCAGTGGGCATGTTTCCCATCACAGCCACTTCAATTTATAACCCAGGTCAATCACAGCTCGGCGTCTTTGACGGTGCCTTAACAATCGCGGCATTGCCACCCAAGCGAAGGCTAGCGCATCTCATGAGATAGAACAATGGGACGTAGTACTAACTTCCCGAGCAAGACCATTGAGTATAAACATCTCTGTATCCCCAACTACGCTCTTTACGCCTGTTCTATACTTGCCTTTGTTGCTTCTCCTTCGGCACAAGTTCCGAAGGACAGTGTTTTGTGTGTCATCAACTCTTCTAACACTGATCGTTTCACCATGATGCAGCCCTGGCTTCTGCTCGCTATTCTTCCTTTTACGCAAGCTGCACGCGTCATTCAATCCAATGACGATGGATGGGCAGAGATTAACATTCGAACATTCTACGAAGCGCTCACCGACGCTGGCCACGACGTAGTTCTCTCGGCTCCTGCAGAGAATCAGTCAGGAAGAGGTATGTTATCAGCCAAAAGCACTTCCTCAAATTATGGGATATTAACTAATGCAGGCTCTTCTGATGCGGCACCCGGGGTGGTCGACTCTGATGGATGCGAATTCAGCAGTTGCGCAGGAGGAAGTCCGCCGACAGGCTCAAACTCATCAGACCCACGTCTCAACTACGTGAACTCGTTTCCGGTGACGAGCATTAAGGCTGGAATCGACACGACGGCGCCGAAGTTCTTCGATGGTGCGAAGCCAGAAATCGCTCTGACAGGTCCAAATGTAGGCAGTAATGTGGCCATCCAGGTTCCTTTCTCTGGCACAGTAGGCGCAGCTGTTTATGCCGCAAAGAACGCTGGCATTCCATCAATCGCATTCTCGGGAAGCACTGGAGAGCAAACCGCTTGGAATAAACCCACGCCATTGTATAGCCAAATTTACGCAGACTTGGCTCTCAACATCACGTCCACCGTCCTCGCTTCTGGCATGCCCTACCTACCCGCCTCAGCTTGGCTGAATGTGAATTTCCCTGCAGTCAGCTCAACAAAATGCAACACTGTAAATCAGTTCAAATTCATATTAACCAGAATCTACTCTGGTGTCTTCAGCCCCAAGGATGTTACCTGGTGTGGAACTGATCGACTTCCTACTGAGCTAAGCGTGGTAACGAGGGAGGGCTGCTATGTTACGATCAGTATGGGGGATGCAGATGATAAGACGGACATCAACGATGAGCGCCAGACACAGATACTCACCAAGTTGAAGCCTATCCTCTCATGCTTGCCTTAGTCAAAATTGCAAAATGGTACACGCAAATTCGAAAACAAATGGCTCACTTCCTATCTTTGAGCGGTTGACTTCGCGTCAGTGTTGTCTCAAATTTACTGATTTCAAACCACTTGCTTTGGGATATTCTAGAAGTCCTGGCTCCATAGCCCTAAGTCCCAAATCCAGATTGGTAGTCATTTTTCCTGCCAGTCGACGATGACTGGCATGGTGTAAGTCTATCGCATAATCATATTTCCACCAGTAATCTCTTTCTCCAGTATCAGATCTCATCTACGTAGGCCGACTACCCGTTCCAAGCATTGAGAGGGTACCCGGTTCCAGGTTGCTCTCCCCATCTCTTTTCGTTATTTCCACGGGATTGCCGCAGCGCTTTCAGGCTCAGAAGCGCCTTCTTCACGCCACACAACGCCATTGAACTTGAGCAAGCTCTGCGACGCCTTAATACAAACTGTTATTACTTCAACGCTTCTCGTGTGAGGCACATGCAGCATGACAAGTAAGGCAATTCACCACCTAAGCAAGCGCATCAAACGATTCCGTAATCCAGGACTGCGGCCTTCACCACCTGGCAACACGTCAGAATTTATGCACAAAACATAGTTTCCCTCACTTCCACACCCTCACTCGTCACCCTATTTTCCGCATAGTTAGGCAGAATGCGTTGCGGCGTTCCATGTCCGACACCCGTGACGCTCCCAGTTTCAGACCAGGCAAGAAGGCATCAACATCGCATTGCACGACCACTTGACAATATTTTCCGTACCAAATGACGAGAGTACTGAGTGATGAAAAAATGCGCTGTAGATGTGCATTATATATGGCCATGGACATGCCTCGTTCAGCTCAGAGGTGCATATATCCATCCACTCTTTTCAGCGTTTCTCTTCACTCACTTGCGCTTGGACGCAGTTACCATTTTACAACTCCACGACTTTTTATTCCAAATAATCACTCTTTCGAACCACCGAATACGACCAAACCATCCAACAAAATGAAGTTCACAACCGCCTTCGTTGTCCTAGCCACCGTTGCCGCAGCCAACGCCCGCCTCCTCTATGCCCGTACCCCACAAGCCAACAGTCAGAAATTCACTGGCGCGCTTGGTGGAATTGCGGCAACCCCGGTTCTCGATTCTGGAAATGCGGATAGGCCATTTAGCGTGAAAGGTGATACATTCGTGAATATTGGTGCTGCGCTTCAGCGGTCTTGCGACCAGCAATTCAACGCTTGCGCGAATGCGGCGAATGCAGGTGCCGTGGATTTCTCGTCCTCGGATTGTCAAGATCAGAAGAGTGAGTAGCCGTTCTTTTTCATTTCTCGTGTGTAGGGAATATTACTGACTGCTTGGGATAGCTCAATGCTCTGCTGCCAACTAGATACTGAATCACATCTTGGCGTTATCCATAAGCAAGGACAGTAACTGTGTCACGGTGTCCCATATCTCTGGGAGTTCCATGACTGACAACGTCTGTTACGCAAGACGACATTCATAGACATGATGTAAAACTCTGTTGAAATATATGCCTTCTGTCTCGCTTATCTGCGCTTTTCTGTGGTTCTTTCCCGCAAATGATTTCCATTCTCTTCCAAAAGCATCTCTGCGCCACCTCCTTTAGACTTCCTTGAATTCCTTCCATTTCTCTGGACTGTGTGCGCATCACTAGCCCCTAGTTTCTAGACATTGCACGAGTTGGACCTGCCTGCGCCAAGCCAAACTGACCCACCAACAGCCATTGTCTCTCGTTCTTATTGACACATTGTAGGGGTATACTGCATCTAAGAACATGTTAAGCGCCGGGGCACCTCGATGTCAATGCGTAGTGCTTACACAGGTTTTGAGGGCTCGTCTCTGAACCTCGATCGTTAAACGTCAAGCCATACCTCTCGCACAAAGGAGAGAACAAAACACAGCGGTTTACCTCAACCTGCCAAGACCGGGTAAAATTACATGAGTGTAGACATCCCAAGAAGTTTCATCAATTCTCCGGCCTCCATTTTGGCTTGGCCAGAAACCAGCTTGCGGAGCGCCTTCAATAGCCCCATTGGATCGTGCCGCTATATCAGTCGATTCACCAAACCATTCACAGAAGCTTTCAAAGCGTCTTTATTTGGCTGTAGGAATAGAAATGGTCACCTGCCATTCTTGCAGAGCGCTTCCTCTCAGCTAACCTTCTAATAGAATTTGTCTCCATTGTAGGGCACTAGCCTTTCACGGTCATACTCAGATCATTTCCCACAGCCATAATCGGAAATGCTATAGACTCGATGGCATGATAGTAGTCCCTCCGTATCTCGAGAGGACTCGGTGGTATATCGGTTTTCCACCTGTCAAGTGTGACCGCAAATCTTTCGTATCCAATTACCTGAGAGGTTCCCGCTCTCACAGCCAGCCCCCAAAACTCGTTCTGCATAGGCTATTCGCCAGGGAGAACCTACAGAAGGGGCTGTGCAGTGAATCCGGTAGGATCCATGAGCGGGAGAGGGTTGATCAAGACTACCACTGCGCTCTCAGTGGATGGTCCAATGAACATTGACCTGGAACCCGGGCGTAACACTACATAATGATTCATTTTGGAGTTCTTCATTAGCTGAGCCAACCTTAGGTTCAGAACGCGAACAGGGCTTAACATGTGCTAGTTCATTCTTGCAGCACTCATGTCCGCAGGGAGTTGAATTTGGCGTAGTTCACGGCAGTAAACCAAGTCATGAATATCCAGACATTTCACAGGGATATGAGGCTTTAGAATTGTTCTGGTATGCGTTTAAGGAGATCCCGGAGTCAAGTCTACGCCATTCTTCTCTTAGCGTGTACAGGCAGAAAGGAAAGAGTGGTACATTTGCAAAAGATCGTGAAAAGTGATTTTGCAACCGCCGGCACCAGCAAAGCCCCGACCTCATCGGCCTTTCTCAATTGTGCTACGATGAAGTGCTAGTTGTGTTCCTTTCCTGCAGCTTGGTATACTTTATACTGCCCATTTTATTCAAAATTCGAGTAATCTGATGTATTACTCTTTTTCATCTCATCTTAAACCTATTTTCTACTTACTGTACAACTTCCCCGAGCCATGCTTTAGCTAAATACCGCGATGACCGTCAGCGTATCATGCGTAGAAGGGAGATAGACATATTTAGCTTCAGTAAAGCTTCGAAAATATGGTGAAGTCTCCTTGTGTCGGGCTTATTCTCGTTAACTTGGAGCAAAACACAAGATCCGAGAAGAACCAAACACCGTTCTCTATCCGTCCTACCACTGCTAACATATTCTCTAGCAAAACGAATGTTAAAAGAATAAAATTCTACAAAGCATTAATGAGAAAGGAAGAAGATCAAAACATGATAACGACTACTAACAATGCGGTTCACACGAAAAGGAAGATGTTACTAATATTCACTTTCATGGAGAAATACCTTCAAGCCGCTGTGGCTTTCATAGATCATTACATTGACCATTAGAATAAGCTCTTAGTCGGCAATGACGAAGCTGACTAGTCTGAACCACGCAACTTCACCGACATCATCGATCGCCTTGTCTATGATAGTCTCGGTGTTATCTAGTTTAGGAAGTCCTTTGAGATCACAGTGCCTAGGTGATAGTCCCGTAAGAGCTGTCCTAAATCCTATAGAAGAAGCGTAAGAATTGTGAAACTGCTGGTTTGGCTCGTGTTAATTCGCTTAGATTGCCAGACCACCACTGGTTGGAGCCATCCCAAGGCTCCGACCGAGAAGAATCGCAAGTGAGACTTTTAAAAAGCAATCCAAAACCGAGGGGTGTCAAGTTGTAAGCGTGAACCTTGGAAACTAAGACGGCCGGAGTGATTGATTCCGGACAGAACAAGTAGCATCTGCAGAAGGCGTTAGTTGTAACGATGTTTGGGCGTTTGCCGCCACCTGGAGGACAAATTGAGGTTAGTGCTACAGGCATATTTAACCCAAGTGAGAGTAGCGTATCGGAAATCCGCGGCCCAATCAATCTCAGCAGTGTCATTCCAGCTTCTCCTCTCATGACTCCTCACACTTCGACGACCGCGCTTACGGGTTTAATTCCACCCCTTAACCCTCTGCTCGACCATGGATGACAGTGAATTGGAAATAATTGTATCCCACAATCCCTCTTTGGCTGTCCCTACTGCTCAGCATCTTCCGGTGCATCGCCAGAGATCCAATGGTCAAGTCAAGCCAACATCAACACCTTCTGGGGAATCCGAAACTGCATCTTTAAATCCTTCTCTAAAGCCCACCAAATACGATATAGGATGGCGACGAGTGATAAGGAACTTCTCTCCGTCTTGGTTTTCCGTGACCATGGGCACCGGCATCGTCTCTCTTCTCTTCATTGCTATTCCATTCAAGGCCAATTGGCTATACTGGCTGTCAGTCATCTTCTTTTGCCTCAATGCGGCCCTGTTTTTTTCTGCGCTCTCTATCTCCATTCTTCGCTACGGCCTCTATCCTGAGATTTGGAGCGTCATGATCGCCGATAGCACCAATTCTCTTTTCCTTGGGACGATCCCTATGGGTTTTGCGACCCTGGTCGAGGCTTGGATCTTTCTGTGCATTCCATACTGGGGTCCTTGGGCAGTCACCTTTGCGTGGGTGTGCTGGATGATCGATTGCGTCGTTGCCCTGACAGTCACGATCTCACTGACGGTCCTACTCATATCTGCGTCCCACCAGCAAGCACTGCATCGAATCACCGCAGCGCAGCTTTTGCCTATTGCCGCCACCATAGTCGCTGCCGGTACTGGTGCGAAGATTGCAAAGGTACTTCCGGATCCTGAAAACGCGCTCGGAACGATTATCGTGTCCTATGTTATGTGGGGCATGTCGACTCCCCTAGCCATGACCGTTCTCGTAATGTATTACACACGTCTGGCTCTCCATAAGCTTCCACCTCGAGAAATTGTGGTTTCTTCCTTTCTTCCTCTCGGGCCCCTTGGTATGGGCGGCTACACCGTACTGTATCTTGGCAGCGTATCCCACATCGTCTTTCCACAAACACACTTCTTCCACGACCTCCCCATCGCCGGCGACGTGTTCTATATCCTCGGCGTATTTATTGCACTCATTATGTGGGGGTTTGGCCTCACATGGCTGTGCTTCGCCCTGGCGTCAATCTACAAATCACGACCTTTCCCTTTCAATATGGGATGGTGGGGTTTCACGTTCCCCCTTGGAGTGTTCGCTGTCAGTACGATCGAATTCGGAGTCCAGATGCCGAGCCTCTTCTTCAAAGTCCTGGGCACGATTTTCAGTGTCGCAGTGATACTTCTTTGGTGCGTAGTGGCAACAGGAACGATCAGAGGAGCCTGGGATGGGAAATTATTTCACGCACCTTGTCTCGCAAATTTGCCTAAGAAAGAGGAAGAAAAGGAAGAGCAAGACAGTGGGGAGAGAGAAGGCCCTTGAGCGGTAGATTCAGGGCGCAAGCTAGAGGGAATGCGAAATACTGAATCCTGACATCTACACTATTTGTAATGACTCCTCATATCATCGTATTCCACCTCCAACAAGTTCTGTTCTTTACTTAGTAGCCTAATCGCGCTAAGGCTAACGCCCGTTTTAAGTCTAACAGCTATATATTATTCTAGTTCGTTGCAAACTTGCGATTAATCTTTAGTCCCAGATAGAGAACTACCACGATATAAGCCAGGAGACGTTGTGTAGAGGGCTCTTAACTTCTGCAGCCTACAAAACTGCGCAAGATGGAACAAGAAAGGCATCTAATTAATAAGATAAGGCCTGTAAGATATAAGACCTAGACAGATAACTCTACAATAAAAAATAGTTATTAATATGTATTTCTACGGTAATAGACTGTAAACAAATATATTAAAACGCTAAGAAACAACATATTTAAGGGTCCTATCTGTACTACATACCGTACCTAGAGCGCCATTAAATGTACAGTGCAGCTCACAGACTTGGTACGCTCGTACTGAACAAGTGACTGACACGGTTCACTTTGCACGGACCGTAGTACGCCTCTTTGGAAGCGGGGGGAGAATCCGAATAAAGGCGAGAAGCCGGAAATTGTAAAAAAGATGGCTGAGACGTATTTGCTTGTTCTGCCTTTGACGGAAATCTGGAGGTAGCTTCGCATTAGGATTATGAGAAGGCGGTGGTGGTTCCAACTGCGTGTTAGGCAGTGAAATAGCGACCGGTCCATACAAAGGAAGAGAAACGTCGCAGTGCCTAGCCAGACGTCGAGTGCGTATCTCTTCCGTGAATGATGACAAAAAAGGCAGTGGGCTAGAAGAGGGGACACACAAATACCTTAACAATCTAATTAGAAACTCCATCGGCATATGCTTAACCTTAGTCCCTTACATGAGCTTACTAATTAGCACAAGGGAACAATCTCTAAAGCTGTTCACAAACCTGTATCGAGCATAAAACTCGTCGACAAGCCTCAAGAGCCTGTCCGTCGCGCCAGCGCCAGCGCCATCTCCATATTCATCTGGTCAAGCTTCCGCCTCTGCCTACGGGATTAAGATATTCTGTGCAACCTGATTAAACCGAAAGATATCATTATTATACGCTAGAACGACGGTCAAAATAGGTTCGTCCACTCGGCGAAGATGGTGTTGATGCTCTATTAAATGCCCCGTTCTCGACACACTGCGAGTATTCTTTGCCTCGTGTACTTGGACGACGAAGCCTTGCAGAGCACGGTAGAAGTTCGCTACACCCGCTGTCAACATTGAACATTCACCACCATCATCAAAGCGTCCCAACGTTGTTCGAACGAACGCTAATGGATGAACGGGGAAGGAAATACTCACGATATCTCACAGCATTAAACCACACAAACCCCATATCCACACCTACGCTAGCACCATCCTTGACGTACTAATATTTGTAAGCGAGACCCGAACCGGGGATCTGCCTAGAAGAGATAGACACATAGGGGATTTTTTGGAGAGCTTAGAAAGCGCCCATGCCAGCGGCGCCGTTGCCGATGATGGCTACTGATTTCTGCTTAGTTTGTGAGCTCGTTGGGAAGCGTACTGTGGAAAGAGCTGCTATACAGAATGAGAGAGGAAGAAGGCAGTATGCCGGTTAGAATTGGGTTGATGAGATAGAGGTCTTGTGAGAAGGCATGGAAATAGTAAAGATCAAGCTACAATTGACGAAGGTCAAGCTCAAGGTGAAGGCTATAGTGTCCCTTTACTAGTCCATGCCATTGAACCCCAATCAGGCCATATCTCGGGTATCCCACACGCTTACAAACGCATCTCCTGTAGGGAGGGAAATCGTTTGTTGCAGTGGATGAAATAGATATCGACCGTAACAAAATCCTGGAGTGGTGCCCTGTCCTCAAAGCAGCAAAACGAACCTACGGCGCAGTCTTGAAGTCGTGGGAAAGGGCTCCTTCACTTTCTCTAACTACAGCTCGCCTACTACTCTAATATTGTGCAATTTCATCATATTTTCAAACCATGGAATCGATCTAGTCCCCTGTCGATCTCGTTCACACATTCTCCTTGTTCCTCTCCTTCTCCCCACCTAAACTCTTCACACTTTTCAGGCTCTTTCGACTCGCACTCCTTTTGAGTTTACTCTTCAACTTCTTCCACTTCTCCGTAATCGAATCCCCACTCTTCGTACTCTTGCCTGTAGTGCTCTCTGCCATGCTGTCCATACTCCCCCTCCCCAGATCCATGCTCTCCACACCAGCCCTAGGTTCGTCCTTCCTTTTCCCCAGAAGCATAAATTCCAGCGTCTGCCATCCAGCCATGTCTTTGAGGATGCTGTCCTTTGGATTTGCCTGAGCAACCCCATTTTTCCATGGACAATGCTCACGGTGTGCTTCTACGAGATTTAGACCCAGATGCGCAGCATCTACGTCTAGCTTCTTACTCATTTCCTTTATTCGCTTCTCCTCGTAGAGCCAGAGGCCAATGCGCTGGAAACAGTGGTCGCATGTAACGAGGCTGATTCTCGATTCGAGAAGACCTGACCAGCCGAAGAGGGCGAACGTGAAGGCGGTGATTTCGGAGGGAGTCGAGGGGGGATTTTCGGTTATGCTAGACCCGGGTGGATTGAAAGTGGATGAAGGGGCACGGGGGAGGATGTCGGATATGGGTGGGTCGGGGTAGGTGACGTTGTCCAGAAGGGGGAGGTCAGATAATATGGGTTTGAAGGAGTGGTATCGGCGAAGGAGCTCGGCGGTGCTCTGGGCGCGGTTTGGAATCGGGATATGGTAGATGTCCTCTGCTCAACTTCAGTCTCAACTCTCTGCTCCACTCTGAGTGAGAACGATAACCCACCTTTACAGCCCCCCTTCCTCCACAGACACCCCTCATCATGTCCCTCCAGGATTAGCTCCTTGTACCTTTGCACCAAGTCCTCCAACACCTCCTCCCCCATATCCTCACTCATCTCAATTTTCTTGCCCAACTCATCCTTTCTCTTCGGCCTGAGCTTGACCACTACCCTCGCCTCGCAGCCACCCTTGCACGCCACCGTATTCCACGCTGCACATGACCAGCCGCGCTTCGCCCACTCCACGTCGCCAATGGCATCGGGTTTAGTGGTCCATTTCTTAACATCCGCGAACGTCCTCATCCGCGCGAGGAACTGCTCTTGCGAGTACGGCTGGAAGTTCGGGGGTTTGCGCGGAGGGGTAGCGGTAGACTTTTTAGGCGTCTTATTCGACCCAACCAAACGCATTCCCGCTCCATCCTTTCGGGGTGTGAATAATTTTTCTTGTAAAGCCTTGATGCGCTCGCCGGATACGGTGCGCCCTCGACCGAGATCCATACTGACATCGGATAAACGTGAGCGTTTAGACGGCGGCTCTGGGGTGACGGGCGCGGAGAGGGAAGTAGTTGAGGTGTTGGATTCGCGAAGGGTGCTGGCGAGGGACGTGGTGGATTTGCTGGCTGTCAGATTGTCGAGGAGTTTGTGAAACTTGCGCTTGGTGGTGGCCAGCGCCTCTGGCGGCGGCGGCGGCGAGCCGTCCATTGGAAAGGCCGGTTGTAGGGGAGTAAAAAGCTCTGGTGGAGGAGGAGAGAGAGGATCACGGGATTCGTGACGTTGCAGTCCCCTGACGATGAGCTCTGTTTACGTTCCCACTGCTGTCCACACAGGGGATAGTAGGGACGTAAAAAGAAATTAGAAGTCTGCAGAAAAGATCTAAGAGCTCAAGAGAGCTCTCAAACGAACGCTCGATGACACTCCCCGACAAAACCACCAAACTACAATAGATGGTGGAAGGCGAATGTTTGTGTTTGGTTTCACTCCCCACAACCCCCTGTAACCTCCGACGCCGATCGCCAAGCCCGACTTGTGGCTTACGTACATTCACTCGTCCCTGCCCCGCTATACCCAGCCTTCCCTCCCATGCCGCCCTCCTCTCTTCAATTGCCTATATACCTGCTCCTCTCACTCCTCATCCTGGCTATCTCCTTCATTCCAATCTCTACTCTCCTCTCAAGAAGCTTCTCCCGCCTCAGCCAAATTTCTTCGCATCTGCGCCCCGCCCCCGCCTTCCCATCTTGCACAGCTCCTCCCCTCGCCACAAACCGCACCTTCTCCACCATGGCCTACGAGAAGGAGCTTCACACAGCCCTCCTCGCTGTCCAACGTGCCACACTTCTCACCAAATCGGTCTTTAGTTCGCACTCCAAAGGCACGCTCTCTAAATCTGACTCCTCACCCGTCACCATCGGTGACTTCGGCGCCCAGGCCCTGATAATCGCCAGCATAAAACACGTATTCCCAGATGATGAAGTCGTAGGTGAGGAGGATGCAGACGACCTACGGTCCAATTCTTCATTACGCGATCTTGTCTGGGACTTGGTGCAATCGACCAAGCTCGAGGACAGCGACGCGGAGACCGCAATTGGGGGCCCGGTGGCGACGGTGGAGGGGATGCTCGATGCAATCGATGGCGGCAGGAGCCGTGGGGGCAGGGAAGGCAGGATATGGGCGCTAGATCCCATTGACGGGACGAAAGGGTTCTTGCGTGGTGGGCAATACGCCGTTTGTTTGGCGCTCATGGTCGATGGCATTCCGACTGTTGGTGTAATTGGTTGTCCGAATTTGCCTGTTGACGACACCGCGCCGCTCGACTCCTTCATCGGCACAGACGCTGATGACAAAGAAGGAAAAGGCGTGTTGTTCGGCGCAGTAAAGGGCGAGGGATCAACTAGCCGTCCCCTCAGCAATGGCGCGTTACAGCCCCCGACTCCTATAAAGATGAAGCCGCTTGAAGATATCAGCCAGGCCACCTTCTGTGAGTCAGTGGAAGCTGGTCACTCCTCCCATGGCGACAACGCTGCTATTGCCTCGAAACTCGGGATCACGAAACCAAGCGTACGCATGGATTCGCAGGCTAAGTATGGATCCATTGCACGCGGAGCTGGAGACCTGTATCTCAGGTTGCCTGTTAGCAAGACGTATGAGGAGAAGATTTGGGATCATGCGGCTGGAGTTGTTATTGTGCAGGAAGCAGGTGGCAAGGTGACGGATGCTTGGGGTAAACCTCTCGATTTTGGCATTGGGAGAACGCTCAAGGAGAACAAGGGCGTCGTTGCTGCCCCCAATGCTATATTTCCAAGGGTTATTGACGTCGTGAAAGAGGTGTTGAGTGCTAAACAGTAGCCGAACTAGTGGATGAAGTACTTAGCTGCATCACTTGCTTTGCTAATTAAGGGACAGGCGTAGATAAAAATTTTTAGCAAGACTCAGCATCATAGTAAAGCTAATTCGCCAAATTAGGCACGCCGAAAGGGCCCATCTGTATGATGGAATCATCAGCTCAAACTGGCAATAAATAAACACCGGAAACCGTCCAATGGACTTTCCAGAACCTCATATTAACACCACATTGGAAAGTGGTATGATCAGTGATACACAATGTGAAGATTTCTCGTATGTTCGTGACATTGGATCTTTGAGAAGCTTAGGCCGATAGCCACTCAATGGAACCAGAAACCCTGACTTGTATGTGTAGATAAGTATCCGAATATATATATATATGTATATACCGAAGGAAAAGGAATGGAAGAGTCGCTAAAGGAGGAACAGAAAGGAATAGTTGTAGACGCAGATAAGTGTTGAAATTTGTCAGGGGAAGATAAAGTCCGAATATGTGCAAGTAACGGATGAGGCCAAGCTAGGCTGGGAAAGAAATGCTGAAATCGTGACTGTGCTAGACCCTTGAACCTGGAATTGCTGGTAGCTGGTCACTTCATAGAGGTAGGATGTCTAGATGAAGTAGTTTGCAGTCTTTTCGACGATCTCACTTATCGACTAAGCGTATACGATGAGGTTTAAAACGCTAAGGATGATTGTTTAAAAAATGGGTGAGGACCTGTGGGCTGCTCAGGGTAGGACTTTTGCGGGCTGCCGCTTTGGACCGGAAAGGAACACCATGAAGAGACAGGGAGCTCTATGTTGAAGTGCCGCTGGGAACAGAAACCTTTAAAACATAGATCGTACTGTACGAAATGGGTCAAAGCCATGTCGTCTTTGAGGTTGTGGAGTCGCTGGATATTCGGGAGTCTCAATGCTGGGCAAAACCCCTTTCGCGCCTTGCTCATCTTCGTATTTGTACATGTATGCCGCATCGACATATGACCACACAACAATGGACAGTGGGCAGATACCAGCTAGCCCTAATGAGATCCAAAGCAGTGGTGGCCGGTCCGTAATAAACGAAGTGATAGCGAACCATGCTATGGAATGGATGTCCGTGTTAAGTGTTAGAACAGAACCAAGCCACTCGTAGATGCCGATAGAGTAGAGCAAGCATGATAGACCTAATTGTTACTGTTAACAGTTTGAATTCTAAGAAAGAAGCGTGGAAATTATACCAGCCAATGCCATGAAGATTCCGGCAATCCTTCGACTAGCGAACCAGAGCCCTAGAAGAAAAAGCAGAGCTCCACCCCAAAGCTTAGGGTTGCTTGCAAGTCCGCCGAACGTAGATAATAATTGGATAGTCTCGGTAGTTGCATCAATTGCTGATTGCAAGTTCCCAGCCGTAGTCTCGAGGGTTTTGAAAGTTCCATTCAAGCGGCTCACATGCTGGGAAATGTTAGAACACTGGATAAACCCCAGATGTAAGGGTTAGAGTAGCTTACCTGGGTAATATCCCCGTGGATGTCTTGAATTTCTTTCGCTTGCTTGGCTGACTGGTCCTAAGAAGTTTAGCTGACATTGATATCAGCCAGTACAGGCGTGAACCAACCACGTCGTCTCTAAGGTTGCCCACTGCTTGAGTGAGTGTGTTGAGTTGCTCATGATTTAGTTGGATTGCAAGCACCATCTCATGATGCATTTGCAGGATCGACATGGCTAAATTATGGTTTTGGGTATGAGTGGCTACATGTTGTGAGGTTGCTTCAGCGACTTCCGTAAACAAGGATTGAAGGTCGGTTCGAGCTTTTTCGACGCTCGCGTCCGACACATTAAGGTTCTGCAGCACTATTAGCTTTAAATGGAGCTAAAGAGCAAGATAGTACACCTTTGCTAACGCTTCCGAGGATGTAGAAGTCTCCACAAGCATGTCCTTGAAGGACTGAAGCATATTCTTAAGCTGGTCGAAGATCGAGTGGGTTGCCTCACGGCTCGCTCGAATGTCCTGTAAGGCCAGGATCTCAGACATTCGAATCTTCTCGACGAATTCCAATTGCTCATTGAGTCGAGCTTGTGCTTCCTGGGCAGATTTCGCTAAAGATGATTCTATGTCGAGGGCGACCTCGGCTAGGGATTCGTAAAGAGATAATTTCTCGTCTGACGAAAATTAGTGTTGTTCAATTGTTAGGATCCTATATACACGCCTCTCTCAATGCCGCTCCTGCTTGCATAACACATGACTACCGCATTCTGCCTCGCATTGCTGTATGAGGTCCACCACTGCGGCTTTGATTCCAAGGCTCGTAAGCACCGATCGAATTGCGCACGGGAAGCGTCCGGATAACAAACTTCAGCTGTGGGTCGCTCTTGGCGGGAGAAGAAAGAGCTGAACCTATGCTTAACGCACGCTCGTGATGATGGCACAAGGATCTCGCATTCTCGGGGTATTACCGCTTTGGCGCCTCTCAGTTCGCAGATTGCAAGCCTCGCAGCATATGCTGATTTGACCTCCTCAAGAACTGCCTCGGAACTGGAAGATGTGTCGGTATGGGCATCTTTGAATGATTGGCAATCGTTAACGAGGGTTAGGCCAGCAAGACGGTGACATGTTGGTGACGATTGCATAGAATGAATGAGACCAAGGGCCTGGGATAGAATCGCTTGTTGCTTTACTGGTGCATGCTGTAGCATAGATTCTATACTGGATGCAGCCCTGAGACCTAGAAACAGTTAGCACGGGGTAAAGTCCAGGACAGTCTGGATACGAGCCTTCATTCGGAGGTGAGGAGTGTTGCTGCGCAAACACTGTTGTAAGAGACTGACAAAGTATCACGATGAATGTGGTCTTGTAGTGCACCCCCATACCCCTGAGGTGTAACCGCATGGTTGAAAAGTAAGAAATTACGCCAGAACTTGAATGACAAAAAGGCAATAGAGTTGGGGCGAAGGACGAGAAGGGAAGACGGGAACCTTGAGAAGGGTTGTTTGGGGATAGCCTTCTTATATATCATATCCCCAGAGTTGGGGACGTAGTGAGAGGTAACTGGAGAAGTAATTGAGGTTGCAAAGGTGACTGCGAAATCAGTTGAACGAGCTTAGTGAGAGAACTACTAGAAATTAGTGGGAGAATATCGTGCGGCACGAAGTGAGAGAAGTGCACCCAGTGTAGTCTTTTCGACAGCCCGGAAGCACAGGCTATATTAGTCCTGACATCTTATTGTGGTCCTCGACGGGTGGGAGGTGACAGACGAAGGGTGATTGGAGGCTGAGATCCAACACACGCTAAACCGGATTAAAGTTTTCCTAGTTACGTAAGCCATAGGGCTGAATATCTTCCAACATCAGAGATCTTCGTGAGCTTGCAGCGAAATCTCATCCCATAATGTTTTCTCCCGCGCGGCGACGATGCGCTCAAGGCGTGATTGCTGCCTCAAGCCACTTGACAACATCAATTCCGTCCTTTCTCCTGCCCGCTTTCCTGCCAAACGCGGCATCAAGGACTTTTGCGACGACAGCACCATGTTTCTCCAAGATTGGTTCCACCCCCCTATCAATCCCTCCCGAAGTCACATTTAAAGTTATACCACCCCAGGCTCGAAAGGGCAGCCGAATACAGCCAATGTCAACCGTTCACGTTAAGGGCCCATTGGGAGAGCTCTCAATGGAAGTTCCTGCCTATGTGAACATCAACCAAGATCCCTCATTGCCAGGCCCGACACTCAGCGTCGAAGACTCCTCAGATGCGAAACAGCGAGCCATGTGGGGTGAGAGCCTGCAAAATATATTCTAGTTGAATTCGTAGCTAATTCTCAGCTAGGCACTACCCGCGCCTACCTTCAAAACCACATACTCGGCGTCAGCGAAGGGCACTCCGCAATCCTCCGTCTCGTCGGCGTTGGATATCGTGCTACCATAGAGCCCACCGCTACCACTGTCCAGCCCGAATACCCTGGTCAGCAGTTCGTAAACCTGAAGGTCGGATACTCCCACCCTGTCGAGCTCGGTATCCCAGAAGGAGTGAAGGCAAGCACTCCCCAGCCGACGCGACTGCTATTAGAAGGGCCGGAAAAGGAAGTTGTGATGCAGTTTGCAGCAAAGATTAGGATGTGGAGGAAACCAGAGCCCTACAAGGGCAAGGGTATCTTTGTCAACGGAGAAACTATTAAGTTGAAGAACAAGAAGATCAAGTGAGCGGATCGTCGTCGCTTGAATAACCTTGGAAACATAAGTGTATCACTTGCGGTGTATATTATATATCACGAGTTCCTCGAGGACCAATCGATTAATAGATATTCGATCCTGGCCACCACCCTCACCTTAGCACTCTTCCCGTCATGCTTATTTGCACGCTAGGTAAGGTGTCCACCATTGAACTAGGTGCTTCTCGCTCCCTAGGATGAGGAACCGAGATTCATAAGTCTGCGAAGCTCATAGTCACAGATACCTTCGACGAACGGTGTTTATCTTTAGATCTCCCATCACTCTGAATACTTCTCCTTTTTTGCAATCACATATGCGCAAGGCATTCGCTCTCACCTAATTATACCATTTACATTGTGGTGTGACAGCATTATTGACATGAAGCCTCATAGCACCTATATTCGTCTAGCCTTATCATTCTGCTATTATTCTGTGGTAGTGATGCACGCTATCATTATCTGCTTACTGTACTGGATTAAGAGTGCAAGGGAGCCTAAAGTAGGCCCAACGGAACTTAGGTAGAAACAGGATTGATCAACCCAAGATCAGAAGCTTTCTTATCAGTCTTGCAAGCACATGAATTATCCGCGTTTCAGAAATCTTAAACCCAGGTCTACTCTCAATTTCATTATGGTATGTACCTGATAACTAGCACCGTTTTAACAGAGCCCGGATTATGGGTGGAGCCCGCCGCCACTCCATTGCCTCCACCTGATTTCAAAATGCCTGGACGAGTTACTCCTCTATCCACTTGCAAACAAGTCTTCGGTGCAATCATAGCTCTTTCAGTCTCGCTTGCCCTCCCACTGTCACCTTGACCGTCCCTCAATTAACGTTTCCCGGAACCTACAATGCCATTCGACGAGCTATGTACTCGACGAGTGCCACCACAACACTTGCCAGCAGTGCACGACCTTATACCTATTCAGAGTGGATGACCAACAGGTCCAATATTCCCCAAGCGTGCCCTCATTACAAGAACGCTTGGATCAGCGATGGCAGACTATTCTCGGAATTATGTCTCCTTCAACAAGATTTCGCAACCTCACGGTAGCAGCTGTCTTACTCCTCACCGCTCTCGTGGCTACCTGTGTCACATCAAGTCTAGCCACCACGTCTGTAACAAGAGTTCAGCACTACCTCCCAAAAACGCCTTCTTCAGAACCATATATCTTCTCCCGGCCATGATAAAAGGCAACAGCCTAATTGGGGACTCATTTCCTAGAATCTCCTTAATGGCAGCATATACAGTGCGTGGGCATTAGATGGGGGTTCTCCTCAACACAGGGACTTCAACTTAGTGGATGGAATCAATATCCAGCGCACCAGTGTCAATCTATAGTCTTAAACACCTTGGCTACGGACTCCGAGATACGATAGAGCTCTACCAATAAAAAGCCAATGCAATTTCAGCCTGCGTTGCCCTGATGCTGAGGAATCCAGTCAGCTGTAGTCAAAGAGGAAAGCTCACCTGGCCGAATAGCAGGAAGTAAATGCAGGTCACAGTAGCAGATAGGAGCTGTCGGCAGACGACCAATATCAATGAAGCTCCAGAGCAGTACATCGCTATAATCGCCTTCATTTGCAATTCAGGAGAGGTTGGTCAAGCAAAGAGAGGTTGGTCAAGCAAAGATGGTGTTTGCCGCATCGAATGGCCAGTACGCCCGATGGCTGCCGTTTCAGTCGGCGAAGACATTGGCAATTCTTACTCTGGATAAACATATTCCGTTAAGTGCGACGTGGATGCCAGGGTAGTTTTCGAACTCTATAATGTTACACTTTCCGTCTCTCGTTAATCCACCGGTAATCCCACTATTCAAAATTTTGCTTTCAACATAGTCGTTTCAGCTGGCGACCTCTGCACCCTTCCGGAAGTCCCACAAGACGTAGAAGCCCTCGCTGCTACAGTCACTATGGTTTCATATTTTCTAGTCTATGAGATCACATTGACAGGATAGTTTCAATCCATTGCCAATATCGTATTCGCTAGTGGGACTACGGGGGCTCGCCTGATTAGTCCGTTCTTATTCCTCTTTTACACTCTACAACTCGATGAATGCGTTGGAAGATGTTTTCGGCTTTTTGGAGCGCTTTCTGCATCTATGGCTGCTTTAAATATGTCTTTGATTGAGAGTCAAGGGTGGGTCGGGGCATTTCCGGAGGTATATTCTATCTTTCCATTAATCCTCGTGGTTTATTAGGACGACGATGCGCTGGTGAAGACGTCAAGGTGGGTTAAGGGGTATAAGTCTACCAAGTTACGAAACCTCATGAGATTGGGAATGGGTCCACGATGTTAGTACTAACAACAGAACGCCTTAACATGTTAATTTACCACAGATATTACCACCGATATAGTGTTTTCCCTAATTCTAACAAGACGGTTGACAAGTTACTTGTACCGCCGTTTATTTTCCGTAGTACACACCGACATTGCTCTGATCTAGGGCAAGGCTTAGCAATATCAATCTGACCTAAGAGACGGGTCTCAATCACCACTAAATCATTGGGATCTCTTGTGTCTCCGAAAGAATGCCTATTTTGGCAAGGCTTCGCCTACTGCCCTAACACGTGATCCAGATGACTCAACTTTAGAACCTTGAAACTTACCTGCCTGCGAACTGTTAAAACAACAATTCCCGTATTATCTGAGCATCTAAATACCTCCCTGTTCTTTAGATCGCAAATTCTATCCATCGAGCGCCAAACAATTAGCCAGTAACCACCCCAAAACCCGTCAAAGATGTCATCAGAACCATCAGTCGTCGTAGGAATGCAAGTAGGCCAAGGATCGCTTTCCCTCGCCGATCGCATGAAACAATACGAAGCTTCTTATGACTTCACCCTACCAGCCGACGCTCCAACTGTCCTCCGTCTCGACGGCCACAACTTCTCGCGCTTCACCGCACACTTTCGCCGCCCGTTTGACCAGCGTATTCACGATGCAATGACAGCCACGTGCTCCGACTTGCTGAGATTCTTCCCACAGGCTACGGTTGCATATACACAATCCGATGAGATAACACTCGTATTTCCATCAGGAGTCCAGTCCTTCAACGATCGCGTCCAAAAACTAGTCAGCCTAGCATCAAGCTATTGTTCAGTTAGATTCAATACGCATCTTTCTGCATTACTGGTAGCGAACCCAGAACCCAAGGTCAAGGACCTGGCGTATGAAAAGCTGGGGACCGCTCATTTCGATGGGCGATTCTTTACTGTGAAGTCAGTTGAGGAGGCATTAAATTGCCTTCTTTGGAGATGTAGAGGGGATGCCATTCGGAATTCAGTCAGTGGGTTTGCAAGGACGTTGTTTTCTGATAAGCAGATGCATAAGAAGACGACGAAAGAGTTGCTTGAGATGATGGAGAAAGAGAAAGGCGTCGTGTTCGAAGAAGCTGTGCCAAAGTGGGCTGTTGCAGGGACGCTGATGAAGAGGGAGCAGTATGAGCATGAGGGCGTGAACTTGAAAACTGGGGAGCGAGAGGTTACTCAGAGAACGAGGACAAGGGTTGAAGATCGTGGCGTACGTGAATTCAGTGGGGAGAATTTGAAGATGGTGACGGAGAAATATTGGTGGTTCTAAAGTCTCGATTCGATGTTTGACCGTGGGGTATTCGACAATGATTCGATAGTGGGGATCTAAGGACGGATAAGAGCATTTTCATGAAGGCCGAAGTGTGTCGGCCAGGTCATCATTTTCATGCGATTTAGGAAGCGAACGATATTTGACTGCTGACTACGACACTCTCCTGTTTCTAGTGGTTGCTGGTTAAGGCGTCCGTCATCGCGGTGGAAGATCCATGTTCGATTAGTTTGATCTAGGTCTTGAAGGGTTTAGTGAGGCGCTCAAAATAAATATCACGCGCCACGACCTTGAGGCTGAGGATTTCTTCCCAGCCTCGCGTCTCCAACAGTCAGTTTTCACCTCGCTATTCACGTTTCAGAAGTTCTCATTCCTTTAGATCGGGCTGCTCCTGGTTGATCGCAGTAGCCAAAATATACTGCTAGCCTTGGTCTTCACATTCCTTCGAACTTCTGCCAGAGTCATATCGGAACGAACAACTTCTCCACCGGCTGACATCCCTCCCAGTCTTGCGGTCCCACCAAGGACATTGAGTTCCGCTTGATGACAGCCCTTTGACATAAGTGTTCCGACTATCCGCCTGGGCAAATCGCGGAACTCTTTTGATCCCTCCGATCTTCTCGTATCCCTCAACCATATCTTTACTCCCCCTCTTTATGCATTTATAATCTCGACGATCATCATCCTTTTTGTTTGGAAAGGCTAAGGCTTGACTCGTCATGTACAAGCCTCTGAATCCGAGCGTACAGAGCGTTGGAGACATTACCCACCAGCGTTTGGAAAGCATAGAACTAAATCGATACTCGCCGCCATCTGGTCCGCCACCGGACTCGTCGAAGCATCGGGACTCTAAAGCAAATTTTACTCAACATGCCCATCCACCGTCAACGGTCAAGCATTGGCCGATGCACTCGCAGCAGGTCGCGACCTTAACGCCTCTCAGAACTTTTATTATAGTTTTTGATGCAATATTAGCTTCGGCTCCTATAATGTTCATAGGTGGAGACCTCTTCCCTATTGTCAATTAGAATTAGATATCTGACAGATTCTATAGCATTAGCCATCATCGCCGCACGCCTCGATGGAAGAGATGTGTCCAGCTACGGTCTGCACCTCCACCAAACACTGCTCTTATCCCCAACCATCTTCCCCGTCATCTTCGCCGCTCTCATGGGCCGCTGCTTCAAGTACGTTGGCCTCTACCGCGCCGAGCGCGGGATCTCTCTCGGTCGCCTCGAACAGCTCGTCGGGTGCCAATCTCTGTTCTCCGCCCTTGAACGCCAAACCGCCTTACGGTCTTGGTCCATCCTCGGCCTCCTTTTAACCCTGATATGGCTATTATCCCCTCTAGGTGGTCAATCCGCTCTTCGACTCCTCGACCAAGAAACCAAATTCGTGAAATCAACTGTAACTATCAACTATCTCAACCCAACATCCATGGGGGACTCTTTTCTCATGGGTGCTAGTGCTCTAAACACCGGACGTGCTACCTTTACATCAGTATTCCTGGCCGCGCTACTGAGTAGTTCCAAGTACCAAGCCACGCCCATGGATTTATGGGGAAATGTCAAAGTTCCCGCATACAGCTCCCTCAACGCCAGTTCCTCGGATTGGAAAGACATCGACTACTCACACAATGTAACGTACGCGTCGCTAATCGGCATACCCGTATCTGGCGTGCAAAACGGGGACACTACGAGCAACTACTCGATGAAAGCAAGACAGTGGGATATAACCTGCTCCAGCAATAAGGAAGTCAGCGATAGTTCTGCAAACTTTGGTAACGCAACGGCAACATGGAAGCTGAATTACACGGAGGGCAGATGTAAGAGCTATCCGTGTAAATTCAACCTCAAGTCCATCGACAGAACGAGTAACTTCACAGTGGCGGAATGCCAAATGACGTACCAATACCTCGAAACGAGAATCGGCTGCAACGGGACATCATGCCAGACCAACAGCATGCGCAAGCTCGATTTACTAGGAGATGCATATACGCAAGAAGCTGACGACTTCACACGCTCAAACATGATAACGAACGGAATGAGTACTCTTCCCACAATAGATAACCACGGCGTCGCATCCGTTATAGCCCGAGGCTCGACAAATATGGAGAAATGGATGTATGATCCTTGGGACTTCATCGGGGCTACCTACGACAATGTTGATCTGTGGAAACTCTCGCCCGAGCTGCTCGGAGAGCGTCTCACAATTATCTGGAATACATTCTGGCAGTCGACATACGCGACTACAGCGCTTGGAGGGAATCTACCCAAGAACCTCACCTCGCTGAGTGAGAACTTGGGTTCGCCAAACCTAGGCTTTAATGCTACACAAGCCGCATTGACTACGGCTTCAACAACCATCTACAAAACAAACTGGCGCTGGTTCGTCGCTTTGTTGGTCTCCTCCATCATTCTACAAATCGCAGCATATGCTGGACTCATCCTCAAATACATCACACTCGCCCCTGATATCATTGGGTACGCTTCGTCGTTGACGTTGCTGAATCCGTATATTCCAACGCCGACCGGGGGCACAACATTGCATGGACTGGAGAGAGCGGCGCTGTTGCATGATTTGCAGATCAGGATTGGAGACGTTTGTGCGGGTGAGCCTGTTGGGGCTATTGCAGTGGCGAAGGCGGACGCTAGGGTGGCGCGTTTGGATCGGAGAAGGTGGTATATATGAGAGGTTCTCAAGAGCAAGATCTGGAGTCTGAATAGAGCTTGCAGTTAGATCTTCATTGGGTATTGCATAGCATAGCATAGCATAGCATTTATTTCAAGGTTGGAATACTCCGACCTCATTGAAGTCTATCATAGGGGAAACTCCTACAGCCCTCGTAGAGAGTAAAAAGTCACTCTTCACGAACCCTAATAAGCCCCTTGATCCTCCCATTTGGCACTGGCACGAACCGATCATTCCAATCCATATCCCATTCCGAAGTATATCCCGTAGTTGAGATCTCAAAACGACGGAAAAGATGCGCGGTCGTGAGGTGCAGCTCTGCGTACGCGAGACTAAAAACACTTAGTCAGCATTAAGGATAACATTAAAAGGACAAGGGCTCAGAGCTCAGATGGATGGGCCAACTTACTTAATTCCAATACAACTTCGCGAACCACGCGAGAAAGATAGCATTTGCCTCTCGCGTTGTTTGTATGTATCTGGGTCGCACATCCATCGCTCTGGGTCGTACTTGAATGGATCTGGAAACGTGTTTGCGTCTGTGTTTTGCATATAGATGCTGGATGTGATTCGAATCTATCACCACGTTAGCAGCGTTCTCTCGCATTTCGTGAAGCACATGCGGCGTGGGATGTCTATAAATGGAAGAACCTACACCCCCAGGCACGTATCTCCCCGAAATTGTTACGCCTTCCTTCGGCACCCTTCTAATTAATCTCCCTGGAACCCCTAAACCCAGCCTCAACGCCTCTTTCACACACGCCTGCAAATACTTAAACTTATCACCCTCCAATGTCGCCGAACTTACCACCTCCTCCCGATCTCTTATCCCTTCCTTCAACTCCTCCACTAATTTCTGCTCAACTTCGGGGTTCTGAGTGATATGCCAGAGCACGAGACCAAGTATATTCGCAGTGGTATCCGTGCCAGCAGCAATCATGAGACAGCCATCGGCGATCATGTCGCGTTTCGAGGGTGTGGTTTGACCTTTTTCCTTGTCTGGAGCTAGCATGAGGTCGAACATAGTCGGAATTTTGGAGTTGGTGGAATCCGGATTCGCCATCAGATATTCTACTCTTTCTTGTGCCAGCTAGAGGTGAACTCGTCAGCCGTCAGGTTCGCGCTCACACTGACACTCCTCTTCTATTACCCCCATGGTTCCACACAGGGGTGCGGAGAACAGAACAAGGGGGGCCAGTGAAATGCACAGAATCCTTCATACCTTTTGCATACACTGAAACCCATAGACCGGCGCAAAATACCTCTCCCTCACCCATTCAGGTAGCGAGAAAATCAACCTATTCAGCAAACCAAACACAGTCGGGAAATACGTCGAAATAAGCGCCATATCAAACCCCTTAACAAACTGCTCAACCCGCTCACTTCGAAACCCGGGCTCACTCAGTGCCCCCAGATCCTGTTGGAAGCAATAATCCATAATTGTATCCGCAGTTAAACATCTAAATGCCAGGAAGAAGTCCAACACAGACCCCCTGCCCTGGTTTGCTTGGGCGGCGGGGAGAAGCGTGGAGAGGAATTGGGTGAGTTTTTGGCGGTGCAGATATGGTTCGACGCGCAGGATTGCAGCTTTGGAGAAGAAGGGTGCGAGAAATTCTTTGCGTTTTCTGGTTTCAGTGAGGGTGGTTAAAGATTGTAGAGAGCCCGTAAGGAAAGGGTTGTCGTGCCAGACACGGTCAAAAGGGGTGCCGACTTTGAAGATTCTGGAGTTGTTAGGAAATTTGTTGACGACAGTCTTGTGAAACCACTTGTCGCATTACAAATAAGTAGTTTTAATATGTTCCCATCTATCGTGGAACTTTGACAGTTGGTGTTTGATCTCTTAAGCTTCTTGCTAGATTGCGAGAGAGCATTACGCAAATTCAAACTTCTACAAAAACCTCCACCTTCTCATATTTCCCCACACACCTCAAACCCCAATAAATGAAACGCTCACGTACTGGTTGTACCCCTCCAAATCCGCCACATGAATCTCATCCGGCTGGATTCTCACAATTGGCCCATACTTCTCATGCAATTCCGGCAAGCACTTGACAAGCCCCGAGTCTAGGATATCATAATAAGCATTATAGAGCGTAGTCACAGCTGCGAGTTTAGGTCCCGGGAATTTGGCCAGCGGGTGGAAGAATAGGCGGTAGATGATCCTGAGGACGAGAAAAGCGAGGGATACAGCAGCAGCATATGGGAGGAGCGGGAAGGAACCCATCGTTTAGGGAAATGGGGAGAAAACAAGAGTAGGTCGGAAATTGATGCATAAAGATAGAGGCAAGGCCGGCATATATATATACAGAAACTGGCAAGTTTTGTAGCGGAAATAAGCGTTAGAATCCATATCCGCTAGGCAGGAAAGGACAATGCTATACGAAGAACGAGAGTTCATACTCGCAAATTCACGACTAGATCTGAGTAGATTGCAGTTGAGACTCGAGGGCCTTGGGGACTAGGCCACCAAGCGCGTCAGCACTAATCCCATTGGAAAAGAGTAAGCAAGCCACCAATCAGACAACTCTGTCGTCAACTGAATGCAGTCCAGGACGTCAGCAACTGACAAAAGTGAGGTAAATATACTCTTGTTGCCTCGCTGAGGGTATTGTACGCTTCCCCTTTCAACACACATTCCCGAAATCATGTCATCCATGAATTGCTTGGGCGCTGGGAAGAAGAAAGAACCAGGTCATAATTCTTATTCATATACTTTATCATACATAATCGAACCTCCATTCATTCTACCTCAATCTTGGCCTCATCTGCTATCAAATTCTCTCCATTCTTCCATCCTGATTGCTCGACCAAACCTCCTACCAAATCCTAAACTAGCGTTTCGGCTTCTTGATGGCGATGCCAACTCCAACCTCAGACGGAGTCCGAGGCGAGTCAAAGCGTCAAGCCCAAGGAGAAGCAGACATAAGCCAATTCAAAACAAGAGGAGACCTTCAGTGAAAGCAGTCGGCAGCTTAGGCAAAAGCAGAGAAGTAGACAGCCAGACAGGGCTAAGACGCGACAGAGTAGAGAAAGGAAGTCGAAGAAATAGAAACTCCCAGAATGCGGGGTGCCCAAGCCGAATAGCCAGCATGGACTCGGAAATACTCAATGTTGCCCATAGCAATGCATGACGGACGCCAACGCCAACGCCGACCATTAAGTCATCCAATTTCCGAACAACCAAGAAAACCAGGACTCCAATCTTGACAGCATCAACACTATATCCTAGATCCAAGATCTAGTACACAATTCCAGTCCCGGTCGCACCAACCCCCAACTTCCCGAGGTTTAGGCTCTGGGACGCCGTGTCCTCAAACCCCTCCCAAGGTAGCTCTTCCTCGCCACCGCTTAGAAAATGACTATGTTCGCTTTCGTTCTCGCTGTCAATATAGCTCTGAATGGTGACCTTCTTCTCCTTCCCTTTCTTGCTCACTTGTTCTTCCTCGACCCTGATCTCCCTCGTAATCTCCTCCAATTCTTGTTCTGTAATTTCATGATCGCCTTGCTGACCCTCAAGAACATCATAGAGATGGTAGATTTGTGTGCTCTTGGAAGAGATTCGCTCCAACAGGTTCGCGATAGCTGTTTCGATTGTCTTGCGGTTCTTCATCCCCATACTAGGGTCATGGGCCAGAAGAATTGCATGATGAGTTCGAAGTTCAAGGTGGAGATGTGCAAGCTCATCTTGCAACTCCTTGACCACAAGTGCAAGAGCTTCCTTTGGGGACCTTGCGGGACGCAGCGTGGCATCAATGTCGTCAGGCATACGACTAGAAACTGGAACCAATTTAGGGACCCGAAGAGGCTCGATAGATGGATTCTCTGCATTGCGACGACACACGGTGCAGTTTACATCATCGTGAGCTTCGAGGTCAATCTTCTGAGTCACATCGATGGTGGTGGTAGGACATTGTTTGCGGGTATGAATTGTGATATCTGGAACAATAAAGGCAGAGGTCATCTCAGCAGGAGCGCTGCGGCGACGGCGGCTTGTGTTGCTGAGTATTGAAGTATCGGCAGCGGCAGCAGATTGGTTAGTCTGGGTTGGTTCAGCGGGTGTAGCACCATTGTGGTTCGAGACGTGTCCTGAGAGATCTTCGAAGATAGTACAGGTAGCATTGTTTTTTTCCGCAGCATCCTTCATGGATGACTTGCGCGGTAAGGATGCCTGGCGGGTGCTCTTGACGGAAGCAACTGATCGAACAGTATCCTCACGGGAGTGACGCTCTGCAGGCACAGACGCAGACTTGCCACGAGCCGCCGCCCGCTCTTCTTCTAGGGTACGTCGAAGTGCAGCAATGGCATCGCTGTTGATGAAGCTCAACTCGGTCAGGTCAAGAGGTGCCGGCGGCTCGACGATTGATACAGGTGCAGTAGGCATTCCGGAGGCCCCCCCACGCATGACGTACGGAGTTCCACGAGGAGCAAGCGAGAGGTCAGTGGTCGAATCCATATCGCTATCGACTTGGGCATGTTTGCTATGAGAGACTGGAGCTGATACACTTCGGGAGGAGTCAACCGGGAGAGACGCCCGGTGAAAGGATGACTTGCGGGGGCTCCTCTCGATCTGGTTGGCGGAATGGAATGCACTAGCAGATCTACTATTGCGCGATGCTTCCTGAACACGGTTCGCGATCCGAGTGCGAGTGTCCTCTCGTCGATGGCTTGGCTTTCGCTGTATGTTGGTTGTGTCTTTGAACGTGTTCTCATTCTCAGCGGGCACACTGGCAGTCGCCTGACGGATGCTCAGTACCTCCCGAGTCATATCCTCCATCTCCCTGACAGCGCCTTCCCGTCTCTGAATCTTCTTTTTCAGCTGCTGTTCTCTCCTCGTCCAGCGAGCTTCTTCGTCTTCGTGCTGAGCAGCCAGCTGAGCAAGCTCTTGCCGAAGGTTCTCGTTGTCAATTTGGACGGCCTCATTGGTTTGCTCCTGAGTCATATCCTGGAAATGGCGGATAGTATCATCGCGTCGGTCGATTCGGCCTTTCAATTCGGCTTCTCTGCTTGCCCATCGACGAGCCTCTTCCTCACGTCTAGCTTTGAAGCTTGCCACCTGTGCTTTGAGGGCCTCATTGTCTGCCTTGAGTTTGGCGAAATCTGCTTGCTCTTTACGTGCTTTGCGAAGTTCAACCTCTTTCCTAGTAAGATGTTGGGTGTTCTCGTCATATTGGGCACGAACGCGAGCCAATTCAACACGAAGAGTCTCGTTCTCTTTGTGCACTACGTTCTCGGCTCGGTCGACTTGTCGTCGCAAGTTTTGGGTCTCCTCCTGATACATCTCCTGCTCTTGTTCCAATCGGCCTCTAAGTGCGTCATTCTCAGCACGGAGAGAATCGACTTCGTTCCGCAAAGTGTCGTTTTCAACACGTAGTGCTTCCTTCTCTCTTTTAATATCCTCGAAATTCTGGAAAGCGACGCTAAGTTGGGAGACCAAGTTGTCACGCTCAGAAGTGATGCGCTTATTGGCGATCTCTGATACGGAAAGCTTCCTTTCTGAACGATCTAGGCGTGTTCGAAGGGTTTCTACGGATGCCTCAAGGCCTGCACACATCACTATCAGTACGAGTTTTGATACAAATTCATTTGAGGCTCCACTTACGCGTCTTTTCAACCTTCCAGTTGGTCTTACCTCCAGGGCCCTCGCCATCCGTGGATCCCAACGCGCTGTCACTTCGTCGGAGCTTGTCATTTGTATAGCATGACGCTCTGAGCTCGATGATCTCAATCTCTTGTTCCTCAATCTTCTTCTCAGCCTCTGCTCGTTCGTGCTCCAATTGCGCAACTTTCTCCTTCAACAACTGAAGAGAGGCGAAAATTGCCTTTTCTTCTTCGGGAATTGGGACGCTATCCACAGGAATATGGTTGGGATGACGACCCCTGGCGCGACCGTTATTATGAGGTGCAGCAAATCGAGATCGGGGCGGCGCGGCTTTAGAGAAGACAGGGGTGCCATCCTGGAAGACGCCGGAGACAAGCTCGGTAAGGTTCGGGAGGTCAGGGAGCATGAACGACTGTGCAGTCGCATTCTGAGCGGTCGTGGGCCTTGACCGCTGCGTGCCTTCAACGTGTGCAGGGGATTCAACAACCGCGTCCATTTGAGCCGATGTTTGCCGGCTTCGTGGGCCACTAAAACGCGTGGTCTTGGCTTGGAGGGTGATTGTTGGTGGCCGTTCCTCGATGAAAGACGACTCGTCTTCGGAGATCTTTGCGTGTGACTTCGCCAGCGTAGTGCGCTTTCTCTCGTTGTTTGCAGCCACAGCTGGTGAGTTGCGCGCACTGCCATGGCGCGGGGATGCAGTTTCCATTTCGTTGCGGGAGGCGCGTCGAATCTGGGCATCACGGCGGAGACTCCCCGTCTCGGCTGGATATGACTTGCGCAGGCGTGCTGGTGGCGGAGTCATATCGTAGAGGCTGTTGAACCCGGCCATGGACGAATTTACTTTGCCAGGCGTGCTCCGGTTGCTGCGGTTACCGCCACGAGCTTGCTCTATCGATGGATCATCATCACTGTCTGAGACACTATGATCGAAATCAGCAAAGTGTTTTTTGACCATTGAAGTGTCCGGCCCTGGAGCCTCAGACTTGGGCAATTGCCAGGACCCGTACTTCTTCGCAGTGGATCGTAGGTGCGGACGTCGAGGGAGAGTATTTGTGTCGTCGTCGAAGTTGTGCTGCGTAGACATGAGGACCTCGTCGTTGTTGAAAAAGGCCGAGGTTGAATCGCCAATCTGTTGTGTCGGGTTTGAGTCGCTCGGCGGAGGTGAGGGAGAAGGAATTGCTCGTGGGCTGTGGCTTAGGCTACGAGATAGCTGCCGGATAGCATGTGCCGCACGCGCTTTCCCATCGCTGTTTGGTGGTGAGGACTGCATGTTATGTACTGTTAGCTATGGTTGTGCGAGTGTTGTCTGCGGCCGTGACACGCGGCGGATACAATTTTAGGGGATAGAAAAGATATGCTTCAGAAGAATGCTTGAAGCAAGAAGAGGTTATCCAAAAGAACAATCAAAGGCGTGGTCAATTGAGGACCGGGGGCCTTGTAGAAGGTGCAATGGAGAATTGAAGGTGGACGTGTTGTGAGAGACCATAACGTCGGACGTAAACAAACGAAAGATGCCGACGCTAGGCTAAGCTTGGCAACAGGCGATCACGTGCACGTCCTCACCCTCACTTGTTCTAACAACTTCGTGACGTCCTTGAATATCACCCAGCAGCATTGTTTTAATTACCACTACAGGCCTGCCATGAGAAGCGACTACAACTACTACTTACCTAATCTCTCGAACTGGCTGCCATGGCCCTTAAAGGAACTTCGCCAGGCTTCATCACACTTTCGCGCTAACCACTAACTTCCAAGGTTTTTCTCCACCGGTACTCTCATCCTTCGCTCAAACCTCCATGTCAATATTTCATTTCCGGATCTCCTACTCATCTCATTCTCAGCCGTTCATTGTCCTCATATCACTGTCATCTCACAAACACCCTCCCCTCAATCATCACCTCCATAAATCGCAAGACCTCGTATTCCAGTCTTCCACATCCGGCGAACTATGCATTGCATCTGATGTGAAAGCTCTACTATGACGCTAATCGTAGATAAATTTATTTGTGTAACCGAATTTGGCGGAGGTCTCACCATCGTCAACCTCGTGCTCGTTGAGTCTGGCCAGTAGTAAGAGCATCGAGTGGCGCCTAAAGACAATATAAGATTATTCCTCTGGTGAGTTTCAGCAAAGCTTCGAATTATTGCTTCAAGCACTATATCCGTTTCGGCCGTTCAACACACCTCAGCTACGCTCGCTATACCATCACAATATCCCACAATGAAATACGCCCATATCCACTCTATCATTCTCCCAATTTTCACTCTAGCTCTATCACACGAGTAGGGCCACGGCCATAATCATCATAAGGATCTCCAAATTCCATCCGACTACTACATCCTCACTGTCTACTAACCTCATGATCGCAAGCTCAACGCCCTGAAAGTGGAAGAGTCATATGGCGGTTCTGGTCTCTACCAGCCAAAGTGCAAGTCGTATTGTTCAGACCTGGTTCGGATTACCACTGCCTGCCCAAATGGGACAGAAGTGGCGTCCGGAACCGGCGCTTTTGTACTGGTACGTGGGCTTCGCGTCTTTAACGGTATAAAGAATTCAGTAAGTGTAGGGCTCAAGCAACCAGCTTCCTCGTAATACTCCATCCTTCCAGGCCACCAAAACGTCCATACTAAGCACAGTGGCCACATCCTCATTGCAATGCAATAATTCCACTATATTGGGGAGGATGCATACACCGGCCCGGATGCTGGACCTAGAACGCGTTGCCCGTTCTCTAGGGACGCATAGAATCACACCACTTCCCCGAGCACGATCCTGTGTACGAATTGAAGTATCCTCTCGGACTCTTTACGTTCAACGTACCGAATTCCACTGTCAGCGGCCTAGCAGCTTCCCCGTCTCAATACAATTCGAGCGCTACCGTCTTGTATACGTGACTCCAACTTTTGATGGCAAAGATTGTACAAGGCTTGAAGGACTTGCTACACGTGATTGCATTATCTCCCCCGTATGGGCTTACTACTGAAGGCGTGAGGTTGACAGAATTGAAATGGTGAGAAACGAAACAATTCTTGAGCGAATGAGTTAAGTGTAATTTTTATTTGAACATGTAAATTAATCATGCATAATGAGATACATGGTTTTCCCAAAGCAGTGAGTTGGAAAATTTCCTTCTTTTTATTAAACCCTACTCCAAATCACACAATCACTTGCGACTCAACATTGGACCCGCTTGCGGAGTAAGAGGAAATTGAGTTAGATGTCTCGATGTCACTGATACTACTGCACCTGACCGCCTACGCCACTCCCAAACATGGCCTCATGACACTCCATAGGTCCGCTTTTTGAGGCGCCCTTTTGCGTTCATTCCACATCCCCTCAATCCCTCATTCCCTCATTCCTCCATATAATCTCCCACACAATCCACTCCCACCTCACAAACACCACAACCCTGTTCCCTGTTAACACACAACGCACGATGCACCCCCCAACCGTCGCCACCGTTATCTTCGGTATCCTTACATTTTTCTCACCCGCCCTGGCCCTAGGCGTCCTTCCATTTCTCTCATCCATCGTCGCTGCAACCTCCGGTCCAGAGTCCTATGTTTCAACTCGACAAGCCCCTACGTTCTCAAAACTCGACCCCAAGATCTTTATCCTCACCACATACGCCATGGAAGCTGAGTCCTGGAGCCTAGTCCCGAACCTCAATCTCTTCGCCAAGAAATTCCCCGTACCAGGTCTATCACCTATGTATCCAGACGTGTATTGTTCAAATAATGGAGAGGTATGTCACGCTACTACTGGGGAAGGCGGTAAGTCTCTCTCTCTACCCCAACCCCAAGTTCAAACCCTTTCCGTACTGCATCCCACCATCCTAACCCCCTGCAGAAATCAACGCCGCCCTCTCCACAGCCGCCCTCCTGGCCTCCCCTCTCTTCAACCTAACCACCACCTACATCCTCGTCACTGGCATCTCCTCTATCTCCCCCAAACACGGGACCCTTGGCTCCGTAACCCTACCCCTCTACTCCATTCAATTCTCCCTTGTCCACGAACTCTCCGCTCTCCAAACCCCCGCAAACTTCTCCTCCAACTACATCCCGCTCGGTGCAAAAGCACCAGACCAGTATCCTGTGTACTTGTTTGGCACTGAGGTGTTTGAGCTGAACGACGCATTACGAAAGGAAGTCGCCAGCTACGCCAAACGCGCATATCTAAACGATTCCGACTCCGCAATCTTCTACCGCAGTCTCTACTACTCTAAGAATGGAGAATACACGCCTGGCGCCGCACCCCCTGGCATCGAACTCTGCGACAGCATCACGAGTGATACATGGTACAGTGGGTCGAAGATCGGGGAGGCAATTGAAGGGTACGTCAAACTCGTCACCAACAACCATGGGGTATACTGCACCGCCGCACAAGAAGACTCCGCCATCCTCGCGGCTCTATTCCGCGGGACCCTCCACGTACCACGCCTTGTCGATTTCGACCGCGTAATTGTCCTGCGCTCTGGCGCCGATTTTGACCGCGAGCACTGGCGCCAAGAAGCTGCTCAGAATCTTCTCTGGGTGGATTCGCCGGGACGGGCCCCTGCGCTGAGGAATATTGGTATTGCGGGTGGGAAGATTGTGAGTGGGATTTTGGGGAATTGGACTAGGGTTTTTGAGAAGGGAGTTAAGGCTGAGAATTATGTGGGTGATGTGTTTGGGACAGCGGGGGGGACGCCGGATTTTGGGCCAAAGAAGCGCCCTGGGAAGGGAGAGGATGGTAAAGGGAGTATGGTGATTGGGGAAGTGTTGTAGAGAGAAGGTGGCCGGGGGGCCAGCGAGTGGGGGGTGTATGGAATGTATTCTATCTGATATTTTGGCGTTTTCCTTCCTGTGGTCCACGGTGTTGGATATGGGATAGGGCAGGAATTACTGTACGGTATGTGCATCGGCAATCTAGATAAAAAAAAGGCGGTATGCATGCACAAATACATATACACACACTGGCCAGATACATTGTTATATCACTAGAGCTCAGACAAGGCATGACAGCTAACACCACACATTCAAAGTACACTAATCCCAACTTTAACGTCGTGAATTGCTAGCCAAAGAGACTGGGATCATTGTCATCCATTACCCAAAAACTCCCCGCTTCCCTCCCACTATTCATCCCCTATCCAATCCTCTCCCTGCATAACTGAACAGCGACATCCGCTGTCCCGCCATCAAAAAAGTCATTCAGAATCACCACCACACTCTCTTCCCTAGTCAAATCCCTCCCAGTCTGCCCTCTCAGCAGCGGCAATATCTTCTGATCGCAAATCGGCTTAGTAGCCAGCAGCGGACTAGTACTAACATCGCTATCTAGAACACTCGCAACAATAACATCCCTAATATTTGTCGCCGTAGCCTGGCACTGCAGCAAGGTAATCGGATGTCCCTTTGGCGGTTTCCGGCCCATATCTTCGAGTTTAGCGAGCATAGAGGAGCCGTCGAGGGTGGCGTTGGCAAGGTCGTCGTAGTTAGAGACTTGGTTGACGTCACGTGTGATGATGAGGCGTTTGCGTTCGTTGCGTAGGTCCTTGATACTCATCCTCATCATATCATCTTGATTTCCGACTTGCAGATCCTTATCCCTGAGCACATCATTCAATATATCGCGAAGTTCGTCGTCCGAGGCCCGCGGACAGTCTGCTGGCACGCCGTCCCAGCGGTTCTGCACAACGACGATCTCGTCGCGGTGGTGGCCGAGGAAGTCGACGATGTCGTGGAGGAATTGCTTATACAACATTCCCGGGATAGCGCCATGTTGGAAATACACCGTGTCTTCTAGAGGACTGACTTTCTGCATCTGGCGATGACAGTGTGCGGGACGGAATTCGAAATACCGGGCTCCAATTTTGAGGATAGTGTCGAGAGAGTCTTTTTGTGTAACAGCGAGCGCACGGATGATGTCGGGGGCGATATGGTTGATAGCGCTATCGGAGACTTTGTTGATCACTTCGAAAGCGCTGGGGAGACTTCTTCCAAGCACTTCTTTGATGATACCGGTGCCCGATTTCTGTAGCAGAGCTTGCGCAGTCTGCAGGCTATTCATCCCGATGTCGTGGCTACTCGGCAGCACCATCTTATGGAACGGCCGGTCTGCTTTGTCTGTATCCGGGGGGGCAACATCGCGCATCCAATCCTCGTAATTCTTCGTCACGGTCACATAGCACAGATGTTGTTTCGGCAATCCCGCGATTCCAGGCCCTGCGTCGTAAAATCCATACGCAACAATCAAATCTTCCACAAAGATACTCGGAGTCTGGTCCATGTTATTCATTGTCCCGTTCTCGAGCGCTCCAGTCATGGAATTAACGTCAACCCATTGCTCAGCAAGCTGTCGCCCATCACGGCGGACCTTGAAACTAAATCTGCCCGAAAACTTGAAGGCCCTGAGGTGCTTGGAATCGACTTCGAGATGGTCGATTGTGAATTGGTCCGGATGTCGCTTTGTGACGGACTGTTTTGGGACGGAGAATTCGATCTCGATGCCGGAAACAGCAATGTAGGCAAAGCATTTTACGCCTTTGGAGGGCATGATGGGAGTCGGTGGCTGTCTGGCTCTTTCTTTGCTTTTTAGAAGGAAGACAAGGGAGAGAGGGAAAAAGCGCGATGCTCAGCTGATATGAATGTGTGAAAAAGAATACCCAATAAACAGCCGCTCTGTCCAAGACTCCGAGCAAATGCCTCCGGTGTCCGTAGAAGAGCAGCCGTGATCAGCTCAATTTCAGAACGACACGGGATGAGGGTCGGCAATGCAGTACTTATACCTCCGAGAAAGGCGCCACGATTCTGAATTTGACCCATCTCAGCTGCTCTCAGTTCTTGGCCGATCCTTGAGTTGCTAGTGGCGTGCGTCAGCTGTGGTGTTGATTCAGCTCCCATTTCGCCAGGAACACCAATGAGAGATAATGAGATAGAGGGGTAATACACGTGGGATAGTCTACCTTCAGAAGAAGCAAGTCCTAGCTTTGGAGACGACTATGAAGCGTCCTTCGGCTTCTATGCAAACCACCATAGGTTACACAGCTGTCATTAGAGACTGTGACCTCAGAAGGGACTGGAGGAAGCCGCCAAATCACGTGAATAGTCTTGCTCATTCCCAAGGTCTTTCATGCCCATCTCAGTAAGCTTCTTCCGTCCTAAGCCCTAAAGCGCCTAGACAGAATACAATATATATACATATCGTGTTGGCGAATCCGCTTGCAAAGGCTCTTCAGATGCCATCCCAGTTTCTCATGCAGAAACTATCATTTAAATGCCCTCCCACGCAACCCCCCTCCTCAAACACAGCATGTCCCACCGAACCAACATGCCCACAACTGCTGCATGCAGAGCTAGAAGCATGACCGAGCCGCCCACTCCTCCAAACCCAACATAGCGCCCATAAAATGTAAATCCAACGAATAAGAAATCGAGTGCTGCAAAGCATAGAAGTGGATACGCGACCCACGGGTCCGCGGCAAACGGCTGACATGGACTGAAGAGCGAAAAGACTTTTGCGACAAAGAGGGCGATTTTAGTTGTGCTGATGAAGGTGGGGTTGTGTAGGACGTTGTGCAAGATTTGGTCGTAATGGGGTGTTGGGGGAGGGGGTGGGAGCATAAGGCGTGGGGACCTTGTTGGAGAAGGCGAGTTGTGTGCATGAGGATCTCGGGGTGGAGGGAGGTCGACCTTTCTTGGGCGGAGGATGACGGAGCCAGGTGGTGGTGTGGGGGATGGGATAGAGGGTTGTTCGGGAGATGGGCTGGGTGATCGATTCGCTACGGTCGCGCTGAGTTTGGAGCGGCTGGGTCGATTGTGGTGGGTGGAGCTTTTCTTTCGGTGATGTTGTCCTGGCGCCGGACTCGGAGTATCTGCACGGGATATCCTGGGTCCTATATCATCCAAGCTTGATGGACCGGTAAAGCCGTTGAATCCATTGAAGTCATCGAATACGGGCGGCGACTTAAAGGCGTGAAGAATTTCGTCAGTGCGGGGACGGTCGTCAGGGTTCAGAGCGAGGAGATGTTTTAGGGACCGGTAGAGTTTCTCAGGGAGGTCTGTTCGCACTCTCCGTTCGTCGTCAAATCCAGCCCAAGTAGAAATCTCTTCTCGAAGTTGGTCTAGATCTTCTTTGTCTTCGTCAATACCATCTGCATTCCGGTAGGGCAAGCGAGCAAAGCACATGAAGTAGACTATCATTCCAAGGGAGAAGATGTCTGACTTGGTGGTGAAATTTCCAAGCGGGCCACCAGGTGTCTCGTGTCGGAGCACCTCAGGCGCGCAGTACGATATTGTTCCCGTAGCTCCTGTGGACTTCCGAGCAACATTTGCAACCTGCACCTCACCGAAGTCGCTCACCAGCACTCGTAGTTTGGTGCCAGTATGGTGGAGTAGACAGTTGCTAGGTTTGAGATCCCGGTGGATGTATCCATTAGCATGGAGATGATTCAAGCCCGAAGTAATATCTTTGAAAAAAGACAGGATTTCCTCAAAGTGCATTCGACGGGGAGCATTCAAATCCTTTGGCTCATCCAGCTGGCCTTTCGACCGCCTCCGAATCCGCTCTTTCAACTGTTCCGTGGTAAAAGTCGACTTTGCCGAGTCTAGAATGTAGTGGTGCAAGTCACCCGCGTTGCAATACTGCTGCAGGATGAAAGCGCAGGGAACGCTTGGCCCAAAATTAGATATCTGGTAATCTTCCAGCCAGACATGCCGATAAGATACCAGATTCTGATGTGAGAGGTTTTGAAGCAACTGCACCTCGATCAAGACCTTCTCTAGCCATTCGTGGTCATCTCCGACTGGCACCCGCTTACAGGCGAACTGGCCGAGCGGCACTCCATCTAGGACATGTCGAACAAGAAGCACGACGCCTTTGCCTCCCCTGCCCAGCTCCCGCTCCTCTACAAAGAACGTCTTGAAATAGTTCGGACTGAATGCTCTTGCAGAAATGCCATGATGCCGCTGCGGCACAGGCGTACTCCCGACGAACTCTGCGCCGTCCGGAGTATGAAATCCGCCTTCTGAATCGCGCATGGGCGCCGGAGCGAGCTGTTTGTGCGGTGATGACGGACGCGAGGTGTCTGCAGATCCAGGCTGGCTCCTCCGCAGCATCTGGAAGTATCCCGGGTTTACAAAGCCTGATTCAGCATCCTGGAGTCCTGCGTGTTCATGCTCTTCGGGCTCGTCTGCGCCGTGCGGGGTGGGCTCTCGAAATGCCCTGTGGCAATAAGGACAAGAGGTGATCTCGACGGCATTGGAGTGCGAGGCGTCGCGGAGGGAGAGCTGCTTGGATCGCTGGTCAAATACCACAACGGCAGAGCCGTGGCGCCTGTATAGAGAGCGGGTCAGCGTGAAAAACAACGGCAGGAGAACAAGCATGCAAACGTTGCGACTGACAGGACTACCTCCCGCGACTCGGCGGGGACATAAGGCACGAGCGACATGCTGCGTGAACGTTCGCGATCGTCCATGGTTGCGGTCAAGAGCTCTGCGGGGAAGCAGCGGGGGTGGACGGGCGCTCGCGCAGAGTGTCGTTCTTTGGACGGGGACGGCGCAGGCGGGACAGGGAACAGAGCATTTTATCGCCAGTGTCGCTGGGCATGGCCGTATTTATTGTCGTTGGGCGGCACAGTGAGCCCGCGGTCAGAATGAATACAGGGGGATGCTTCCTTTGGAGACGGTGTTTACCCACGCCTTTGGAAGAAGCCATTCTGGCACGGACCACACGTTCATGTCCTCTGACTACCTTCGTCAGTAGCAAATCTGTCTTCTCTGCATGTTTTTGGATCATGTCCAATCATTACTAGTGACTAGTATTTAGAATACCCAACCGCTCCACTCCACAGCATCATGCTCTTTGCTGAGCACATCGGAACCCAAAACCAGTCTATCCCCAAGATATCAACCATGCCACCCCTCGCCTCAACCTGCGGAGATCAGTCTCAACCCCAACCCCGCTCAAAGCAAGCTTTTGATGGTCTGTCCCCCTTCAAATACCTCTCCCTTGTCCAGCTTCTGCCAGCCATTAACCGCACCAACCTCGACGCACACCATCTCCGTGAAGCCGATGTCAGGCGAGAAGTCGCCCATCGCGGCTGCCTTTTCCTTCCATGGGTTCCAGACAACGGTATCTTGCAGATTGTCGCGGACGACATCGAAGCGTGGCGTGCCGCTCTCCAGCACCGTCGTAGTGTCCTGCGGGATGGATGCATAGACGCGGTCAACTTCGCCGGTGATGGTGACTGAGGCATCAGACTGCTTGTGTGTCGTCGCATTCAGAACTTTATCAACGTAGTCGACGCCAAGGAGTCCACTTATCGAGACTTTGGAGATGTCCTGCAACACGCGACGTTAACGCAAAAGGCATGCAACAGGGGGAGGAACACGCCGGGAGTGACAGAAAGCTTACCTTGACCTTCAGATACGTGTGCAGCAGCATTTGGAACTCGAAGCTATGATCGCCTTCGTTGCGGACATTCATAACCGTCTGCAGGCTGTCCTTTGATAACGTGACACTGTATACTAGTCCGAAGTCCAACGGCCACGCTGTTCGCGCCTCTGGCGACAGATTCGAGCTGTAGAGGCCAAAGTCAAGCTTGACTGAGCTTCCCGCGGCATCCAGCGCATCCTCGGACGTGGCTTTTCCTAGGAATTCCCAGCGTGATGTTCGAGCGAAGCCGTGTTGCGGAAGGGCGGACGTGGGGTGACCAGATTTGGGAGGAGGACCGAAGACCTCGAGCAAGAGTGTTAGCAATATTTCGTATAGATATATATCCTCCCACTCAATTGAAATGGCCACCTTTTCAGAAGGCTCCTCGGCACTAGAAGCAATCGTGAACTTACAGGAAAGACGACCGGAATCCCTCCGCGAACCGCCTTACTTCCATCAAGCGCCGCCTTCTCACTCAACCAGAGGTTCTCTGCCTTGCCACCATTGCTCTTCCAGCTAATCACCGTCGCACCATACAGCAGCACCTCGACGCTCTCACCAGAGGGCAGCGTTGCCGTGACCTTGGAGCTAGTTCCCGATCCCGTAATTTCTACCTGAGGTGCTGGAGCAGCCGCCGACGGCGCGTTTAGCGCTGACGGGCGATTTGCGCGGTCGACCATGGCGTAGTGTAATTATCCGGTGTTCTACGATATAATACTGGGTATCGCTGTGAAGTCGAACTGGAGTTGCTTGGAAAACTGTTGTAAAGGCGGGGTGAACAGCTCAGCAAACCAGCCCAGGCCAAACCAAAAACTTGCGCTAATTTTCCGCGGGCCTGTCGGAAATACGCTGAGTCAAATAGTCCACTCCAAGACAGTAGCCTAAGCTCTTATTTGTAGCTATCAATAGGTTGAGCGGAGGGGTGTAGATGAAGGCGAGTAGAGTAGGAATGGAGGGGTAGATGAATATGGCACAGCAGCTTATTACGCCCCACCATGCACATTCCTTCTGAAACACTAGTGTTTCATGTGCATTCGCCTAGTGGGTTCGATCAACAGCTATTTGAGCTGCTTCTGAGCATGCATTCCTCGTTCACCAGACAGCCTCACACGTTCAATGTAATATGGTGCCACGCAAACACCAAGCAGAATGCGCAATGAAGATGAACCACTGTTTTTTCTCAATGACCCGTTCGTACGCCGACGATATCCACCATTCCAGAACTGGCACAGCCGGTAGCCATTATGCAAATAAAGAAACAACTAATCTTCACTTGTGGATATCCAGAGACACGGCCCTTTAGCCACTCTACACTCTACCCAATACCCAAAAACAGCATCTGTGCCGTACAATCTGTCGAGCATACTTTTCCATCTACTGGCCCTCCTCGCTTCGCCTGCCTGCAGCGTGAACTTGACGCCTTAGATCGAACAAGACATCATCGAACTCTCTCTCGTCGGCGCGGCCCAGTACCATCTGCGAGCAATCGGAAATGATTTTCCTGAGCCGCCCAAGAACGCTTCTCGGGGTGAGAATGACCCGTTCAGTGAACGAACGGTTCGGTGTTGCCACACTTTCAGAGCCATGCTGTGACTGGGGTTGTTCCGTTTTGAGAGGGGCTGTGGTGTCACTCTGGCGTGCCACATCTGTATTCTGTTCGCCCACCAACACGGATGCCTCGTCTGATTGGATTGGTGCGTGGTCGATTGTGATGTCGTTCTCTTCGACCACAGTTGGTCTTGACGAACCAGCAGCTGAAGAAGCTGACTGCGGGGGGGCGCGTTTGGGCGTGACTTGAACGTGACTGAGGCGCTTGACTTGGGAGCTTGAGTCTGTTGAGGCTGTGGCTTTGGCTGTTCCTACGTCTTGACTCAGGCTCTTTCGTGCCCTCTTGGGTGCCGGCGTGTTCTCCACAAGAATGTCCGCAGAATGTGCCTCCACCTGGGCAGGAGCTGGCATTGATCGAGGAGCGGGTCGTTTCCGAGAGGCGGATGCCAACATGACAACCTGGCTGTCCGGTAACTCCTGCGTACTCCATCTGGATTTCTTCAAATTATGAGCATCGCCCTTCTTCTCAATCTTCCTGCTGGCCGGTGACGACACAGCGGAGCTGGGTTCAGGTTTGATCAGAGGATTGCTAGTGGGTTTGACATGAACGACAATGCAATCTAATATGCCATCGTCATCGTCATCGTCATCGTCATCGTCAGGATTCTCCTTGGAAGACTCTGGCAAAGTTTGTAGTAGTTCAACAGCTTCCGTAGTCTTACTCTTCTTAGATTTGCGCATGCTATCAGCAGTCGATTGCTTCCGCCTTTTTGTGCCGCCATGCCGCCTCGGACTAGACAGGACAGAAGTTCGGGAAGACCGGCGACGGCTTTCTACCTGTGTGTCAGGAAGTTCGGTTGGCTCTTTGGCTGCTTCCATGCTTAAGAATGAGTCTCCCACACGGCTAGTTCCGCTAGAGATAGTCCCGGCCTCTTTCTGAGTATCTTCACCCTCGGCAGCATTAGCAGGCTCGTTATCAGAGTCTAGAGACTCTTCTGGGGCCCCTAAAGGGTGGGCTGCAACATCCTTGTGTTCAATTGTGTCTGGATGTAGATTCTGAGAGAGTGCATCAACGTATAAATTGTTTGGCTCTTGCAGAGTTCCAGAGAGTGTCCCTGAATCTTTGCCGACGGTAGACTCAATCTGGGCGTTGAGCTCTGCAGTCAGTTGAGCGGTCAGCTGTAGATCGACAGTGGAACTTGGCACTTCAGGAGGATCTTCATCTGTTGGCAACTCATCCTCGGAACTATCAACTTCATTCTGGTCCATAGGCCTGCCGACATGTAACAAGAGGCCCTCATCAACCGTCTCTTCCTCGTCAGTGATCATGGAATGGTCATCTTCAAATTGTTCAGGTTGATGGTAATCGAAGCTGTCACGCACAAGATCATCGCTCTTGTCGTTGCTATTGGAAACACGAGTGCTGGGTCTCAATTGTGACTCGAAACGCGGGGGGGATGAGCCCAAATCATCCGTATCATTTGCAAGCCGCACTGTTCGGACCGCATTTGGTGTCGCCATATTGGTGTCGTCCCTCAAGACTTGTTGGCTACGATTACGAGCTTGGGGCGTTGGTGAAGACCCAAGATATACGTCCATTGGGCCCATGGAAGCAAGCGACTTCAGAGGAGTACGGGAATTCTCGCTCGGCAGATCATCAACCCTGGTCAGGTCAGAGTGGAATTCCATGCTAGGTTCCCTCGTAGCGTTCTCTTGTGGCTGGGGATCGGATACAGATGCAACATCTGAGAAGATATGTGCTGTGCCTCGTTGTCGTTCTATCATCTCTATCTGTCGCTCGGTCAATATTTGAGACTCTTGGTTGAGCGGGTCGGTTGGCGACGATACAATGGGCTCAAATTGTATTTGGGAATTCTCATGTCGAAGGCGAACCTTAGGTGTATGGCGAGAAGACATTCTTCTTGTACTGGTGCTCGGGACAGCAGGTGAGCGCGAGGAGCGGATGGTTTTAACGATCTCGAAGGGGGAATCTTTGATGCGTGGGCTTCGGAAGCCTCGTTCCGAATCAACGATTTGAGAATCAGAGTCATAAAAGGACGGGGTTTCATGCTTCGTTAACATTAGTATCAAGTCTTTATGGAAAAGAATGCCGACCTACCACATCCTCATCCTTAAGAGATAGCGATGGTAAGGATATATTCACGGTGCTGTGAAATCGACGTAGAATGTTCTCAAGCCGAGAAGGGTATCGCAAACTCTCTTCTTTACCAAAAGTTGCATTCCAAGTTGTAATCGAAATGTTGACGATGCTAAGTCGTCGGCTTGAAAATCCGGCGGTCACAAGAGGCTCCAAGACCACGAGCATTGAGCTGTCCTTACGAGGCAATCTTTCCAAAGCAGTATTGACAGCTTGCCATAAGTTAAGGACCTGTTTTGCGTTAGTGGCATCTTTAATATATGTTGAATCAACGTACTTCACGATACAGATGCTTGGCACTCTGCTCTTTGCCCTGCAGTTTCCTGTCCGCATCTTCGATCCACGGTGTTATACCTACTTGAATGCTGCGCAGATACACAGCAAGATAAGATAGTGGACACTGCTGAATCGAATTCGCAAGAGCTGAGAAGAACTCTCGGACGCTTTCGGAGTCGCCAACATGAACGGTTTGATATGATGCTGACCCGATGGAGACAATTGCAGCATAGAAATGGTTATAGGGGTTGAACTCATGGCCTCGTGCAGGAATTTGAGATGATGGCCAGAGGCTTTGTCGTCCTTGGTCGAGGTTGCGTCGCACGATGGTCTTGGGTAAATTCTGGAGGAGTGTTGTGGCATATGGTAGGCAAACGCTGCTGTCTTCCGTGTGCCTCAGAACACGCTCAGAAACCTTTTCGATCACTGCGAGCACAACGGCGCCTTCACCTGCTTCTCGCCGGACAGCCTCCACGAAGCTAGTTAACAGTTCTCGTCCCGAGGGACTACCGAGAAGAAACTTTGAACCCAGCGCAAGAATCTCGACCAGGACTTCGTACTCTTTACCGAGCTGTTGAGACTGGCGTTCGTTCGCGTCAGACGATCGTTCTTGAATACAGGCTTTCGTTTGATTTGCAATCCGAGCCCAGAAGTTGAGCGTGACGGCGTTCTTCGACGAAGAATCCACGGCCGCTGAACAATCCCTAAGCAACTCTAGTTTCCCTAAGCGAGTGTTCCGAGCGTTAACACACGGCTCGAGAATAAGCTGCACGGCTTGAAAACGGACTTTGTCTGAGAGTTTCCCTTCGGATCGACTAACGAGGAGATCTACGAAGTAGAGAAGCGGTGATATCCTTGGTCCATTTTGTCGGGAACGGTTGGAGGGTGTTCCAGCGAGCTCAAGCCCATTCTCTTCGTTTCTTGTGAGACATTTGTCGGCGAACTGAAAAGTTCCTAACTTTTCTAGCACTTTCTCAATCAGGAAACAAAACTTATTCGCCCAGCTGACTTCTTTCTGATGTGCAATGGCAAGCTCGGAGGTATGTCGATCCCATATTCGGCGCAGCAGATTGACAATGTGTGCTAGAGCATCCTTCGTTTCAGTGGACGCCATTACCTCTTTACTACTTGCCTCCACCAGTGAGTCTAGGAGACTTATCCACACTGTCTTGGCTGGTTGATTTTCCTCGGTTTCGAGCAACCACGGCGTGGCATCCAGGAGTGTTTCCACGAATTTCAGGATGGATGAGAGGTTTTTGCGTACCCACTTTGGGTCTAGTAATGGCAACTCATCTCGCTGCACCATTGACTGGCTCTTGAGTTCCAATACTCTCTGTTCATCCCACGCTTTCCTGGAGCCGTTCAACAAGCTGGACACGATACGACATGAAACCACAGCATACTTCGACGAGGAAGAGTGGATCAATGGCTTCCAGAAATCAGCGACAAACTCGTTCCAGTACCGGTCGAGCTGCTCATAGGATGCAGTCGGTCGCAACCCGTAGTAGAGCAAGGCCAGATAACTCGCGGTAACCACCTCGCCCTCGGCTTTTTTCCAGTGGCTTCGACGCTGGAGCTGCTGCTGGGGAATCTTGAGCAAGAGTTCTGACCAACTACGTGGGCTAGACTGCGTAATGTTGACCGCATATATCAAAAAGTTGGTAGCCACATTGGCGTTGACTTTGACCATGTCGTTGTCTGATTTGAAGAACTTTTGAAGCAACGCTAGCCAATCAGACATTGCGGTAAACTTGTTCAAATCAAACGAATCTCGAAGGAACGCGGTGACGACGCCCCATATTTGGGGAACCAAGGGTGCCACTTCGGAGCCTAACATTTTGTCGAGCTCTTGAGCGATGACCTTACCAAGGGTGTTTCCGTCAGTCTTTACGCGGTTCAGAATTGACAAAACTGCCTTGGTCACCTGCGGATCCGACCCAATTGTTTTTGCTGCAGACATGGCAGTATCCAATGCGCTCTGGTTGATGTCTTTCTGGCACGATAATAAAGCCTGGAGGGTGTGCTTGAACCATCTGTCCGTGTGTTTAGCCATTACTTCCGGGCGTTGTTGTATCAATTTTCGGTAGACGCGGATTCGATAAGCAAGGACGGAGAATCCGGAGACACGGTCGTTGATATTGTCAAAAACGTCGAGGATCTTCTCTACGCGTACAGTTGTCATAATCTTCGGGCGAAAGTTTTGTTGCATCAGAAGGGCCAGGTGAGTGTTGATTATCGTCTTGGGCATGCTGGCATCTGCAGCGACCTGGATGCATCGCTCAACTATAAATGAACAAAAACCGTCATCCATAGCAGTTTTCAAGTCGGCAATCCTAACCAGCACCATAAGAAATTTAATGGCCTGTCCAATCAACTGCGAGTCCGGCCCACTTCCAGTCATGCTCATCGCTTGCATGTCCCTCCGTATGAATTGAGACAAAAGCCCCATTTTGATCGTGAGGGACTGGATGTCTGGGACCTTTTCATAGGCTTGCATCGTCCGCTGCAAGGTGATGTACGCATCGAGCTTAGAGGACCTCGAACCCTGGGCTAGCATCTTGACCATTGACTCCAACATATCTGCGAGTGTTTCGAACTTGTGTGCCACGGAGCCTTCGTCAGTTGTTGGGGGTGTGGAGGCTGGATCGTGGGCTTTGAGGATAGATTTTAACGGCCTGCTCACACGAGTCTGGGGTAAAGGTCTCAAGGGCGAGCTATGAAGCGGTGTCCAATGGTGGGGGGCAAGGCTGGTGGCAGGGAGCGTGCATGTCGGGATCTCGAAGTTGACTCGCTTCTTTCTGCTGCTAGAATTGGTAGAATTCGCAGTCTCAGAAGAGGGTGATTGCGCGGGAGTACTGAGGTGCGACTTGGACGTGGAAATTCTATTTAGAAGTAATTTGGTGCCAAAGGGATCATCCAAGAATTCTAGGGCTTCGTTGACCTCTTTGTCGAGGTCTTTTGGAGGAGTGGGAGGACGAACAGAAAAAGTCTCGAACTTGGAAGTAGACAACACCATGGCTATGCTTGAAAGCAGTTACTAAAAGCAAGGAACTGAAGAGGAGAAGATGACTCTCGCATTGCGGGGCGCGAGGTTGAGGACTACTCGAGCGACGGACGGGGGTGGATATAGAGATAGCGTGGAATGGCTGGGTAGAGTCCGACACGTCTTTCGCGAATGGGCCCGTGTCCGTGTCCCCAACGCGAAGGATCACGTGCCAGCAGGGGTCGCCTAAAGTGCTCTTCATTGGGACCTACAAGACTTGATAACACAATCCCCTATATCTGTTGGCGTTTAGTTTCTTAAATGACTGGAGTTGCTTTGATCTCACCTCTACGGAGTATGCACCTTCGCAATTATAGCCCCATTGCTAAACATGGCCGCGCGCCTACTCAGGTACTTATTGCAGTTTGCTAAGAGAGGCTCCCAAGGCCTATTCTGACCACTGCATTCAGAACACTGTGTTCAATCACCTAGGGTGTGCAAAATCGTAGAACGTAAAGATCCTTGGACCTGCCAGCCGGAAGCCTCTGTCGTGAGCCGGAAAGTGGGTAATAGAGTTGCCAATGCAGTCTTCCGCCCAACGATGTGCAGCCATCCGAGTTTCCCTTTCCAATTGTACCTCCCGGGATGATAAATTGCCTCTGTCTTCAGGCTGAACGAGATCGTGGGTGCGGTTCATGTCTTTCCTCTGCGACAACTATCACCAATTGCGGGGCTGCATCCCGCACCCGTCAAAGGCATCCTGCGAACGCTGAGCCGTAAACTCTCCACGACCACGCCACCCTCCCTCATCCTTTGTGACAAACACAAAATGCTGCCCAAGTCTGCCACAATACCCGGCGCCGGAAAAGGTAACTTCTAATCTGAATGTACTCTTGTTGTGGGCCAGTAGTAGACAGGTCGCTCACATGCGCCCAGCGAAGCTTGAACGGGTCACAGCCATCCTAGCCAACCTCGACGCCAACCTCGACACGAACAAGCTTTCCCCCAAGCGTACGCTTCAAAATCCCCACCTTTCTTCGTAGGTGAATCCCTTACCAGCGACCAGAGCGAACCGAGCTACTAGAAGAACTCAAAGTCCATGGACGAGCTGTGGAGAATGCAGACCCCATATTCACAGAGGATGTACGTACAGGCAGCGCAAATTTATGAGATGGATTGTTAATTCCACTGGTGCTATCAGGGTATTCGGACCTTGTCCCGCCATGCCTTCGAGAGCAACGACTCCAAGACCTCGCAGGAGGCCCTTCGATGCCTTGCGAATGCCCTACTGCTCCAGCCGAAAACACGCCAAAGCCTCGTAGATTTGGGGTATGCCCCTAAAGCGGCGGAGAAGATGAAGGCAAGGAACCGATGTGTCTTCGCAATCTGAGACCGTCTGACTAGCTAATAGAGCGAGAACTATGATGACGAGTTCCTACTCTCACGCATTCTCTTCCTCATGACCTACGATACCACCCTCGACTACGAAAAGCTTGTCAACGAACAGCAGTTGGCCGAAAGCATCAACCTCGCCCTTGCTCGACATGCGAAAAAGTATTCCAAGTCCGCTCGACGCTTGTCGCAGACCAACAATCCAATGGAGCCCATGGCACTTTCCGAGACCCTGAAGCTATTATTCAACATCACGCATTTCTACCCCGACCTCAGTGAACACTTCTCCAAATCGATACCTCATATCTTCAAGATCCTCACCCGCATGAAGATACCAAATCCTCCGTTGCAAGCACCCATAAATTACTTAGTCAATGCCCTCATTAACCTAGATCTAGAAGATAAGAAGTGCCAACAACTGAAGTTCGTAGGTATGAACGCGGTATTCCCCAAATTTGACGCAAAGTGCAATGCGGAGTACCTCATCAACATCCTCGACAATGCCATTGTAGCATACACAGAAGCCGAACTCGATAACACTATCTCACCCGTACTCACCCTCACCCGCCGTATATATGAGATCGCCCCAGATAGTGTAAAGAAGTATATGGAGTGGTTACTTCTTCCTACCGATGAGGAACGCAGTCGACCGCTTGGCAAGTCCGACACTCTCTCCGCACGTCTCCTGCGTCTGTCTACCTCAGCTATGACGCCAAGCCTGCGCGGCTCCATCTCTGCCATGATGTTTGAGCTTTCTGGCAAAGATGCGACGAAGTTTGTGCATAATGTTGGATACGGTTTTGCTTCCGGCTTCCTTCTCTCCAATAACATACAGATGCCCGAGAATGCAATGGAAGCGCACGCTACGGGTTCTAGTTCAGAAAAGGGCATTCTAGTGAACCCTATTACAGGGCAAAGACTCGATATGGAGGATTCCGCGGAAGAAGCACCCATGAGTGAAGAGGAAAAAGAAAGGGAGGCCGAGAGGCTATTTGTTCTCTTTGAACGGTATTTCTTTATTCTCGTCATGGTTGTGATTGGTTCCGGACTGACAGTAACCCTAGCCTTAAAGCAACGGGGGTCGTGGACGTAAAGAATCCGGTCGAAGAAGCCATCCAATCTGGTCGAATTGAAGAGCTGCCGGATGACCATGTCGAAGATTAACTTTCTACTCCTCCGCCGTCTTTCAGGTTTAACTCCTCTTTCCGACATGCCAATCGTGCACCGCAAGGCGTTTCAGTGTAGCTTCCCAAACAGAGACTCGTCCCTGGGTCTCTCATTCTTTTAATCATAGAGGTCGTTCGATTCATCTCGGGCATTTGGTGAATGCTCTGCTTTCGACTGATTAAGTCGCTATATCTAGATAGACCTTCTCCATTCCTAGCTAGTTGCACGATATAGCTGCAACTGTGGCCAGATTCCTGCACGAATTGAACTATCCGGCCTAAAACATCACCAATACCTTATTACTAGGGGTTTACTGTAGCGAATGAGTGACGACATATAGAAACCCGCCCAGTTTGCATATGCCACTTTCTCTTCTGAACGAGAGAACAGATATGGTTGGCGGGGTCGTGAACCTGCCTCGTCACTGCCTTCTGGACCAGTGAACACGCTCACTTCTATGACTTTCTCTCGACTTCGTTCCAATCTGCCCTTCTCTTGTCATATTTGCCTTGTTGAAGTCACTCTATTGCATGTTCCCTATTGTTTACATGCGTTCTTCTGAAACACCACGATTGCAGAAGCTTTGGCAATCTTCGGCGCAGCTGCAGCAGGTGTACAGATCACTTCTAGAATCATTAAATCTTGTCGATCCCTCTGATGTTTCGCAAAAATTTATCAAGGTTGCCGGCGAGAAGTTCAAAAACATGGCATTTGAAGGATCCCAATTCGGCTAATTGTTATATGTCTTTTCCGACATGGTTAAGAATGATTCCAGCCACTCTTTTTGTCCTGCATCTGTAGATAGTCTTCTTATATTTGCGGGGGACGCTTATATGCAAGATCCGTCGACTCAACCCGGACCCGAGTGTCTCAAGCCGGAATACGGTAGTGGGTTACATCGAATTGCACTTCGGGCGAATGTCTTTTAGACGGCTACAAGCTTCGTTATCCGTTACTCAGGAGTTAATAGATTTCTATCTCAATTTACGCGTTCTCGGAATTTAAAAGGAAGAGTTCAAATGGCTGAAGAAACTAGCAACTCACTCCAAAGTGAGTGCAGCGACTCGAAAGGAAATGGCAGATAAGCAACAGCGAATGTTAGATTCTACCCAGCATAGAGCTTTTTCAGTAGCACTAACCTAAACAGTGAAGTGAAAGAAAATATCTTCCTCGGATTTCTTCTCGACTACGAGCGGCGGAGCGAAGACTTCTTCAAAGCGAGGACCGGGAAAAGACACGCTCGGAAGCGCATCTCGACCCAGACATCAAGAATTTCTTAGATTTCACAAGTGAGATGAAAAGAGCTTCTGGGTGCTATCCACTGACAACTACCAGGCCGAATCATCTAGAGAGCGGAGCCTAGACATCATAGGGAGTACGCAAGCCGCCTCAGCTTCCTCTCCGTACCCTCGACCAAAAACATCACACACACCGAGATCTTGTATGGTTCCACATAGCAAGTCCCTGGTCACCGACATTCCTTTTAACATTCCCCCATCGCCAGATAACTCTCTACTCCGCAACTCAAGCAACCTCAAACCAGCAACCAGCCTCCTCAGCTTCCTCAGCTTCATGAACTACTCTGACGCCTTCTTCCCCCACTCCCGAAGTCCACTCTCAACACTACACCAACAACTATAGAAGCCTGGAGGGGAGAATATAAGAATGATCCCTCTGGAGATATCCTTGCCACACCAATTCGATTGCCATCTTTGCAACAACGCACAGTCAGTTCAGCAAGTTCCATGCGGCAAGCCTCTCCAACCACTAATCTCTCAACTCGACGGCCATCATCAACGGAGCAGTCTTCAGTTCAACCAGCAAGGCAAGCTCCCAGTGGCCGCGTTCCTTTCTCACAGGAGGCTGTATCCAACAAAAACCCTCCACTGGTGTCAAACATTCCCACCAATCAGCCGCTGCCATCTTCAATTCAAATAGAACAGGGTGAGGAGCATCCGTGCTCATTGGGCTTCGCCTTCTCCTCCTGCTACGACACCAGTGATTTTGAATCCCTGGAGGATGTAGGGCCTAGCATCTTCCAACCTGTTGCAGATGTGACATGGAAGCATCCGCGGGGGTGGCGAGAGAAGCATGGAGAACGGAGAGAAGATTGAGGCTCTTCCCCCCAACGGCTTGTCACCCTGAAATCGGTTTACCCGGGGGTAGGGCTAATGGCTGGGAGAACGCTATATCTGTTGCTCCTAGGGAACTCCAGTAAGCTCCTAGGGAACTCCAGGAAGGCACAAAAAGATTGGGGATAGTGTCGAGACAACAGCGTGGAGCTGAGTAGCTATTCTGTATTCCCGGATACGATGTTACACTTTGAGAGTCTCAGAACGTCACAAGCTGCCGGGCATGCTGTGTTTACACAGCAGTATCACTTAAGGTTTAGAAATTTTCGTCAACACCACGACCACCATCACTGGCCATTATCATCGCTACCGTTGCCTGCGGTTACCCCCGGTAACAACACGCCGTGCTCATGTTTGAGCACCTGTATAGCCTACATGCCGTCCGTATATATTTCTTCCAGCCCTTCTTTTCTTCCACGCTCGTACTAAGCCTATTCTCTCTCGTACCAAACCAAGTATCTGCGCCAACTTGCCGTCGTCGCAGTGAAATCCAGCTCTTTCACTTCTCCTCAAATCTGTTACCAACACGTCTCGCCAGGTCGCCGCCTAGAGGAACAACTCTGCACCTTTCTCTTCGTCAATCTCACGTGCGATGAAACACAACGGCGAGTCTACTTAAGCAACTACCACAGTACCCCACGACAACAAGTCAACTGAAGCCTTCATCCGGCACATCTTGAAGTTATTATTCCGTGATTTCATCTGCATTTTCTGGCCACGTTACCTTGCTTACCCTACGTTGTTTGTCTGCCCGCAATGGTCCTGCGACCTCATCAATCTCATGCCCGTAGAGGAAGCTCTCGTGGCAGCCATCGCGGTAACCGTCGCAGCAATCGCGGCAGAAGTCGTGACGGCAATCGCGGCAGAAATCGTGGCAACAATCGCGGCGGAAATCACAGCGGCATGAGAGAATATCCCAGTGGACGTGTCGCCCAGCATGGTAGCAGTGGACATCAGCAAATCGCCGCCGGCCAGCAACCCGTCACCATCACCCAGCAAGCTAGACAAACCACCTCCCAAACTGCCGGCAACGAGAATCCAGCCCCCGCCAAAGGCACTGCTGCTACCAGCCCAATTCGCATCAAGAACCACCCGCGTGGCACGTCCCTGACCGAGGGTGTGGCCTTCAAAAACAAGAAGTTCATGGATGCTGTCCTGGGAAAGAAGTGCCGGAAGCTGAAGAAGGGGCCGAAGGAGGGGAGGATGCAGTTGGTGTGGGGAAGGGAGTAGGGGAGAGTGTGGGTTCATGTTTGTGTGTGGCGCTCCAGCCGTCTATGCCGGAATAGATGTAGTGCTAAATGGCAACTAGTATTGCACATTCTTTACTACGTGTGTGAAATGTATAAGGCTAATATAATTCAAGCCTTTCCTTTCCTGACTCTGTTTCACAGTTCTGTCTATTGTGCTTTCGTAAGTAATACCTGCATACTTCTTGTATTTCTCTGCTTTGTTTCTTACACTACAGAAATACTATTTGGACTTTTAAGTTAACAGACTAGGAGAGATATTAAGATTTCTAATTCTTGCTAGAATTTCCCACAAGATAATAGCTCTGCTTTTCCCTAGAATAAGGAGGAAATATGTGCAAAGAAAGGAAAACAGTTCAAGTCCTTACCTGCCAGAGAGTACAATACACTAGGCACATTTCGGCTATACAATTTAGAAGACGCACAACCTAAACCTCTTGCTAGAAACTCCTTAAGCAACAATACAATATCTCCCTCTCTTCCTCATAGAAGAGAGGAAATACATATGCACATGCACACATAACCCACTCGGTCAGATAGCAAGCAAGCAAGCAATCAAGTAGCAGACTCCATTCTATGCATATAGTGTCCCCTTCCCGAACCGCCTTGCCTCTTTTCCATCGCCCTCAAAGTTCGCTACTTTAAAACTGGTAACAGAACGCCTCAGCTCCTCCCACCCTATGATATCTATCTGACTGTCCATTGCGTGTGTGCTAATCCTTCAAAATGCGCATCCGATCCATGGTCTCATCCAGCCAGCCATGCTTGTTTGTATGTGTCTCGGTGGTGAAAGCGAAACTTTGAATATGCCTAACTGCACGAGGAAAAAAAAAAAAAAAGAAAACTAAGGGGGCAAGTTTCAGCTAGACTACGCGTACAGATATTCCTTCATCATCCATCGATCCATCCATGCTCTCGAACTCATACAATCTCACCTTCCCTCTGCTCCCGCTCCCATTCGCAGAAAAATGCATTTGCAATTCAATCTCAGGTCACACGCAAAAGAAAACTGCTTAGAAAAGGCTCCTCTCAGAAGTTCTGGCAATTTGAGTATCCGTGACATTCGCATGTCCAAGACTGGTTATGTATCCGTCGTTGTGATAGGGGTGAGCGCCCCGTCATCGATAAACTCATCAATCAGCGCGCTCTCCGCATCGATATCATCATCCTCGAAATCTGCATCATCTTCCTCGTCATCTACCATGTCCATGTCCTCTGGCTCGACTTCAAGCTCGAAACTCATTGGCATTGGAGGAGCGGACAATACAGGCGTTGCCTGCAGGATGCTCTCGTTAAAGCCCTCCTGTATTGCTTGTTCGTGCTGCTCGGGAGATTCCTCTGCACTAATGGTCGGAGGTGGCACTGCCGCTGAGATGGTAGTAACACTGTTGGGTTCCTGGGTTACGCCAAATTCCGTGGTGACTGTAATTGAATCCGGGCTTGGAGCTGGCAGTTCGGCTAGGCCTTCTAGTGTATTCTCACCCATGACCTCTCCACCGGGGCTGGTCTCTGCTAGTTCTGCCATAACTTCGTTGGTCAAGAATGACCAGAATTCAGCAACGGCACCTGCCATTTCATCGGCCTGCCCCCGCTCTTCCTTTTCCTTTTCCATCTTCTCCTTTGCCCGCAGTTCGGCTTCTTTCTTTGCCTTGATTTCCTCCTCAAGTCGGCATTTTGCCACGACTTCTTTCTTGCGGGTACAGTGGGGGCAATGGTAGTTTATCGTGCAGTAGGTACATGTGCATGATGGATTTGCAGCAGCGCAGGCCTAAAGAACGTCATTAGTTCGGTAGCGTAGATTGGGGGAGGTAAAGGAGGCTTACATCACACACTAATACTTGGCACTCTGTGCATTCCTTGAGTATGGCTGGACATTGATTCCTATTGTCACCAACTGGTCGAGGGTACTGACAAAAGTACGATCCGCAGCCCTCCCACTGAACAGGGTGGCGGGGATGGCAAGGAAGCGGAAGCGGATTGGTGATTGGGTTGACAGCACGAGGTGAGTTGGGCCAAGAGCCAGAATTTCGACCTCGAACACCAGATGCACTGAACGAGCGGGGACGGGAGGAACTAACAGGAACGAATGGTAAGGAGCTCGGGGTTAGGAAAGGGTCCGTGGAGGATGCGTGAGATGATAGTGAGGCAGAAGCGGACATGTCTACAGCGGAGGGTATTGAAGGAGGGACGAGTATTTGAGATTGAGACATTGGAGTTGGTTCCGAAGTTTCGGGATCACTATCGGAGGCCACAGACGGTTGTTGTATTGAGGATGCATTGAGCAGGTCCTTACCTTTGGGCTTGTTCGGATTGAAATCAGGAATGGCCAGTCGAGGAGGTTCATGATGTGTTCGGACATATTCCCGTTCTGTGTGCATGTCTCTAAACCCGCATTTGCGGAACTTCAAACCCCTAAAATCATGCTCCTTGCATAGTGGGTTCTTGCAGCACCGGCAAGATACCTTCCACCTGAAGCTTCGATAGCAATCTTGACAAAGACCTCGGGGGCAGGTCTGGGCTTGTAGGTCTAGGCTGTCCTGTTTCAGGTATGATAGGATATCGACATCCTCGCCGAGAACATATTCGTAGAGCCCGTTATGCTTGAGCTCTCTAATGTAGTCTAAGGGTGGGAGTTGATTTGAGAAATCCGTGTCTTCGAATTGTTTGGTACGAGGCAGGGGAACAGCGCGAATGTTGTCTGCTCCTCTGCCGCCGAGCCCAGTCCCGACCACAGCTATCCCACCTCCACCAGAAAATATCGGTTCCAGGCAGCACCAATGCATGTTGAGCTTCGGAGGCTCTCTCATGTTGGGCGGTGCAGGAATCCCATTATTGAAATTGCCTCCATCCTCTGAATCAGAAGAATCATCGCCGTGAGCAGCCTCGTTCATGAGATTTGGCGACCGCGTCGCGCCCGGGGCCCACCAGAACCGGTTCGTTGGGCGTAGTTTCGCACTCCGCTGGCTCTCGAGCGAGGCGGACGAGCCCGATGCCTGTCCTAATGTGCTTCCCAGAGCTGAGCCAAGCCCAAAAGCCAGGTTTTGGAAATGCCGCGTCTTTACCCGCTTCCGTGGTATCGGTCGATTGAAGGCACAACTGGCGCAAAGCGTCTTGCGGCATCCCATGCAATGCATGCGAACACAGCACGACTCGCAGCGCTCCAGAATTGCGTCATTGCACTGTGCGCATTTGAAATCCTCGACGAACATCTTGTGGCTCTTCCGGAGGTGTGTGGGGACGTGTTTGCCCTCGCCTTTGAACGGCCCGTTTTCCGTGCCCAGCGGCTCGCCATCTTGACCCGATTCCGCAATTTCCCACAATCTGCCATCGGTAGCCCCAAGCCTTGTATTGCTATCAGTTGGCCCAATGCGGTTACTAGATCTCCAGAGCCGGTCAAAGGGCACCCATACTTCCAGAGATTGCGGCCCAGCTCTTCCCGAGTGATAGTCTTTTCTACGGTAGCATCTCCCGCCAGGCGTCGGACACCATGCAGTATCGGTCCAGATGCTCAGTTGATGACATATCTCGATGAGTTGATGTGTGGGATCCGAATCGGAGTCTCGTCGGGCAAGGGACGCGGGAAGGTAGGGCCGTCGGCGGTGGTGTCGGCATCGGTACGTGTAGAGACTCTTGAGGGCCAGGTCCTTTTGTATCCACGGGGAGTCCTTCATAGTGTATGGCTCTAGAAATGGGACGATGTGATACTTGAGGGAGACATTCTTGCATCCCCGAACCGACAAGTGCTCTAGGGTATCAATCCGAGGGGCCAGGACACTCCCGACCAAGGCAATGCCCGACACAGCCGTGTTGCACAGGTCCAAACTCTTCAACCGCGTCCCATACGGACATATGACCTGCTTCAGGAGGGCGTCGAACGAGTAGGTCTTGGACTGCCGGTCTCGGCCATCAGGCGTCTCGTTGCCCGGAGATCCCACGACGACCGCCGGCTGCGGCAGCCTGAAGGACAGCGTCTTCCATGCCAGAGGGTACTTGCGGAGGAAGTCGCGCAGGTATGTGGATGTGTGGTAGACGTTGAGGATGGCGCCTGTGGGCAACTGGCACAGGAGAGACTCTAGGATGGGCGGGTATGTTGTCACCACCGACTCGAACAAGCTGAGCGTCGCATGCTGGCTGGCAGCATCGCTGGGTACGGGTGTCTCATCAGCCTTTGTCGTCGTAGTCGGCTCGGCAGCGTGGCCACGGGCTTCGAGGTCCCAGAAGACGTCGTGCTGCTCGTCAGTGCTGCTCATGCTTTCTTCTGGCTGCAGGTTGAGGACTTTAGCAAACTCGAGCCCCACAAGACAGTGCTGTCGTCGGAGATGGCAAGGAAACATACGAAAGACTCATTCAGAGGAGGCTCAAGGCGACTACAGCGCCAACAATAAGGTCCAGGGCGTGGGGGGTGTGGGATGCGATGTCGTGTGCCTGCCTAGTGACTAGGTTTGCTGGGTGAGCCAAGAGTCAGCTCTGCCGCTCCCCTTCACCTTAATGTGCGTCTTCAGTCAACAGCCCCGACGCCACTCTCCCGCTTTGAGTCCGCTAGTGCAAGATGCTACTTGGAATTCCGCATAAAACTCCCAGTTGCCGGGCTTTGGGGGGTTTAGAAGATGATGAATGTAGTCACGTGACCGTCCGGTGAATCAAAGGGTCCATGTTACTATTTTAGTAAGCGCCAACATTCACGGCAGCATGCGTCAGGTGAAGACAGCCTCTTTGTTCCAAATTTACATTTCGCTTGATGGTGAAAGCTCCACCAGTGTTCACCTTACTCGCGGCTTCCAGGGATATCTTGCGCCAAATTCACTGAGCAAAACGCTTCATATGCCAAACGCCGCTTGTACCCAATCACCCATGCCCAAACCCCAAGGAAAATGCGTCGTGAAAAACTTGAGTAGGGAACCGAAAAGGAAACGCTCTTAGAATCTCGCTCAAAATACCCAGTTCCCGTCGGTATCTCTATCCTCTAGCCCGTCAAATAAAATGATGTCGAAGTCTAATTCTCCTCCCCAACTTCCCTCTGTTGAGGGCCACAATGCGTTGCTTACAAACGAGAAGACGGGAAGATGAGATCCCGTCGCTGTGCTATTTAGTTTCTTTCCCGTATCCGAATCCAAGTCAAAAGGTGGTCTGACTGGCTGTGTCTGATATCCAATGTCAATGGAACCAAAATAGGGTATAGTGAGGCGAGTCTTCCCGGCAGTCCGTCTGCTTGGATCGAGAGAGGAGAGAATCCTCTTAATGACGATTGCGCTGCGATTTGCAATCTTCTCCCGTGTGCTGCCTTTAGCTAGTTTCTCCAGCTCCCCTATCACGCGACAGACCATAGCGAAGTCTCCTCCCCTGGTTTTCTGGACCTCCTGCTTGTCTTTTGTTGCCATTTCTGTCAGGATGTTGAGTGCCATAGTGACGGTAGCCATGAACACTCCCAGCTCGGCAATCCGACAGCAAGCCTGTGTGATGCCAGAGTTTCGAAGCGCAAACCACCTCAAGATTACATTCCGACTTGCTTGCAATGCCGTGATCTTTGAGTACTCGAATCTGGTCTCCTGGGTAGCGCGTAATAGAAAAGGTAGATGGACAAAGATCTTTAGTTCAAAGTGCCATATCTGCACGACCAATCTTTCTAGAACTTCGGCTGACTCGGGCGTTCGCGCAGTTGGCGGTACGTTTGGGACGTCCCAGAACTCTTTCGACATCTCCTTCATAAATGCTTCGAGCTTTTCGTCGAGAGCTAGCGCTTGGACGTAGGTCTGCGATGTGACATTGCAGTCAAGTTCGGAGATCTGTCGTGATAGCCCAGCGAGTCTCCACCGATGAAGGAGTGCAGGATGAGCATCTTCGGGGCGAGGATATTCGTCCGAAGCGAACGGGAGGCGCAGGTGCAGGCTGAGAAATCTATCTGCGTCAATAAAGCAGCGCCACGTGAACTTTGCCGCCTCGATTGTCTCAGTCGGGCTTGGGGTAGGCTGAGCAATGATGCGATGGAACCCCATAAGGTGCGCGAGGTTCATTGCGCGTCGAATGACGAGCCATGCTTGTCGAAGATTACCACTGTTCATGTGGTATGCGGCGAGGAGCTGAAGGGTCTCAAGTCCAGGAAGCGTGGACATTTGTTCGTCGGAAGAAGTTACAAGGGAAGTAACAGTCGTAACGTAATTCTCCATCGCCGCCTCAAGAGACCAGATATGGGATAACCGCGAGGTCTCAAAAGTCGGGGGAAGTGTGTCTATGCAAATTGCGAGATGGAGAAGGGTGCGTGCTATGACGACGGGGTGGTCCTTTCCTATAGCGGACATGTCGAGCGCGTACGATTGAGGGTCCTGGTTAACAAAGAGACATTTCGCGGGTCTGTACACGCTGGTGAGAATCATCCATCCATTAGTGGATTCGAAGATGACATCCGCATCTCGCTGAGAAGGTAGAAGAGCGATCAAAGATCTGCGAATAGCCTCAGAACCAAGGCCAGATCCACTGTCCCCGCTGTCGACTAGTGTTCGAATTGATGGTGCTGAATTCCACTTTGGAAGCTGTGAAGCAAGCTGTCATGATTCAGTACGCAGCGTGAACAGCAGAGCTGGTGACTGACGATATTCTCACCAATCGAAGATATACTTTGCGTATCGCTAGATATCTCGGGAAGGCCGTAGACAAACTTGGACTGTCTCTCGGTCATGTCCTCCACCAAAGTTGGGCTACGTGGAGCTTCCGAACTTGCTGCTGAACTCGAAAACTTTCGGCAAACAAACTTTTCAAACAATTGCTCTAATTTCCCAAGCCGTTCCCCTAGGTGCAGCGGACATGGTGGGTTTTCATCGTCGAGATATTCTGTAGGAAGACTAGATATCCCAGCAGGGCTGCTAACACCGCCTTCCGAGGTCATACTGCCATGCAGTCTCCTTTTTTTACCTAGAAGAGAATGTTAGAACTATAATGGTTCAAATTTCTGCCTTATTTCAGAACATGTTCTCACATTCCCAACAAGCCCGTCGAATGCCTTTACAGGGCCGTTTCCTATTGGTTTCATCTTTGGCTGGAGGGTTTGTCTCCATCACTGCTCAAAGAGAGACAGCGGAGCCGATTTATTGTTCGTCTCAGAGGATGAGCAGACAGTGATCGCCGCATGCCCGGGTCATGTACCTCTTTCATAGTGGGAATATAGTCGAGAGGCCAAACGGCTGAGGTTGAGCTTCGGACCGGCATTTTGGTGCGGGACTCGTCCGCATGTGCACTTTGCGCAAGACACCTTAAACCCGTTTCGCTTGGCACATCTTTTCCTGCAACCAACTTTTGGTATAAGATCTTATGTAACTTCAAGATTTGCTTATGATCCTTCTCGCCTCCCAGTAATCTTGAGATCCGACATCCGATAGTCGTTTTCAATCTAGACAGTTGCCACTTTCAAATATTCTACACTTGGTCTACGCATGATCACACATGACCTTCAAGGTTATACTGACAGGTGTGACGGGCCGCATTGGAGGAGAGGTGCTCCAGCAATGCCTGAAGAACGCTTCCATCACGTTAATCGTCGCTCTAACACGACGTCCGTTACTCAATGTTGAACCGGATCCGAAACTGGAAGTTGTGATCATGAAAGATTTCACGCAGTATTCGGATGATGTGATTGCTAAGCTTTCTGGTGCCGACGGGTGTATATGGTATCTTTCCTCCGCTGGTCTTTCTGATTACCTGAGCGTGCTGAAAGTGCAAGGTGTATGACGACCCCAAATTTCGAGCCTGCGTTAGAACTTGAGTACCCTCTTGCCTTTGCGAAGGCATTTTCGAAGACTCTGGCACAGCACAATAAACATTTCCGGTATCTGCATCTCACGGGCATGGCAGTCGAGCGCGACCAAAGTAAAAGCCTGTGGCTAAAGGGCCCGATGAGGAAGTTGAAGGTGAGTGTGACCTAGAGCTCATCCGCATCATCCGGGAGGTGCTGTCTGACCTTGTGTAGGGAAAAGGAGAAATGCAGATGATTGAGGTCGCGAAAGATCCTGCAAATAGCGGTTTGTGGGAGACATTGATAGCTAGGCCGAGTGGCGTTGTCCAAGGAGGGACGATTCTCGGAGATGTCCTCGTTGCAATGCTGGGAGAGAAATGGACGATTAGATCGGACGAACTCGCGCTTGCGCTAGTCGATATGGTGATGAACGGAAGCGAGGAACAGCTCGTACAAGCTGTCCAATTACTGAAGAGAGGACAAGAGTTGATGAAAACTGAAGAAAAGATACAGACGGGATAATATCCTCCAGGTCGGACATCAAGTTAACATAGTAAAATTCGCAAAGGGGAGCCTTCACCCTCAGAGATGACGTGGGCTACAGTGCGTAGTCTTAGTTTTGAATTTAACACCTCTCGGGGTCTCTTCGCGAGGAGGCCCTTTAAAAAGTCCCATCCGCGCAAATCTGTCTGACTGGCCCATGCGGATGCAAAATTTCATGGAAACTCTAGCTAGAGCATCACTGTAAGCAATGATGCTAAAAGGCAAACCGAGTATGAAATCCACGAAAACACATTCGAATTCACTGACAATTCTTTCACGTTCTGTTTTCGCACAGCCTCTCACTAAGGGTGAGCCGTAACGCCTCAAAGTTGATTTGACATTATGTAAAATCCCAGCCAGCCGCTTTTTCCACGAGGCTGAGACAAGCTCTGCTGGCCTGCAATAATACGCAATCGCGACAGGTCCAGCGATAAATCAGCTGATGGTTTCAGTATCGAGCGCAGTTGAATTTGAAATTCCAATCCAATTGCAAGGCATCGTCTATTCTTCATCTCCCCATCCAAATCAAGAAGTTAAAGGCGCGTAGAATCACTCTTCTGAGTGGGATGCCTCGTGCTCCGGGCCTGGCAATAGTGTGGGTCGTCACACCACTTTTATTGGGCTTAGGCGTACATGTCGTCGTATTCTTCCTCTTCATCATCTTCAGGAGGTGGAGGCTGCTTCTTCTCGAGCAGGTCCTTGCGATCAAGAGGACATGTGGAGTTGAGCTTCAGCCATGGGCGTATGCAGTCGAGATCAAACCGATGGTCCTTATGACATGGAAGCTGCACAACCAGCGGATACTCTGTCCGCGCTCTGAATCAGCACAGAGATCAGGCCGTTCTCACGAAACCGGTAAAACCCACCGTCCTCAAGAAATGGATTTACACATATTGGGCACGTATCAGTCTTCTTTAGTGACTTGTTGGGTACCCGCTCTAGCTCGTCCAAGAAGCTGTCAGGAACCCCCTTCAGCTCACTCGGCGGGTCATCCGCATTCTGTCTTAAGACCTCAATCATGCTAGCCAATAGATCTCCCTCTCCGCCATGCCTGTAGCCCGCTTCGTCCGCGGGTTGTCCGCGCATCATCTCGAACGCGTTTGCAAGCAAGCGAAAAGCTGCTGCCATGTTTTCAGGTTGGGGGACAGCGTGGACATTGTGATGTGCTTGTGGATCTGAGGTGTCGACAAGCTCAAGAGTAGAGAAGAAGGTGGAGAGGTCAGGACGGCGGGGAGGATGTTCGGACTTCTCCTTAGCGGAGATATTGTGTTCGACTATGACGTGTTAAAACTGGTTCGGATCTGAAGTAGGCTGTGCCAAAACTTACCTTCATAACTAGACATCTCGGCTGGGAATTTCAGCGGACGGAATGCAAATATCTAGCTCGGCTGATGCGGTTCGGTGTCGTAGACTTTAAAGCTATAGGACACTAGCCGCGTCGTCATTGGGTGCCTGTTTCGGGTTCGCCTTTCGCCGAACCCCACACTGCGGCTGTGCACTGTGGCACACCAGTGGATGAACGGCGATCAGACAGTGTACCCAACCTCACATCTCGGCGGGCTTAACTTCAAACAGCATGATTCTTCGTGCCAAAAGGACGATGAACCGATGGCAGTGATTGTTCCCTGTTTCTCTGCAGGTGACGTCTCTCCACGACGACCAAAGTACCTTGGTAACCTTTTCCTGTTCGAATACGGTCTCGCCTCAATGAACACGGCTTGACCCTGTCCATACATTATCGACCAACTTTGAGTTGTCCTAACGCCAATGGCCCAGTGCTACTATCCAGCAGCTCGCGAGACATTACGGGGCGTGAGGCGAGCCCGAGGCGAAAAGGGAGGCTCCGGATGTGGTCGATTGGCGCCAACGTCAACGAGTGCTATGGTGACATTAGTATCATTGGTTGATAATCCCTATAGATGCATCCCACTCAACGTGGGCAAGCACATTTCGATACCAGGAGGCCCATGAAGGGTTCGATTGCTTTGATATCTGGCAGGATATGTTAGAGACCGAGTCACCTCTTCTGGCCAGGGGTATCAAAAGTAAGTCAAGTCTAGAAGCCTAAATGGACGTAAACACCAGAAGAAGAATTTTGGTTGTGAGAGAACACTATGATTTGTTCCGTTGCTGTGACTCAAATGTCTTTCACTTCGAGTCAGCGCGCCTTGCGTGTGCATTTGGAAGTGTACGGAACCGCGGGGAGAAAATTTACTCCATACGTACGGTAGGGAATCAAGAGAGATGCGCCAGTTGTGTTTATTAAACTTGGCCGTCATGGGTTGCCGCACAGCGAGTGGCTTAGAGACGATGCGAGACGTCTAATCTACAGCGCTTGTGGTTGGCTAGATTTACCCCTGAAGCTCCTTGCCTGTGCACAGCCACGTTGTCAATCTCCGCGTCACCTCCTGCGCTGCCCCAGCACTCTCGTCATCCTGGAAATGCCGGAAGTAGTCAAGGCAGATCCGGGCGCAGCGAGCAGGCGGCAAGTAGCACTCCTGTCCCTGTCTCTCAGGTTAGGACAAGAAGCCACAGCATAAGGCACTTGAGCCCTCCCTCTGGCCACCGTCCTCCTCTACCGGCAACGAATTTGCGAAAAGATACCGTTTTGCGCCCATGTCGCTACTCATTATGACATCTAACACACCCATACAGTCAAAGGGACTGACTCCATCATGGGCGATCGATTACTACCGAAGACGCAAGTCGTCAACGAAACATCAATCTTCATCAACTTTGCAGCTACCACCATCAGAACGACCAAGGTCGCATTCAACACCTGGAGACCTTCTTAGTCCAAGATCAACATCCACGTCAAGATCCAGCGAGAGCGGGGAATCGCGCTCAGTACGGTCAACAATATCGCTCAGAAGCCTAGTAGGCAAACTCAGGTCTCCATCAAGTACCACTTTAGTAGACTTGCAATCGGAGAGCAAGTCACCAGAGACCAAATTACCAGAATTCACGCCATCGGAGTTTGAGCAAATTGAACATTGGTTTGCCGGCTTTGCCTACTACAATCAGCTTGTCACGCTCAGGGTGTCCAAAAACCAGACAGGCGACCCTGATGTGGCCTTCTCTAACTTCACCAAGATCATTAGCAAGAAAATCGGGGGTCAGTTTATCCACGCTCTCCCAGAAGCAGTCTTCGACTTGTCGTTGTTGTGGTGTCCAGCCGGTCCTTTGAAGCGGAAGGATTCGACGGAGCCATCCTGGAGTTGGACGGGCTGGGATGGACCAGTCAACTTCCCTTTCGACCCAACAAACAGCCCAGACCTTCTCAGCATGCCTAGGGATGAAGGGGAATGGTTTCGGTCCGAAATCCTCCAATATCACATTGGGTCAGAATCAGCACCCTATACAATACGGAGAGAGAAGCAGGAACGCAAGCTGCGAATCCATTATCCCCCATACTTTCACGCTCCACGAGGATATGACGCTAACGCCGACTCTGATACCCTACGATTCTCAGCATACACTATCTCTGCCGATGGGTTTACTTCTGAACAGCTTGACCACCATGGAAAGGCAATTCCATGCTCCCACCTTATTAATGATGACGATCAGCAATGCGGTGTCATAATGGACTTCGACGAATCAATCTCCACCCCTTCGAGCACAGGTCCATTCGAATTTGTCCTCGTCTCTCGTAGCCTGCTTCGGGAACCTGCCTCTAAAACCCGAACACCAGCTCTTCCTACCATCCATCCACCGGGAACCCCAATCTGGGCCAACGACCGCTTTGTCTGGGACGAAGAAATCGTGGATTTTGACAACGAAGTTTTCCCATCTGGACCTTGGGTACTGCTTAACGTTATTCTGATTAAATGGGTTGGCAACTATGCGGAGCGTGTTGCAGTTGCCCGGATTCACGAGAATGCGTGGAAGCAGTGTAAACCAGTTAAGAGAGATATCGTCCTGAGATGAGTGATTCAAGCTCTCTGGCAATTTCATATTATCCGCCCCTGCGTCAACAACGCAGACGACAGGATATGGCCACATGGCGGCAATGAAGAAGAATGCAGGCATACTCTGGGTACAAAGGGTGAGGAAATATTCGATCCTGATACTCAATGCGTTATTGCCCACCGTTGGCTTGCGATGTGCACTGTCCGAGCACAAGAACTGAATCTCTCCACGATCTTGAGAGAAAGTACATTGAAAGACTTGGAATTGGAACCATAGGATGCTTGATCCTTAGATATGCTAAAATTAGTTGGAACTGCATGCTGCATGGAATTAGAAGGATGGTAACGGCTGAGAATGGCATATTCGAGGCTGCGAGAGGGGGACTTTTCCCTGCCTCTATTAGGATTTCTTCAACTGTATTATTAGTCTTGTGTTACTACAAATGTATTATTCATACTTTCCTACCCACTAGACTAGAATAGTCTCTACCTATAACACAATATCAATGTCTAAACCCATAGTCTCTTCAGGCAGCCGCTTACAACCTCAGCCCGCATAACATTACCCTTTGCGACGGTCTTCGTTTTCAGCCCTACAGGAACACCACAGCTACTCCGTTCTCTCACTATCCTAAAGTTCCAAGGTATCAGCCGTACCTGTGTCATACCCACCTCGATTTTTCCTCTCGCGCTTGAGGTCTTTCATAAGCCTTGCGCAGTCCTAGGCCAAGAACCTCGAAATAGCAGGGGCTGACCGGTGATGGTTTCTTGGTTCTCAGGCAGCCAGGCAGTGAGGCAGCCAGACATTCAGGCATCCGAATACACCCATGAGACAGCCCTTGCAGACGGCAAGGGAGTCTGAAACTCTGCCGCGCGGCTATGCTGTAGGCGATGGCAGGTCAAATAAAACTGCGTCTGGAAAGGAGAGCTTGAGTTCGCAAAAGTTGCATAGTGGGATTGTATTTGGTTTGCTGATACTAGACTGACTTTAGCTACGAGAGTAAAGACAGCCCATCCTGAGTCAACGACACCCGAGAGACAGTAAAGAGGTGAATCTAAGGAACTGTCTTGTGCGCTTATGCTGTGCCACAAAGGTAAGAGACACCTCTGCGCCGCATGATAAGACAGCCACCTTGGCCACAAGCCACAGCCCTCTCTCTTTCATTAAAGGCGAACTGAATCCTACTAATTATTCAGATTCATATTGATAGTGGGCTTCATTTCCATCCCTATGCCCTCCTTGAGACTAGTGACTCCCGTGCATCCTCTCCTTTGGGCTATTATGGCGTGCGCCTTGGCTGAACTCCTCTTCAGAGCTTGCATATGACCTCGTCCTTTCGATATCATGGAGTGCGTCTCGACTGGCCCGCCTCCAGAGCTTGCATATGACACCTTCGTCCTGTTGCCAGGGCATTGCCTCTCGACTAGCTCCAAAATCCCTCCTTGACTTTGAAGACGAGCGCTCCACCCCTCAGTCCCTGGAGACTTCTCATGCACCGCCCCTCGAGGTTTCCCTTCTGCCACCATCAATGCAACTCTCATCTCACCGCCTGTGCATCTCCCGCTCCCACTCCAACCCGTCAAACTCGCTCAAGATCGCTTTAACTATATCCGCACTGCACAAGCCGGGAATTGCCTCTTCCACATCTGCCTCCCTGGAATTCTCCTCATATCTATCTCCCTATTCCCCCCCATCATCATCCCCGCCCTTCCTCCCATCATACTATTGGACGTGACTGATAGGCTACTGTGTTGATTCCTGGACTGTGATACTTCCACGGAGCGGGCCTTGTTAGATTCTATGTAGCGTGTTGGCAGCAGACTTGCCTACGGAATTAAATGCTAAAATCTGCTAAAATCTACAGAATTTAAAGAGGAGCAAAGACGCAATTACTTGGCATGAGATCCTGCAAACCCTAAAGACAAGATCCCCCAGTTACTAATGACAAATAGAGTGAACCGTGATGTAAGAAAAATCTGGACGTGGATGTACAAAACCAGGCAACGCACGTGTGACGAAGAGACATCACTACTCAAAACTTGAATGACAAGAAATTTGCAGGTAGGGAATATTGAGCTGTGGAAATAGCAACCATGGAAGCGTTTGTTGACTGATGCTCAGCTCGTACTACGACATTGGGGGCATGAGCTCCTCTTCTTGGTAATCCCTCAGTCTTTTCGGTACGGGAAGATTTCTCTTGCTATCCAAATAATAACAGATGAAGACCCTCATATATGCACCCGAAGTCGGAACAAGAGTCGTGAACAACCCGAACGCGGCGGGCGGTTGCTGGGGAGTTTGCGCTAGCGTGCACGGACGAGGGTTCGTCGCGGTGTGGTTCAGTCCCATGCCAGCCACAACAAACCTTACCTCACACCCAGTCGTTGGTCTCCATTCGAGAAACACGTCTTTCTTTCGCTCAATTGTGTCTTGTCCACCAAATCATTGCCTCCAGAGACCTCACTGTGCTAGCATGTCTCCGTCTTGGCTCTAAGAGAAGCATCGACGTGCACCTCGTCGCGTACGGAGCTATCACCTGCCTCCTACCTGCCCCTCCCGCCCTCCCTCTCTCCTCCCACCACCTTAGGCATTCACTGTGCCGCTAATTATTTCTACGCATGGCAGCCGTCTCCGTACCGCCGTCGCCTCACGTCATTTCCAACATGACAAGCCGTCGTGTCCCCCTCGCGAACCTCCAGAATGCCACCAATTCGCCGTTACGCGTGACTGCCGTGGGCGGAAAGAGACAGCGGTCCCACGCCAGCGAGCAACGCGACCTCCCGTACGGCCAGCCACCACCTGCGAAGAAGCAGATTGTTGAGGTCGATGACGCCGAGTCTCGTCGTCATGGGCTCGGCCGACGGAGCGGGGCCCCTCCCACTGCCTTCCAGCGGAGGCTTGAGGCCGTTCGAGAGATCAAGGCGGTCCCGAAACAGGCTGAGAAGCAACAGCGACAGACAAGCGAGAACCTGGAAACGATTCGGCAATGGCAGAGGCACTACCGGAAAATGTTCCCCCAGTTCGTCTTCTACTTCGAGAGCATTTCAGAAGATGTCCGAAGCAGGGTGTCGAGGCAGGCTCACACTCTTGGTGCTGTATGTATAGGTGGTGTCTACCACCCTGGCCAAATGCTAACGCCATCCTAGCGAGAGGTTAAATTCTTCTCCCGAGAAGCTACCCATGTCATCACGACGCGTCCGATCCCCGCCGAGCTCGAATCCACAAGCTCAACCTCCGCCACGAGCAATCCAAAAGGGACCGCTGCTCCCAAATCCGTGTTCGATACCGCCCTTTCGAAGACTACCAATGGCGATATACTCTACAAGGCCCGAGAAATGGGGTTGAAGATTTGGTCGGCAGATAAACTCCAGCGTATGCTGAACACCATGTTCAATACAGACACTGGGGAGCAACCACCAGACTACTCGAATGCCCGGCGCGGTGTTGTTGGTGTACCACAGTCCAAGCTGGGGCCTCAGGCTGATCTGCAGAAGTTGCTTCAGAATGAGAAGCTCAAAGGCCCTGCGGACCGCGACTACTCAGTCGCTACTCAAGACATGGTTCAGCTGCGTGGCTTCTATATCTACATTCATGATATGGACGAGGTCACGCGACCTGTCATGGTTCGGGAATATCCCAAAGTTGCAAACAAGAATGATGGCAAGTGGCCGCAGTTTCGATACTCTGCCACTGGAAAGTGCCCATTCATAGAGGACCCCCATTTCACGCGTAAGCAGCAGCAGCAGCAGCTGGAGGAGCAGAAGTCGAGAGTCGAGAAGACAACGGCAATCGCCCCACGCACACGCGCGGCGACTGCGATGGAAGAGAAGCGTGTTTTGGGAGAAAACAGCAATCTCGCGAGACGTCCAAGTGCTACTAGTCTAGCCGACCAAGAAGAAACTAAACCTCTGGAGCCGCCGAGGATAATGCCCTCCAAACGAAGCAACACGGACGGTATGCCCCCGATGTTTGGCAGTGCTCAAGCAAGCATTCGTGCCATTCCTAGGTTTGCGGGTGGAGAGCCCGTAGCTTCAGGCATACAACCATCGAATATCACCTCCGCCATTCGTTCGCAGATGATCTCCTCTACCGCTGCCGCGCCGGGCGCTCGCGCCGGCAACAGTAAAGAAGTCAACCAGTTGAAGAGGAAAGTCTTGGAGAAGAATAGTGTGCCCTCGGCGAACAGTCATTCGTCGGTGATGAATGACATGAGGGCAGCACTAAACCAAGAAAACCCTCCACCGATGAGAGCAGCAAAACGCAGAGCCCAAGTGACGCTCGGCCAAATTGACGAGGACATGACACACTCAGACGAAGAGAGGCAAGCTCGGAAATCCACAGTCATCCGCCGACGAAAGACTACCGAGAAGGAGCTCAAGCCTGGTTACTGTGAAAACTGCCGGGAGAAGTTCAATGACTTTGATGAGGTACGGAGCCAATCTAATGGCACAAATTCTGCAGAGCTAAATTTTTCACAGCATGTCGTCTCCCGCAAACACCGCAAATTCGCATTAACCGCAGACAACTGGCAAGAGCTTGACCAGCTACTGGCGCAACTTATTCGTCAGTGATGAATCCCAAAATTTCCATGTCTTATGACACTCGACGATACAACCCCACGGCATAATTTTCGCTTGCATCTTTTTTTCACTTCTCTCGGCCCTCTACCACATGAAATCGTGTTTAGCTTCTGCGAATACCCGTTACACGACCGCATTTTTTGTGAGCGCTACTGCATTTCTTGAGGCGCATTTCCTTACCGGAGCATTGGCTTGGTTGCTTTTTCTCCCTGTTAACATCTTGTGCGTTTGTTGCTGGGCCAAACAGTGGTAAGGGTGCTGTATATACGTATGCAAGGTCTCATCTTGCGATGGTATTCTGTTGTGGCTGCTCTTCTGCTGCCGCTATTGTCTGCCGCGAGCAGGCTGGCTGGCGGGAGTAATTGGAGTTGATGAGTGGGAACTGGCATTGTTTATGGCGGTTTGGGGATATCTATTTGATGCTGATGGTAAGCTGGAGGGTATTAGTAGTAGCGTGCATTGGTCGATGATGTATATTGCTATATATCAGTCATAGTGATACTGCTGTTATCTAGTCTATCCACGTGAACGACTCGATGATGGTGAAGATCAAGTTGGGATGATGGTCGGGTACCTCGTCTCGGCAATGATTGGTTAGGCAACCTCACCTTGACCTCAACATGCCGTTGCCATCATCTCAGGCTCCTTCCAATCACTGACCCTAATACCAACGACTTTGACCGACCACCCTCAGCTTGCACACTCGCACTCTCTCTACCTGAAGGACATATACGGCACCAAGCCAACACCCCACACATTTCGACCCAGGTTCTTTTCTTCCCGGAATAACTTGTCAGCCCTGCCAACGCAGGAATCCAACCCAACCGAATCCAACTTCTCTGAGAGCTATTCCAATACCGTCAAAATGTCTCAAGCCTCCGACTCCCCAAATGACAGGATCCCAGACGAAGATGATACGGCCGAAGCCCCGCTGACTATGGCAGCGTCTGTGATGTTGACGAATTTGCCGCGGGATGCATCGAGGGCATTGGAGAGTGCGGGGACTTCGAAGGTGTCGAAAGGTAAGTTTGGTGTTTTTTTGTGTCTTAGATTCATTCGCTTCTTCATCGTTTTTATTTGGTTATGTTGAGTGGGGTGTGTGTCGTTAAAAAGTGGGATTATATTGTGCGTTTGTGGAACGAAGTCCAGCCCACCCATATACACCAATTCGAAATCCCTGCCTATCAGTCGTTTTTACCTTACAATATCTTAATCGCCTATCTTCTATGCCCACCTTCTCCCCCTTCCCCCCTCCCCACTCCCCACTCTCCTTCTCCTAGTCCATCCTCATCACCCCCCGCCTCCAATCCTCTAACCCCTCCCCTCACAGTTACGATCCGACTTCACCCAATCGGCAACGCACCACACCTAACACAACGCGTCTTCCGGCTCTCCTCAAACCAGCGCTTCGAAACCATCGTCCGGTTTCTACGCAAGAAGCTTGGCGTTAAGGAACACGAGAGCGTGTTTTGCTATATCGGAAATGTGTTTAGTCCGAGCTTGGATGAGGGGGTTGAGAATTTGTGGAGTGTGAGTGTAATACCATTTCCTTTTTCTTCACACTTGATATCTAAGTGTTTGAGCTATGAGTTGGGTTGGTTAGGTGACACGTCATGGGCTAGAGGAATGTGGCGGAGTGGGCGGCTGACAAGATAGTAGTGTTTCAAGACCAACGACGAGCTCGTAGTAGGCTATGCTATGTCTCCATCATTTGGGTGAGCAGCCTCCACCTCGACTTCTGCTCAACATCTGCCCGCCTGTGCTGCTCTCCTGCCCCCAGCCACACACCAAATGCATGCTAGCCTGGCACAATGACAATACGATTGATCGATTGACCAAACGATAACGATGATTCAAAGGCCCGCTGTCCGCGCAGCCATGGATCCCCATGCTACGAGACTGCAGCATCAGGCAGATGGTGATCAAGCAGGAATCTTGATGACTACCTACACTACGCTGAGCTCATAGAATGCTAGTGGCATATGGGAGGGAATTCGCGGTCGTGATCATGACGGCGTGAGATGAGTGGTGTGGTCATAGGGGGTAGACGCGGGGATTTGGTGGCATGAGTCTGTCGGGTTATGAATTAATGTATGCATTAATCTAAGGTGTATGGGGAACGGCATTCAGCTCTGTAAGCTAGCCATCAATAGAAGACCTCCCCCTTCCGCATGTATGCTCTCGGTTCCATGGATGTGAGCGATACAATATGCAAAGACGCTGGCTGTCAAGAACGAATCTGAAGAACTGGCCAGGGATATAGCGAAGGGTATGCGATGCAAGTGAGCAGAGCATGAAAGATGGAAGAGCCAAACCACCAACGCCGACGCAGATGACAAGACTGAAACCTCAGAGAGACGGGGAGACGACCTTACTCAGTTCTCATCCGCTTCTCCTCAACCAGTCTCTCGAACTCAAAAAACTCCTCCTTCGGCATCGGATATGTATGCTCCGGCGCGGGATATGCCCTGCTCTTCACCTCTTTTTTGTAGGCTTGGACGGCTCTCATACTCTCACTCCACACATCACCGTACTGTTTCACAAACTTGGGAAGAAAGCGACCAGGCGGGAAGTATCCCGACATGTCTACCTGGACGAGGACCTGCCCTGAACAGCCATTGCCAGCACCAATGCCAATGGTAGGGATGCTTAGCTTCTTCGTCACCAGGGCGGCGACCTCAGCGGGCACAGCTTCCAGCACGACGGCGAAGGCACCGGCATCCTGGACGGCGAAGGCGTCACCGAGGAGCCTGAGAGCTGAAGCGGTGCTCTTCCCCTGGACGCGGAAGCCACCGAGGGAGTTTTGTCGCTGGGGCGTGAGGCCGATGTGGGCGAGGACAGGGATGCCGGCCGACGTGATCTTGGAGATGGTGGGTGCCATTTCCTTCCCGCCCTCAAGCTTGACGGACTTAACGCGGCCCTCCTTGATCATGCGGATGGCGGACTCGAGGGCCTGTTCAGGGGCGATCTCGTAGGTTCCCATGGGTAGGTCGCCAACCTAGACATACAAGGTTAGCATGACGAAGAGCAGTGTAGGAGGCTGTGAGATGACGTACAGTGAAGGCAGCCTTTGTTGCGCGAGCCACCGACCGACAGTGCAATATCATCTCCTCCATCAAGACCTCACTAGTGTCTTCCATGCCCAAGGCCACCATGGCCAGGCTGTCCCCGACCAGTACCATGTCCATGCCGGCATGGTCGGCGACATGTGCACTGGGGAAGTCATGGGCGGTGATCATGGTAATGGGTTCGTTCTTCCGGTAGAGCGTCTGGAGGCTGCTGATAGTAATAGGCTTGCGGGCATTGGCGGGGGCCGCACCCAGGGGTGAATGAGAGCTCCACCTGACCCGAGCGACGGGCAGGACAGCATGGGACAAGCGCGGCGATGATGAGCACAGCGGCGGGCATCGAGGCGCAATTCGCGAAGAAGGTCGGAGCGTGTTCCAGAGGGCACGCGACATGGCTGCGACGGGGGGACGGCGGGAGAGCGAGACGGCGGTGGTGTTGGGCGGGATATTTTTTTGGCGATGGGCCGGGAGGACAATAGAGAGGAGGAAGAGGCGGCCATTTGTGCGCAGGCGAGGCGGGCTTTAATATGAAGCTTCGTGATGTTTTCTGCAGCGCAACTTGGAGAACAGAGTGGAGGTTTTTGTCCCCTAGCTACGGCGCCTGTCCCTCGGTCCGAGAAGCACACACGCATAGTCAGCGCCGCCCAGACCGACTGGCTTTGTTCGGAACGCGGGAGATGTGGTTGGTGCAGCCATTGGGCGTTGCGGCTGGCAAGGAAACGCGGGTGGTGGATGGAGATTTGGGAGGGTGGATGCAGGGTGCAGGATGGAGGAAGGATGGTGTTGAGGAGCAGTGGTGGCCGGATCTGTGCCGGACCTGTGCCGGATCTGTGCCCTCTGGTCTGGGGGGGAGGGGGAGGGGAGGGTGAGGGTGAGGGTGCGAGGCAAGCCCGACACTGATGAGGCTGATGAGGCTCTCAGTGCCCAAGCAATGAGCGGCACGAGTTGGCCTCTGGTTACGCCGTCGGGCTCCCGAGTGACGCGCCCGCGCAAAGAATGGCACTCTCAACCAAACGCGCCCCCGTGATGCAAGCTTGACATGTCGGTGGCTGGCCCGTGGCGGACGATGCACGGCGACGTCTCGGGCGATGACTTGCTTGGTGCAGGTGGCAGTGGCAGTCTCCGGCTGGCTTGCGTGACTGCTGATCTCGTGCCAGTGACCTCCCTGCCGTTCTGCCACTTCACGACTCCAAGCCCGGATTGCCTGTGCGCCTGTCCTCTGCACTATTCCGCCAACAAAACCAGCTTTGTCTGCTACCGCTGCTTCTGCGAAACTCTTTGGACTCCCCTCCAGCTTCTGCCCGCCCCTACCCCGCCGACACCACCACATCGACCCCCGCCTATCGCCAGCAAGCCCCCCCCCCCTCCCCCCCAGCCCACCTCCCGCTATCGATTGTCCCGCGACCCATATCTGCTGAGACCCCCCTCCCCCGTGAACACCCAGCGAAGCCGCCGCGCCTTCACCCCGCCCGCCGAAGCCAATCTCTCCACCCGCTGCAACTAGAAAATACCAGAGTGTCACGGAGCCCCGAGGGCGGACGAGGTACTGAGACTCGCCGCCGCCATGAGCAGCCCAAAGAGACGCATCGAGACGGATGTAGGTGTCCTGGACGATCCTTGGTTGAGATGAGCATGCATACTGACGGCTGCCTCTCTTTTCCGTGCAGGTCATGAAGTAGGTCCACAGTGCAGTCCCCCTCTGGGAGCTGCTGCTAACTCGCGAGCAGGATGTAGGTCATTCCTAAATGCGCAACTCGACTCCCGGAGCTGTTGACTGATGCACACTAGGCTGATGAGCGACTACGAAGTCACACTGGTAAACGACAACAGTATGTCTTCATTTGTCCCATCTGTCATTTGCTGTGGCGGCTAACTGTATCCCTAGTGTCGGTCCCCTCGCTACCCGCTAGCCTCCCACTCTTACACCACGACTAACATCTCCTAGGCAGGAATTCTACGTCAGGTTCAAGGGCCCGGAGGAGAGTGCGTAATACCACAACTTATGGCATGCACAAGACATAGCTGACTAACCCAGCACCATTCGCCGGCGGCCTCTGGAAAATCCACGTCGAGCTCCCCGATCAATATCCTTACAAGAGCCCAAGCATAGGTTTCGTAAACAGGATATTCCATCCTAACATCGATGAACTGTACGCCACTCCATTCGTCTCCTCCGTCTTCCCTGTTCCCAGCGCATAATGACAAGAGTAATTAACCGCGTCTAGCTCCGGCTCCGTCTGTCTGGACGTCATCAACCAAACATGGTCCCCCATGTACGACATGATCAACATCTTCGAAGTCTTCCTACCACAGCTGCTCCGATATCCGAACCCCACAGATCCTCTGAACGGAGAAGCCGCCGCACTTCTGATGCGGGAACCGAAGAGCTATGAGGCTAAAGTGAAAGGTATTCCCTCCACCTGCGCAATTCCTGCACTGCTCCTGGAGGTTTCGTTAACCCATCTCGTCGTGCTAGAATACGTCCAGAAATACGCCTCCAAGGACATGGCCGACGAAGCCGATGAAGACAGCGACGATGACGACGATATGAGCTCCGTTGGCAGTTACGAATCCGGTGAGGAAGATGAGGCTGCTGGAAACATGGAGGATATCTAGACACCTCTCCTCTCCTCCATCTCGTTTCCAACCCGTCTCTCTACTTTGTCCCGGCTTCACTCAACGGATATTCATGGGGAAGGTCGTTCAAGGCGCATCTGTGGCAGGCGCGTTTGAATCTCTCTCATCTCTCCCACGGACTGGATTAGGCTAGGCTGGACAGGATAAGTCAGTTTCCGCATCATCGCCGTTTTCATCATCACCATCATCATATTCCCCCGGGTTTCCCTTGGCTTCTCAACGGGTGTCCCATGGACAGTCAAGGTTTGGATTCCTTTGGATCGATGGGGCGGAAGGAAGGGGATTTATATAGAGACGAGCTCTTATGAGACTGGAATGAAAATGGAGTCTGCCCCAGCTATTTCCCAGTCATTTGAATTTCCATGGCAGCTCTTGGAGGGCATATTAGTTAGTGACCCTATTGTCTTGTGGGGAGATTCTAGCAAGAGGATGATGTCCTGGGGACCAGACTGATACGATGGTCTGAACAAGCTTAATATATTTATTATTCTACGCAAAGAATGATTTAAATAACTTATTAGCCGATATACCTGGATCGTCCTTGCCAATGAAGCAGTCTTGTTTGTCTAGTAGGGAGATTCTGCCTAACGAGACCATCGTTCCTTTACACGTGCGCCTATACTAAACATATATCCTACCCTAAATATCCCAGCCTAAATATGGCAAAGCATAATACAGCTACTACATCACGCCGCAAAGACACCTACTTGCATCTGCAACTTTTTATCTGTCTTATGGAGAGAAAGGAGGGAGACGGACGCTAAGGATTTGAGAAGAGGGTTTGGGATCAGATGGTACAATTCATGCTTGTACTAATTTGGTGGACTGGACTGGACTGGACTGAACTGGACTTGCGTGATGCGTTTATCATATTGTAATGTCTATCTGCGTTTCCGGGGGCTTTTTGGAAGGCGGTTGGGGCCTGGAATGGACCTTATGGGGTCTGGAATGGGATAGGTTTTTGGGTTGCGAAAGTGCGGAGGGGGGCTGAGAGAGAGAGATAGAGAGCGTGATGATGGGGAGAGTTGAGGGCGTTGGGTATTAATGTAAAGAGAGTGCGTATAATAGAAGTAGGGATTGTTATATGAGACATGGGTTTGATTGGGCATGATATTATCTGATAGGGTAGGAGTAAGAACAGCGGGGGATGGCTTGGGAAGGGACGTATGTAATTGTTGCTGGCAGCACTGCTGCCCAAATCAGAAATATTCCAAATCTCGATACTGCTAGAGGTGCTTATTGGATAGTTGGACCCTTAGAGATAGAAGTGTCATGTCAAAATGCTGACTAGGAAGTGTGTCAATTTAATCAGAAGCCTTTAGACTGACTTCAGTGTTTCGTAGTATCACCACCAACTACATACCCTCTCGCAATCCCACTCCTCCCTTCTTCCATGCGTGCCGCATACCCATTCCCATTCGCGCCCACATTTTCATCGTTTTCGGTTGGAGCGTTGAAATCGCTTCCCAAGCCCTGCCACGTTCTCTTAGACCGCAGGAACTCTGCGCCTGGCGATACGACGCCTCCAATCTGTGCTATTTCGCCTTTCGCTCTGGTAGTCAAGGCTGTGCTTGTTGGCACAGTCAGACCTCCTCCCTCTTGCTGGACATTGGCATCCCTTGGAGGAGCCAAAGATCGCATTGGTCGCGAATGTGAGACATATCGCCCAGTCCTAAGATCGAATTCCGGAGGAGCGGACTCTTCCTCTGAATCGTAATCCCCAGTTCCAAGAACCTGATCCGCTCCGTCCGGAGCCTTCTCATGATACACCCCCGGCTCTGTCGATCCCCTCGGCTTCTCTAAAATAGCCTGAAAATTCCCGTCCCACTCCCCCGTCCACACCCTCTCCGCATCCCCCATCAGCGCCAACTCAAGCTCAAACGGCGTGATAATAGGCCTCCAGAAATCCTTGCTCTCCATCAAACTGCTTTCCCAGCACCCAATGACGACCCAGCCCCCGATTTCGCTGAAGTTTGCGACCTTGGCGGCGTTCACTTTTCCGACGACGAAGGTGTAGGATTTTTTGCCCGCGGAGGAGATGAGGGACTTTACGTGTGAGAGGATGGTGAGGTAGTTTTTGACTGAGAGCGTGTTGATGAGAATGCCGAAGACAGGGACGGTGCTGAGGGAAGTTAGGAGTGCGTACCGTCGGCGGAGGGTTTGGGCTGTAGACGCTAGAAGGGTGGTGGTGGATGGGGCGTCTGTGGGGTAGATGTGGATTGCGGCGACGCGGGAGGAGAGGGTTAGGAGGAGAGAGGTTGGTGGGGAGGAGATCTGGAAGAGTTGGTATGCGTGGAGAGAGTCTTGCGAGCCTATTATTTCGGGTGGAATGGTTCGGTTCGGGAGGGGTGATGACGGGTTGTGGATGACATCTGTTGCGTAGATGTCCGTGTAGCCTTCTTCTCGCAGTCGGTCGTGGAGCGGAAGAACATGGTGCGAGTACGGTATATCTGCGACAAGGATGACCTTTTGGCCCTTGTCCGGATATGTCTGCTTGAAGGCAGATATTGCAGAGTCAAGATCGAGCGGTCGTGCCGTAAACACGTATATAACCGGTAGCCTCGAGCAAGGAGAAAGACATGATCGGCCATAATGCACCACCACATCTGCGTCGACATGTTCTGCAGCAACCTCATCTATACAACAGGCACCATATGACGTATCTGCAAGTATGAAGAGTTTCTCTTCAGGGTCTTCTTCTTGCTCTACGGATACATCCTCCATCTTTTTACCAAGCTCTTCCACTCCTGCCTTCCCGTTCTCCTTCTCTGATGAGCGTGTAGTCCGATTCTTCGCCCTCCTCTGATTCTTGAGCCCTCGACTAAGCGCCTCATATACCCTCGGCGCATCTACTAACATCTGATCCGGAAACTGTAGCGCTATCCTTCTCCATTGTCCCTGTCGAATCTCGCTGACCGTCCTTTCAATCTCATAAGTAATGGCAAGTTGCTCATCCGAAAGTCGGGGAAGATTCGAAGTATCAACCGCAGGTGTAGGATCTTCAAAGATATGCGTATCGGGTGTGGAGAGGACGGGAGCGGTCCCGAGAGCGGGTACTGCCATTTTGAGGAAAGTTTTGGTGGAAAGTTTGTGTTGGAGGGGCAAGATGAAGGTGTGAGTGATGACTAAGCTTGTCGTCTTTTCATTAGTGAACGTTATAGTTATTATCCTTGTCGGAACACATGAAAGGGCTATTTGAATGAAGATCTTTGCATCTTTCTAAATGCGTACATGATTTGAGTAACGGGGCAGACAAAATCATCTTTATACTCTCAACAAAGTGTGATGTGCTTCATGCATCTCTCTCTCCATTGTATTGAACTATTCATAGTTCCTCAGAGATTATGTAAAATCTTCACTGAGCATACGATATATACACTGAACAAAAGCTGCGCTGTAAAACAGACGCTACCAATGCATATCCTACCAGCCAAATCCAGTTAGCCAAATCTAGAACAAGGTATCTATGTCTAAATTATCATATCATAAGGAATCCAGAAGCCGCTATAGCTAGGGCAATTCCTAGGAAGCTAGGAGCAAACCTGTCAACGCCGCTTTTAACTTTAATCTCCTTCAAGATCATTTGTGGGAAGTACGGGGCTGGTTTCGTTGAGTTAACTGTTCCATCCCAGCAATACTTCTTAAAGCATTGCTGACACACATCAGGAACAGTGGCTCCTGTGCGGTTAAAGCTTCTAGAAAGAATGGCACAGCCAACGCACGTTGGCCACTGCGCATCCCGAGTTCCGTTACCCTGGGTTACGACATTGTAGCCGTTCTGGATCATGGCGTTTCGCTCGGTATTGTTGTAGTCCATCTGGAGGGTCGAGGTATTCGAGTTGTAGACATATGGTGAGTTGGGTAGATACACTATCAACGGAGCTGGTCCGGTAAGGTTGCTGGCGTTACAGCCGAAGAATGTCGGTCGGTTGTTGAGACCAAGATTGACGAACGTGTTCTGATCGGGTATAGAGGGGAAAGCGGTGCCGTTCTGCATTGAAGCGTTGGTCGAGCGCTCATAAGTGGCTACCAGAGCGGTTCCGTTGGGCCAGTTTTGCGCTGATTCGGTCGGTGGGACGGTATCAGCAGAAGAATCTACGGCAAAGATTACATCGACATTTCGAACGGGCTGGATGAGCGGGTTGAGCGGGAGATTCTGAAGGTCTTCACCACCATCAACGAGTGTCAAGCGTTCTGCCTGCGCGCTCGGATTCGTACTGTTATGGAAATGGTAAAATGGGTTCGGCGTGTAATCTGCAATGTCATTACTATCTGCGCCTAGACCATCAAGAACACCTTTTAGAGCGTTCTTGACAAGATCCGGGACTCCCGAAAAGGAGTCGAGCTGCAGAATGGCCTGGTTGAACAAGGAAGAGCTGGTTCCCATAATAAAGCCTACGTTGTCAAAGCCCGAAATGCAACCTTGATTGTTAGGGAGCTGCCCCCTAGTGAAATTCGACCCAATATATTTCAGAGGTGCGAATCCATAGAGCGTTGGGTCGAAGCTTCCCATTTCCCACGGATTAAACTCAAAGACGGTTGTATTCAATGAAACGATAACTTCTCCGGGTGCGCGCTCATCTGCAACAAGAATAGGCATTGGTACATTTCCGTTCTTGAAGTCGTTGTCATCTTGGATTGAGGAAAATGTGTATCCGGGACCGCCTTCGGATACGTTGACGAGCTGGAAGGATAAAGCGCGACCCCAATAGTCTGTAAGAGAGACATTGAAGTTGAAGCCTGCGTCTTGCTTTGAAATCACAGTCTTGTATAGATTGTTGTAGTATTCAGCGGTCGAGAGTAGCTGAATGCCTCCAGTTGCCGGTCCTTTGTATCGTTAGTACAAATGAGGAAGGCTGTCGCGTGCGCGTCTTACCTTCTAGAATCGAGTTACCAAGCTGCCAGAGATCACCGTGGTTATTCTGATTAACGATACTTTGCACCGATGTGAAGTTGTTAGAATAAACGCTGCCCACGAGCCATCCTCCCCCTGAGAGTCCCGCAATGTAGGTGGCTGACTGCAGCAGTCCACCAATTTGGCCGGTATTCGTGGAATTTGGTGTACGACTGTCGAACGCAGCCAGGCCTCCACCACCGTTTGTCATGGCCCGATAACCGCCTCCGGAAAACGCAATTGCAATGTTGGGTATTGTGGTCATGTTGTCGCGGTGCTCGTCAATGTATTTTCCAGCGTCAAACCCAGTTATATTTAGTCGCGTCAATAGTTCGCGCATAGGCGCAATTGTGTTTCCTCTCCTTTTCTCTAGCCATGATTTCTCTTGGTCTGAAAGGCCGTTTGCTACTCGAATACTCGGGCGCGTCGAGGGGCAGTCTACGGATCCTGGCGCATAGCCCTTGGGTGCCTGTGCAGTTGCCCGTTTCCAGGACTCTAGATTCACGCTCGATATATCTTCAACTAAAGGAAGGACGGTGGATGCTGCAAAGTTGTGAGCGTTCAAGATGGCCCAAAAAAGGGGAGGTGCCTACAGGTCCCCAAACATACAAGAGCTGAAAATGTAAGATATTGATATACTAGTCGCATTATATCCTTCGTATAAATTTGAAGAAGAGTAAAATGTCAAAAGTCAATGGTAGAAAAAAGAAAACAGGGTCAGACAGTGAAAGAATGTGGACAAGCGATAGTTAAATGACTGGTAAGCTCGGAGCACGCGGAGACTTGCCCTGGCTGTGTTTCGTAACATTCCCAGTCCAATGGACAATTAATGACCTCATAGGGACTGGTGTGCAAGTGGCTTGGTACCTGGGGGGTGACTGAAGATCTCTATTTATTTTTAGGCACCCTCCCAGTCGTTGCCGGTACAGGATTCTCAAACGCTGAAGAGCTTCTTTGCAACATTTCATCCCCGGAGTGGTATACCCTTTTATTTCTCCTCCAGCTTCCTTGGAACAGGGGACTCGTATACAGCAACCCAGAATGGCAAGGCTGTGGCGCTTCGGAAAACATGATTTAAGATAGAGATCTTGGCTTTGATGAGCGAGCGAATTGGATTCCAAAACTCTGACAGCCTCGGAGCATGGGGCGAAAATAGGGCTCTGTTGTCATCACTAACTCTCCCACGACCCCCGGCATCGATTTCCACCTCTTTCACCAGTGTGCTTCGACGCATGACAAGTAGAGAAAGGAAAAGGAAAGGCGAGATACTTATGAGTGTCTTGGCGAGCTGCTGAAGCCCTGTTCTCTGCCCTTATGCTGCACGATATCCACTCGCAAGCTCGCAAGCAAAAGCAAAGCTCTGCGGCTAATAGGTTTCAAGGTTTCGGATCCACTCCTGCTCCCAGTTGAGCAGGCCAACGCCGTTACATCAAGCGCGCATCGTATCCGGACATTCCGCCCCCATATTGACGAGGGATGGGCCATTGCACCCTGTGAAGCAGTATACGAAGAAGCCGTTGCCTCAGAGTCCTCTGAGCGGTGAGGTTATTATTTTCCTAGAATTGCGTCTCTCTTTGTTGAAAGAGTGCCAGCGACCAATTTAGTACTCCGGGGGTCGTGTTTCCGCTAACAGGCCGATGAGGTGTGGCTGTGGCCCCCACTATTCTCTTGAGCAAAAGGCCCTGCTGTCTTCTTAGTCATTCGTTCAATCTAGCAGGCTTTAGAACTCAAGTGACATGCTTGAGGTGAGCTACTAGCGACGGGAGGGTTGCCGCAGCGTTCAACAGGATTTGGAATATATGATACATCACCAAGTGTAGATAGTCTAATTCGGAGGGAGAATGCTGGCATCGCGAATCGCCACAACAAAGGACGAGATCAGGACACCCTTTAGCCGGATGAAAATGCTGCCGTGTGCATAGTACAACTTTGACGCTGAAAAACTGTGATACTATTCGAAGTGTTGGGCTAGCAGGAGAAATTTCTGTAGGTCCCGCAGTAGCACAAGTTCGCACAATTTATGCACCGTACGGGAGGTTTTTTTGGAGTCCAGAGTTCTCCACACTTGGCATCGAAAAGTTTCCATTGTAGTCCCAGAGATCGGCTTCCTCATTTCAATCCATCCGACGCAGCAGACATGTTGTGGTTTCCTCATAGGTTAGACCTATCTGTTCAGGTAACTTTTCTGCACTACACAACTCTCCCTTTCCATTCTTATGCTCCGATGCTACGCTGTTCTGTTTACTACCTCCATAATTTTCATTGAAACCCTAACCCACATGTCGCTTTCTTGGGGGCAACCCGAACGCAACCGTTGAAATCGTGCACCTGGAACCAAGGTTAGCGGCCAACGAACGGGATGTTCCGATCAATATCCGTCATGCACTATCTCTCATTCGTTACCAGTCTTTCGCGCTGTAGTTTGCATCTATTCACCACCAAAGGGTGGGACGTTACGGGAGGGACCCTGTCCTGCGCCGCTCTAACATAGACATCCCGCACAACCCTTTACCACCAAAGCGGCATTGCCTCAAGTAGACTTCGAGCCAACGACATGGCCCACGTTCAACGTGCCCAACTATCATTTGAAGCAACCAATGTGCTCTACGATTTGCCGCCTGCTTTAGGGTTTCTGGATTGCTGAGAGACTAATATAGAAAACTTCCCCGAAGATCGAGTATTGCAGCAACATGCACAACATAAAAAAGAATATAAAGCAGTAGTTCCTCTTTGGAAGTACATTTCTTTCCAAAATTTCCGCGCCGAAACTTGTGCTGTCTCTTCGTTTCTTCGTTACAGAACCACGCCTAAGAACGCGAAACATCATTCTTTGGCATTTCCTATCCAAAAATGGCACCCAGAGTCATCCACTTCATCCGCCATGCTCAAGGTTATCACAATCTCTCCATAGAAGCCCACAAGATCCGAGATCCTCTCCTCACTCCTTATGGCGAGCAGCAGTGCAAGAGACTTGCCGAAGAGATCGGCAACGGAATCGGTATCCATTCGATCGATTGCATTGTGGCCTCCCCCATTAGACGCACTCTATATACGGCACTGCATACATTCGGCCCTCTCCTGGCCGCCAAGCCGGATTTCAAAATCATCGCCCTCCCAGATCTGCAAGAAACATCAGCTCTTCCTTGCGATGTCGGCTCCTCACTAGGAGCACTCAAGCAAGAATTCAAAGATCGCCCAGTCGACTTCTCACATGTCCATGAAGGCTGGAACAATAAGCAATCAGGACCGTTTGCTCCTCGTGCTGATCTTGTTGCTAAACGCTCCCGGAACGCTCGGAAATTTCTGCAGAGCAGGGCAGAGGACTCGGTGGCTGCCGTTACGCATGGAGGACTTCTACACTTCCTGACCGAAGACTGGGCAGGCCATGCAAAGTTTTGTGGTAAGCCAAGAATTAAATCACTATCCTTTCCTTTTCGGGGAAATTGTTCCACGTTCCCCCTGTACTTTGTTTTCTGCTTCCTGCACATCAACGCTTGTTTGCATAACCCCATTTGTTGTATTTTCAGAGTATGCGGGATTTCTTTCTTCAAAGAGTCAGCGTTTCCTCTATCCTTCATTAAAGGTTCTGTAAATTTCCGTCAGTTGCCGCCGATTTCCTTTTTTTTTATTTTTATCTTCGAGTTTCCCGCTGGAAGCTTCCCATGTGGACCCTCTGATTGGCCCTATCACTAACAGTTGCATTCAGGGACTGGATGGGCGAATTGCGAACTCCGAACGTATCAGTTTGACAACTCTAGTCCAACAACAATAGCGAATGCTACAATCATCGAGACTCCGTGGTCTTGTCAGCGTCGTAGCGACAAGCTCCAGCCACTTACCCTCGACGAACAGCTTGAGCTAGCGGCCGTTGCGCAGAGGTCGTGGGCTGAAGATGGCTACATTACTTTGCCGGAAAATATGTTATTCGACAAGAGCGACCCAGAAGCATCACATGCTACAGCTGTGACTTCTCATTCCGCTGAGGCCATTCCTAGGCATGACACGAAAGAGATGGATGTCGCTGTTCAGACCAGAGCACACCTCTAACGCCTCAGTCATGGTTATAGATCTATAAGAGTGCAAGTATCCGATAGCCACCGCCTTTCCTTACTCTTATGTGTTGTTTATTGACGCAGCATCCACTTGAATGTTACCATGAAGCAGTGTTATAGTTAGCACAGCTGCCGGTCTATGATCGTGTGTGTTTGCGCTGCACGATGGCTACCGTTTCTGTATTTCTGACCTGCCGTAAATACCGCATGTGGATTGCTGGCAGAACTCGTCTCATTCCGTAGTTCACTATCCGATATTTTCTCACATTGATTTACGCGTCTCCGGACTAGTTCACATGACGCCTCGAGCAATGCCATTTTCGTAGAACTTTCGTTCCAGAGTTCGATACAACATCAAAGATATCCTCCTAATCTAGTCGCAAATCTATGTCGCATTTACAACCAATCTGCGAACTCCCCGAATCCTGATCCCTAATCTAGCATCCCCGTCCTCTATATCTAAGCCTTCAAGTTCCATTCCCTTGGACCCTTTTCCAAGCAACCAACCCTAAAGCTTCCCCTTCCCGCTCAAGGGCCTCAAAATACTCTGCTGTGTCATACTTGCCACACACCTCCCCCCCTCATCAAACAACCTCCCCTCACTATACGTTCTCCCCTCCGCACCCACATACGATTTCAATTCCCTCAACCACCACTCTCGCATATCAATCTCCATCGAGTTCCCAAAAACCCTCAATGCGAAATCCAGACTCGAACACGCGCTACTATCATCCAACCACATCCCCGCAAAACTCAACGGAACAAAAGAAAGGGCTCCATCCATGATAAACGCGAGATTCGCGAGCTGGTCTTCTGGGGAGGTAAGTGCGTGACGCGAGCGCACCCAGTCGGCCGTGGACTTGGAGGTCAGGGGGAGACCATCCTGTGTTGTTGGAAGGGATTTCGCCATCCCACTTAGGGTTTGCGCGAACACGCCTTCTGGGCATGGACGCGTTTCGTATAGCCGGTTCATGACGCTGAAGCTTTTCTCAAAGCTAGTCGCGAGGGATTGCGGGATTTTACCCGATGACACCATTTCTGCGCGTAAGACGTTGTTTTCCGGAAGGTTGGCGTGGGAGGAGTATATCCGCGATGGTGGTGCATAATACGTTAACAGTGCTTCTCCTTGGACTTGGAAATCTGCGAGTGCGACGAGGCAGCTTCGTTCTTCCTGGTTGTCCGAAATTTGGCTGACTTCGACTAGTCGGGTAGCGAATGTTCGTGTTTGACGTAGATTCTTTATACTGCATCGCAGTGGCCGGTCTGTGAGTGCGGGGCCGAGATAGTTGCCTAACATTGAGTAGAGATAGTAAGTTGGGCTTTCTGGGAGCGTGAGATATGCCCCTTTTACAGCGACGGCGAGTGCAAAACCGCCGTAAGCGATGTTGGCTGTATTTCCCATGCGCTCTGGAGGGTGCGAAGTTTCGAACTTGGTGGCTCCTTTAGGCGTGGGTTTGAAGGATAACGTCTCCATAAATGATGCTGGTGGTGCCATGTTGGCTTCTTTTGGCGTCCCGCTCCTAGACAAGTTGTGTATTTCTAGAATGTGGAACTTAGGGCCGCATGTAAATGAGAGAGATAAATTGGCTGCAATGAAGTTGAGTGAAGCTGGTGTAAATGCTAGTAGGACCTTAGAGACAAGTTTGGTTGATATCTTCTCCTCAGTTCCTCTGGTAGTGCATACGCCGTATTCTAGAGCAAATCGAAACGAGAGACACCAGAACAACGAATTTGGTGCTTTGAGCTGGCACAGCTGAAAAGAAGAAGAATAATAAATACGACTAAGAGAGTAAAAATAGACTTGTTGACTTGAGATGGAGTTGTGAACTCCCTCGCCGTGACTAATCCAAAATACCTCAATGAGCCTCGGCTGCAAATTAGTGAATCTTGGCTGTCACGTGGAGTAAGCCACCCGAGGTCTCCATGACTGGCATCCACTTAAGCCTCCACAAATACGGACTGTGTGTGTCGACCGGTCCGAATGACTGACCGCCTTACGGGTAGTACGAACCTCAGGTTCTCCCGGCGTTCAAGTCAATATTAGTGTCGAGTGTAGAAGATCAGCTCCTCTCTCAGCTCCTCGTGCTCCGTAAACAAGAAGCATCAACATGCTGGAGGCTTAATACCACTCACTCAGAGTCATGGTTGATAAAGTTGAAGGCACCATGCAGCGAGAAAGTCTTTTGGGAAGGGTTGTTGATTGAAATTGACTTCCGCGTCAAACTTTTGTCTGCCTCTACCTCTACTCGCGGTGAGGTGCGTTCTATTTATCGGCTAGACGGGACCTTCGTCCAGTCTAGCCTGCGTCTATGATGCCAACGCCTATCGTTTCACTGAAGAAAACAAATAGCTCCAACCCTAATTTCGCAAATAACGTGAAAGAAGAGCCTCGAAGGAGCTCAAAGTCTTGTTGGAAGTAAAGAAGAGAGTTGGGCTGAATTGATCATTGGAGGAGTGGATCCTAATATGGCTGTTAGAACATGCTCTGATGATATGAAGTTCGACGTCAGACGTACCCTAAAGTGCTTCTGGAAGTTACCCCTCCTCTCGTTCCCAGCTTGGTACTTGTTGCGAGCTCGTTGTTCTCTTCTACGCTCCCTCTTCTCCACGGCGCGTATTTCGGCCTTCTTAGCGTCGGTGACACCAATCATTCCCATACCGCCGTCGGCACGACTGATGAGCTGCCGTCCGCGGTTTCGGTTGTCTTGGTCCATGTTCACATCGCCATCAGAGTCGGAGGATCCCGCTGTGATAGTGCGTCGATTCTCCATGCGCTCCGCAACTCCTGGGTAGTTACGAAGGTTCTGGCGATAGTACTTGTTCAACGATCTATGGCCAGCAGTCCGGCCCGACGGCAGATGAAGTTCGTAGTCATCGTGGTACACTGCGACTGGGGTAGTGTGTGCATGGGAATGAAAGCCGTCTACCTTCCGATGAGGCCGTGGATCTGAATGAGAATGGTGTCGAGATTTCGAGAGGAATTTGTATCGATGAGAGTGGTCGTCGATCGGCACGGCTGTAATCTCGTCGGTTGGAACGGTGGAGACTGTACTATCAGTCTCCCATCCGTCATCATCATCGCCAGACATGGCCGCATCATCAGTTGTGAGCACTTTTCGCGGCGCACCTAGCTTAACTCCACCACCGGCTGTAGATTCTGAGTCGTTTGAGCTTTCAGACTCCTCGGCTCTTCGCTTTACGGTCTCAAAATCCTCAACGTCGGAATACGTGCTACTGAAATCGTAGAACTGCCCAATTTCGACCATTTGATCATCGGTGTCAAAGCCTATCATGCAGTGTCCACGATCCCGCATGTGTGTTTGGATACCAGATGCTGTGTGTTTAATCTTGCCACACTTCAAACACTCGTGACGCTTATTAATCTTCATGTGCAAATACTTGATAAGGCCTTCAGGCTCGTCCAGATAGTCCTTATCTGGAATGAACATTCCATGGAAGCGGCCCATGTGGTGAATATTGAGGGAGAACTTTGGGGACCGATAGTTGCAGAAGAGACAATCCAAAAGAGGGTCGCCGGGAGGTTTGTTGGATGATGTAACAGAGCTCTTGTCATCTTCCTTGATAGTCGTAGAAGCAGTCCCAGTCCTGGAAATGGGGTGTTCAGGCCTGTCTTCCGGTCCTGCTGAATGGTGTGGGCGTGTCGGACGTCGTGAAAGGGGTTCTTTGGTGTGCTCGTCCAAGTTCGTGTGCTTCATGCCATCGACTACTTCTGAGAATTCCCTCTCGGCCTCACGATCAATAGCGTTGGCGTCGGGCTCTGCCATTGGCTCACCCAAAGAAAAAGCAGAACTCATGATTGATCCAGTCAGAGAAGCGGAGTCATCCATATGCGCCCTGCTCGCCTTGATGACGTTGGTCTTGTGCTTCTGGCTGTTCAGGTGGTTGTTGTAAGCATTCTCGCTGTAGTATATCTTCTGGCAGGCTGAACACGCCTTTTCAAAAGAGGCTTTCGCGGCGGTGGCGGCAGCGGAGGCTTTATTTGCAAGCACTTTCTCAGTGAAGATGTCAGAGGAGAGCGGGGGTAGAGAGGCGACGCGACGCTTAAGGTTGTAACGACTGAAGAGGGGTTTAGCGAATGAAGAATAGTAGAATGCGCTTTTACCCACTGCCAGTCGGTCTGCATATGAGCCCTCTGCAGCTCACTGGACCGGAAGGCGACCTGGCAAGTGTTGCAAGTGAACGGATGGGTTAGCCGGACATTCGGCTGAGAGGCGCTTTGCGACGCCATGGTTGCAGGTATGTGGGAGCAGATCAAAGGAAAGACAATGCAAATAATTCGTGTCAAGTACTGGGAAGTGGAGGAGGAAGTGTGGGCCTTCAAAGTCGCCAGGAGTCCGTTGAAAGCAAGAATTAGTAAGTGGGGTTCACCGTGGGCAAGGCCGAGGGGCAAACTCTGGGAGAATTAATGCCGGCTGGCGGTAGTGAGGGCACCGGTTCAACCGGGTGTGATTAATAGAGTGCGAGAGAGGGATTTGTCTTGAGCTTGAACACTGCGAGGCCCCGGAGCTGGCCGAGTGTCGAGCGCGCGATGAGGTGAGCTAAAATGGAATATCCGTGGTGGTGATGAAATGCGCCATTTGCGGCCAAGCCCGTGACTCTGATCCCTTCACCGGCGCACCAATCGTAGGAAAGTAGCCTTGTCGTCGACCTCAATGGCCTTTCACTTCCATGTCGCTCCCCCATTTGCTTGCTCAGGGAAGGTGAATGGCAGTGTCTACGCCTGCCACGTGCCCTCCTGACTATGTCGCGCGCTGTCGACCGTCCTCCAGATCTTCACGAGTACCATCCCGCTATTCTGCCATCCCCTTGCGCGCCCGCGACACCTGAATTCACACGGAAGCGAGCGCCAGCATCGATGATATGACGGGCCCGTCACGAGGGCTGCCGGACCCTCTGCATGAATCCCGCGGCGCGTCATCCGCTGCCTCGACGGCGACGTTGGCGGAAGGAACCCCGCGCAGGCGACGGCGACGTCAGTCAGGAGCTCTCGAGCGCCATCTGAGCAACGTGATAGACGTGGAGGAAGCTAGCAGGCTAGTGGAATGCTCGCAAATACAGAGACAGCTACGATTCCAGCAGCTTGTCCGGCGGTTCGTCCCCTGAAGCCGTAGCTAGCAGGACCAGCGCGCTGACCGTAGTGAAGCTATATCTCCCAGATCCTGTACGGCTGCAGCAACCCCTATTGCACGACGCCGACATGTCTGAGTTGCAAGAAGCGTCTCACCTCGAAACCATTCCGGGCTCCAACCCAGCTCACCGCGCGTGCCCTCGCCCACTTCCTTGCCAGTCAGGATGACCCGCATACTGGCCTTTGCCCTAATCAGCTGAAGGTGTCGCCCAGTGCTTTAGAAATCGAAGGTGCAGGAGGGGTTGAGATCCTCAAAGGGGAAGGTGGCAAGGGGAGCACTTGCAATGTCTATCCTGCACCTCGACCACCTCTCGCAGCCTCAGCAGGGATATCGACATGCCCCGGGAGTAGCACTTCTACGGCAAAGCGCGACGGACACGATAAAAGCAGTGGCAAAGGCGAAGTCGATAAAATATGGACTACCCTGGGCGATCGGCATCAGGCGAAGAAAGATGTCAGGTCGTTGGGCCAGAATCTCTTCGACACGGCCACAGTTGTGTACTCGTACTCCAAGCAAATCCCCAGTGCTCTTTCTGTATTCAACTCTCTACGCTCTCTCCGCACCCCACGCCAAAAGGTGTCAGTTACAGAGCAACATCATGACTCAGGCATGACCGTTGTCAAACAACGCCATGTGGACTCTTCGAGTGCTGAAGCTACGGGACATGCTAATGGACACACTGTACAACCGCGTGTGAGTGGGTGCCCCGCGCCGACAGCAGTTGCTCCACCCCATTCACTGCGGAGCCAGAGATCACATCCAAAGACGAGCTCCGCTCACATAATGCCAGAAATTCTGAGCAACGGTCATCGAATACACAGAATTCGACATCATTTACCGGATTCCCTGAGCAACGGACAAGCTCCTCTCAAGATCCAGGATACTGCACCATTTGACGGCACGCAAGAGCGCCCTCCATCATACAATTCTAAAATGAAAAGAAAGCCACTTTCGCTGGATCTAAATTACACGCCCAAAGCTGACCCACCCATCATCTCTTTATTAACTGCGAACCAAGACGATCGCAATGAAAAAGCCAGCGAACCCATGGGGCTAATTCTGCCTGTAGCCTCGCACCTCGATTGCCAGATTATGGACCAGCTAAAAGACGAAGTCTATCATCATCGCAATCAACAATCCTCCGACTTTACATTTGTCGTTGACTACGATACAAATGCAAGATTCCGTCCTGCGAAACCTTTCGTCAATAGGTCACTTTTCTTTACTTTCAGTGATCCAGAAACTCTCCTAAAGTCTTTCTGTGACTCTGATAATAATGCGTACAAACACTCACCATTACCACATCTCAACTCAACTCGTCTCACCCACACTTTTCGCGATTGGAATCGCCGGAATGGTGCACTACTCTTCGACAGCCTCTGGATTGCCCTAAATGCCTTATTTGTGCCACCCCCGGAGTTGGACGTTCAGAAAAGCCCTCGTCTCAGAGCTGCAGGGAGGTCGCCCTCTTTGAACGGATCTGCTTCGTATTCTTCTACACCTTCAAACTCGGAAGCACCGTCGGGCCGCTATCTCAGTGACAAGGAGGCTGCTCACATCGTTATGATATGTATCCACGCCCTGACCTCACTGGTACCTGTTGGGTGGCCCCATTCTTGGGTACAGGTCCGCAAGTTTCGGTCCTGGGGTATTATTCTCCCAGATGCGCCTCCTCACACTGATTTCACGGATGGTTTCTCACACCCGTTGTTGAATACTATCGATGAGCTGGAGTACGAACCTGCGCTCCGTCTCGCGGGCAGACTCGTTCGAGGCATTGGCGCACGGGCATGTTTTGAAGATATTCTTGTTAGTCTGGGCCATCGAGAGGATGATGACGGATGGGGTCCTATGCAAAGAGGTCGTTCTGAATTAATGCGCATTCTAGTCAGACACCTTGAGGAAGTTGAGCACCTCGCAGTTGCCAACAAAATGAAAATGAAAACGAAGCTCAATTATGACGAAGATCCTGGCTGGACAGTTACGGCAACGTTCATTGAATGGCTGAGAACGATAATTATCAAGAAATGGAATGGCAAAGCCGAAGTCAATCGGTGGGGCAACGTCGGAGCTGCGATCAGGATCCTCTTCGATTTTTGTAAGCTTACTCGTAGCAAGTCCAACCGAATCGTTACTAACTTACCTCCAAGATGACAATCGCGAGTCGCTGAACCTACGGACAAACATGTTTCATATACCTTACCTCAATGAGCATCTCGACTTGGTCAAAGAACCGATGAAATTTCTCTCGCGGGGTCCCACGATAAACTCCTTCCATCTACTCCAGTGTCCCTTTCTCTTCACCCCCCGAGACCTTGTGGCTCATTTCCGAACGATCAATTTCACACGCATGTACAAGCAGTTCGAGGAGACGGAGCGCGCCATGCATCTTCAAAGGGAGTTGGATCCATTCCTACGGGAACCATACTGGTGGTTGATAAGGTCACGTTTGAAGGTGACATTTACCGACTATCTTGTGCTCGATGTCAGAAGAGAACATGCACTTGAAGACACCCTCAACCAGCTATGGGGTCAGGAGAAGCGCCTTCTTATGAAACCGCTCAAAGTCAAGATGGGACAACAAGAGGGTGAGGTTGGCCTAGACCAAGGCGGGGTGACTTATGAGTTCTTTCGGGTCGTTTTGAGCGAGGCATTCAACCCCGACAAAGGTATGTTAGACTTACAGTCTAATACCCTTCTTCACTGACTTTTCTTAGGCATGTTCACAATAGATCCTCAAACTCGAATGACGTGGTTCCACCCTGCCACTGTCGAGCCTCCCAGGAAGTTTGAATTGTTAGGAGTTCTCTTCTCGCTTGCCATATACAATGGCATCACCCTGCCTGTCACCTTCCCCCTTGCTTTCTACAAATATCTCCTTGGTATCATTCCAACCACCGTCAATGATATTCGCGATGGTTGGCCCGCACTTGCGAAATCTTTCGATCAATTGCTTTCCTGGGAGGACGGCGACGTTGCAGACGTGTTCCTGCGGAGCTACACTTTTAGTTACGAGTCGTTTGGCACAAACATTGACGTGGACATGCAAGAGTTTGAACGAGTCGGCCCCGAAAAGAACGTAGGCTGGCTAAATAATCCCTCACAACAACATATGACAAAAGTTGTGGGGAGCGATAACCAGCACGACCCGGAAAAGGAGGCATCAATGGTGACGAACTCGAATCGGGAGCAGTTTGTAAAAGACTATATTTTATGGCTCACTTTAAAATCCGTAGAGGTCCAGCTGCGGGCCTTCAGAAAAGGCTTTCTTTCCTGCATACACGGTACCTCGCTAGACCTCTTCGAACCTGGTTCACTTCAAGCACTCATTGAAGGCTCGCAAGAAGTCTCTGTCTCCGCCCTTAAAGCTGCGACACACTATGAAGAAGGCTACCATGCAGCTCATCCCATTATTCTCGACTTCTGGTCCATTGTCCAGAAATACGACAATGATGATCGAAAGAAGTTGCTTGAATTCGTCACTGCAACCGACAGGGTTCCGGTAACGGGATTCGAAACGATGAACTTCTGTATTGTGAGGAATGGAGGTGATAGTGAGATGTTACCGACGAGTAGCACGTGTTTTGGGAAACTTATGCTGCCGGAGTATAAGGGGAAGGAGAAACTGGAGGAAAAGTTGGCCCTTGCGATTCAGAATTGTAAGGGTTTTGGAGTGGTGTGAGATGCGTAAGGATTCATGATCCTTGAGAGTTATCATTGTTGATGATATGAGGTACTCTTCGATGAGAGAAAAGGTGATGTAATGGCTGTTTGGGTTTGGGATACTGCTTTTGATATGATATTCTCTCTGAGAGCTCTGGCATAGCTTATGAGAAGCAGGTGTAATGCTTTTTTAGCATCTTAATGGCGTATTAGAATTTTTGGGGCCTCGGATTTCTTTTTTTTACCCCTCCATTGCTCTAAGGTGGTGGACTAGTATCATTTTGCCATCTTCATCAAGCCCTCCAAACACCTTAGAACTATGTATCTGTCCTACCTGCCCAAGCCTCTTGCCCTCCCCACGATCACCGTCGACAGTCCAGAGCCGCACACCACGAGCCTTGCTCCCAAACCCTAACATCTCCAGCCCGAACGTCCTCGGAAGTCACCACCATTCGCACGCCGTCGTCATTCGTTAAAATGAGGGGAGGAACGTCAGCTTCTCTTCCCTTTCAAGCGTCGCTGTCTCTCACACGAGACCATCATGCACCTATCAAAGGCCGCGGAAGTTGCCTTTTTCGTGTTGAGATAAGCCCGGCGAGCTTGACTGGCCGTGAGCAAGGACGATGGTCCGGGTAGAGGCATTACCCCGCCAAGCCACGATCGACGGCCCCACGAAGCTTGTTCGGGTAGGCGAACTTGGCAGGGCTGGTGATAAGGATTGAGGTTTTGAATGGTGGATGTGGTGGGTATGATGTAGGTTAGTGGTGATTTTGGAATGATGGGGGATGCATGAGGTGAGGTGTGGAGTGATTGTCGAGGTGATTTAGGTGGGTGTGTGTAGTGGTTGGATGAAGGAGGGAATATGATGCTGTGTGCGGTACGTGTCGGGCTGCAGAGATTATGAGGGGTTATGAGGGATGCGGTATATATAAACATCCACAAGCGGGTTTCTAGATCGTCTGATCCTCTGTACGTAAATTTCCCCAATCTGAACTCCGCAATACTCCGCTTTCGTTCAATCCTTAGGATTACCGTTACCAACACTTTGCTCCCATACTGTCACGGTTTTTCTCGAGGAGGAAGTACACGAGGATGGCGGAAGACAATTTTGTTGAAAGACACACTAGTTATGGACGGGGCGGTGCTGGAAATTTGAGTATGTTCTCCTCTTTAGTCTGCGTGGTGGATTAGAGACAGTGGAGGACTGATGAAACACAGGACGACCGAGTGTTATTGAGCAGGCTAGGGAGGCACTTGCTAGTACTACTGAAACTGGTGAGCTGTTTTCTGATATTAATTATCCTCTTCCCATTCTTGCGTTTATACTCCTCAACCCCACCCTTCATTCTAGTTGATGCACCTGAGCGCCACTCATCTTCTTTTTCACCTTGTGGCCTATACAGTAGTACTTACCAGGCATATAGTAACACCTCAACGTCGTCGAAGTAGCGTTTGGAGCTCGAACTCGAATGGCGAGCGCCGTGGCTCCATCTGGAAGAATTGGTTTAGGAGAGGAAGTACAACTGAGGAACTACAGAAGGTCTAGGAGTAAGACAAAGAGTAGAAATTTGCCAGCAATGGGAAGTGATGAAGGATATGGCATTATTTTGTCTAATATTCGAAGGCGATAATAATGGTCCTGAGATGGAGGGGTGAGAATGAGTGTATGAGCACCTGTCATCTTCGGCCCCAGAATGATGAAACTGGAACTTAGGCTTCTAATTTAGTAGGTTGGACGACTCATTTCACTGTTGGTTTACCTGAATGCACTTCAGCAACAGAGGGTCTGCTTCGTGTCAGGTCGACTTCTACGACCTCTAGACCCCCGTCCCATTTGAGGGTTGGAGATGACTGGCCGTAGTAGACGAAGGTACCAACGAGAATGACGCGGCAAGTTGACGACTCGAAGGACCCTGACGAAGCAGTTGACGTGTGCTGTTTGAAAGTGAGTCTTTAGGCATCCTTCTTGTCGCCTTTGTCGCGGTCTTTCCTGGGGCTCGGGGTGGGGACCCAGAGAAACCACTGCTCTACGTCCTTGCAAGGACGAAATTATGAAGAATAGGCTCGATTCTCAGATGCCTAAACTCAGCCTCAGAAGACAAATTTACAGTCTCTGGCCTCTTGAGCTTGCGATGATGCCGGTGAAGCTAGGAGCGGGGGATGGCGCACTTACCCCTTTAGGAAAGGCCTCGGGCGGGGCTGATCACCTGCATCAGGCAGCATCATGAGCTAGAGCTTCACCAACTTCCACGTCTCTTTGTGAACGCTTCAGGGTCTTTATTGTGCGAAATGTCTCTTTTTGATGCGGCTCCATCGTCGGCTGCCATTGTTTCAAATTTCAACCCCCCTTCCAACTGCGCTTTTTCCCCTCCATTCGGACTGCAGAGCTCATCGTGGTTACCAATAGCTACACCGGATGAACAGATGGACTGGGACAGGCTGAACTCCAGTCTCCCACATCGGACCTCGAGGCACTGCTTTTCATCAACATCGAAAGAAGATACAAGGAATGGCCTCCGCACATATCCTCCCTCCGTCTTCCTCGATCCTGAACCTCGGTGCATCCCGGAAACAGATCTCGGCGACAAGTACAGATGGAAAAAATGTCATCTACTTTCCCTTCCAAGAGAAATCCGGCTTGAAATTTACAGATACATCTTGACTGACACCTCAGCCCCAAGTCTCCTCGTCAAGATTGATCGTCAGCCGTTCTTACCATGCTACAAGCTCACCCGGTCCCCAACGCCGAAGCTGAAATTCTCCCATGAACCCCGGAGAAGTTCTCCGATATCACTCGACATCCTTCGTGCGAACCATTTCACCTACGAAGAAGCTTTACCAATTCTCTACGAGCGTGCCAAGTTCATGCCTCTGCACTTGGATGGCTTGCTCCCTCTATTTGTCTCCAAGCTATCATCCCGCGCAGTATCCTGCATTCGTCGAGTCTGCTTGCCCATTCCCATAATAGCCGCACCCATCAACCTGAGCAACGATCGTTCTAAACAATTTACAAACTGGGCTGTGACATGTGCCCAGGTTGCACTCAGAGGGACCTTACGGGAAGTGGAGATACACGGAGACTGGGCTGTTTTTCAGAGCGGGTCCAACCGGCGACAGCTCCTACGACCCTTGTGCAAGATCAAGGCTCAAAAGGTATTTGTGGCCGATCTACCATGTGGGGACGATACGCTCGACTACAATGGACAGTTTCAGGGTATCTTACAGCAGACCGAGGCGGAGCTCAAGGCCGAAGCAGGTCTCCGAAAACAACGCACTGAAGCCGAAGCTGTCGAGCGCGCGAAGCGAAATGAGCATTATGGGAATCAAACACAGCACAGCTGGGCAGTTGGACATAACGCGCACCTTGCATCGTCCTTGTACCGTGTTACCACCTCACCACCCGGACCTAATTGCTCAGACCTACGCAATTCGTCAGATCACGCGCAAAGAAGCATATCAAGCACTCAAACAATGGAAGATTGGTGTCGGTGGGCAGAGGAGAATCTACGGCGCATGGAGCAAGACTTAAGTCTCGTTCCAGGTATCAAGCAATTTGAGAAGGAGCTGGAAGAGCACGCAAACCCTCGACCTTCCGAAGACACCCCAGCTTACGAGAACCTGAAAGAACCCCCAGAACATCACTCTGGTGAAGGTGAGGAGTCTAAGATACTCCACAAAGGTGGCGTGGATGCTGAGCAGTGGGACTTGGTGAGCGTCAGGAGTGGTACGAGTACCCCTAAGACATCTCGACCGGAAAGCGTGATATTACAACAGACGGACGATGAAGAATGGGTGGATACCGCCTCGACACTTGTTGGTAATGATGGTATTGAGAAGGATCAGTCTGACACTGAGAGTGAGGAGTGGGAACATGTTGACAAATAATTGAGCAGGACTTTCCGTTCCTTTTCACAGAGCAAAACTTCATTCGGGGCTTGAGTGCAAACCAGGTTCCGCCGGCAGCGATGCTCAAGAAACCGGCAAGTCTGGAACCTTCACACAAAGAACGTGAAATTGAAGACCGTCACATGCAAACCTGAGGCTCGAGTGGATCAATACATTCGAAAAGAATTACAACTTAAATCAAAATAAACATCAAATCAAGCACTACCGGACCATCTTCTAGCCCCGCTTCTACCACCAACCCAATCCCTTGTCTCCATCTTCCCCACCTGATCCGCTCACCTCCACCTCACCAACACCCTCTCAAGTCAAGCACAATTCATGAGACCCAATCTTAATCTTCATAATTCCCCTATCCTTCCACTAACAGAAATGCACATTCCTCTTCCTAAACACCTCAATCTCCGCTTAAAACAGCCACTCCTTATCCCCTCTCCTCATCTCGCCGACAATTTTCCTAACTCGTCCGCCTGCTCCTTATTCAACCAATGCGCCTCCCTCCTCACCCCTCCTCACCCCTCCTCACCTCCCATCTTCCACACAAATTTCACGAATTTGAAGAGTAGGTAAAAGGCCGTGTCTGTGCAGCCTTGTTCGCATATCTTGTTAATGGCGTGGGCGAGCGGCCGGAATCCGTCTCGGATGTAGTTTGTGAAGACCGTTGACGTGTAGCCTCTTCTTGGGCTTGCCTGACGGTTTGTAGCACGAGTTATAGACTTTGTACACCTTGCGTTCAGTTTGTCGGGATAGGGGTGGTGGTGCCACCGTAGGGGCGGGAGAGCATGGAATCAAGGATTCAAGATGGGGCGCCTAGAGGGGGGTTAGCATGTGAGAAGGACGAATGGAAGGGAATGCTTGGTATGGAAAGAGCGAAAACTTGTTCTCTCCTCCTAAATATTATGGACGCATCGAGAAAGTAGTAGACACCAACAGCACATATGTCTAAAATAAGCCAAGTATTAATAAATGCTTGTAAATTCTTAGTCTCCAACTTCTCCTTGAAATACAACGCTTTTATTCTGTTCAAAAGGGTTGCTTCAAGCGCACACATCGCTCCTTTCTCCTCGCAGACAACTCCGTGAACGTTGACGTCGAACTCGTGGTGGAGCTACATGATAACCCGGAAACACTCGAAGCTGAAACGATCGGGTGACAGTGGAAGTCTTGGAAAACTCAGAAAGAAGAGACGGGAGAAGGAAGGTGCGTGGGTCAATATGAAGGGAAGCCATAGCATCAAGATGGAAAAATATATATAGCAACCGGAACTTGGGCACGTTCATATTGGGGATGGATGTGAGTCTTAGCCCTGACGAATTTCCCCAATCAGGCGCTTTTCATATGAACTCGCCGCACGCCACGTGGGTATAGAATCCAGACTGTAGAGTCTAGAAAGCACAACGTAAGGGATCTCAGATCTCTAAGTTGCGAAGTTGAAGAGTGATTATGATTTATGAGGCTGCAATTTTCTGGGATTGAAGCCAATGCAGTTGGCGGCTTTTCTATGGTGAAGGTCGGGGTTGTGGAGACTAATGTATCATATCCATTCTGTCCATGCTCTAGAGTATGCGCGAAATTACTATACTTCACTTGACACTGCGCAGGAAGGGAGCAAAAGCTGAAGTGTTCAAGAAGTCAGTACCTCCGGACTGCTCGCTTTTCTTACTACTGAATTTTCCACACTTTCAAGCGATTACCATCTTGGTTTGAATAGGTTTAGCCACTTACTGTATAGAATTCTCTGATACTTTGCCTGGTACCTCCTAGCTCGAATAGCAGCTCGAATATGTCGCGGTATGCTGGTGATGGGTCAACCGCCTCCTAATGAGAATCTCTCTCAGCTCTCTAGGCACCGTCAACAAAGCGACCCGCCTCAATGAAATCTGCGCGCCCTTTAGGGCAAGCTTTAGACACTTCTTTGCTGCCTAATTATAATGTTATTTCTGTTTAAGAACTAATGAACGGCTTTATTAGTAACGCTAACGCAGAAAATTCTAAGCTTAAGCTTCACGTATTTTCATTTGTAGATAGCAACAAACAGTGCTAGGATCTAAGCTGCAGCGTGATTAGATAGTGACTTATGTGCCTATATTCTAACAGTACTATATACTGCTTTGCAAGAGATGTTAAAGTCCCCTGCTTTCTAACCCTAGGCAAGTGATTTTTGACGCATGCCAGGATTGCACTGCCTAGGTAGGGAGAGATCTCTTGCTTAGGCCATATTTTTCCTAAGATCTCCAGCAATGGGTGGCGAATTGTTGTCCGGTTGAATTTGGGTAGGTTAGTAGTAGACTAAAGTAAGGCTTTTTCGAAATTTGGTAAGAGGGAAGGTTCCACCAAACTAATGTTTTTGTGTTTGCTAGTTTACCACTTCAAAAACTCTCGCAAGTCCATCTCCAAACGACTGCTAAAAAATAGCTGGGCATCCATGGCAACCTGGTTGGTGTGAACATCTGCCTTCCTTCAGCATTTAGGATATGTACAGCTGTCTTGAATGGCTGGCTGATAACAGAAACCCGCGTCCCTTTGACGTGTCCCATGATTTCAGCAAGAGGTTTGACGGATCAAAACCATCCTGTTCATTTACGGCAACCTATAGCAGTATGCTAGAACTTCAAGTGCTATTTGTACTGCCTATTGTCTTAGTACCTATACCATCTTTTCGTGCCCTGTACCTTTGAGATTACATATTTCTGTCTCTTTCCCCGTATATAATGAACTGGTTCCCCTGTCTCCCCCATCATCTCTTCTTCTTCTTCCTGCTCCTCTCCCACCTCCCCTTCTCCGTCTTCTCCATATTCATATTCACCCTCCTCTTCCTCCTCTTCCTCTCTTTCCCTCCCTCCCTCCCTCCCTCTCCCCTTCTCTCCTCCTTCCTCTCCCACTTTCTCTCCATCTCCATCTCCCCCTCCCTCTCCCTTATCCCGTCTAAGTCCAATGTCCTTCCCCTGAATCTGAATTTGCAGCTCTTTAATCTCTCGGTCTTGCATCTTTATCTGTTCCTCTGTAGTCTTCTGGGTGGCGTTAATCTTTACACCTATCTGCTCCTTCTTGTTGCCATAGCCATGGAGGAGTAGTTCGCTAGAAATGAACCTCGTGGTGTGCCGGACACACGAGTCGCTATTAGAAGATAGAGTCATCATCTGTGTCGCTGGGCGACGGCGCTTTGGGGATTGATTGGTGGTGAGCATGGATGCGATGGAGAGATTGCGTTTAATTGAAGTCATCTTGAGGGCAGTGGGTGGATATTAGTGGATGGTTGCTGGCAGACGATGACTGTTGACGGCTGATGGTTGTTAACAGTTGATTGATGTTGACGTAGATGTTGGTATTGGATCAGCCTTGATGGCGATGAATGTCTCAATTGTGTGGATGCTGGCGGGAAGAAAGTATGACAGAATAAAACGATCGACCTTATATACAGCTACTGCGTCGTGTGTTGATAGTGCGTGACAAGAGAAATGGCACTAAAGCCTTCCCAACCATATATCCAACCCTACTAACACAGTCACCCATTCTCCTTGACATAATTTTTCACAATACGCCAACCAATAATTTAAATCAAATAAGGAGAAGTTATCAAATACTGCTTTAGCCGTGCCGAGAAGGACACGATGTTCTGTTTGACGCGACAGTACTAGTGGACGCGCACGAGCGTGTGAATATTGGCTTTCGTCAACGTGTCTCTCTGCACCAGTCAACAGTTGTCGATATGAGCATACCTACATGCCAGTGGGGTGGGAAGGTAATTTTACAACATGTAATATTACGACCGAAGCCAAATATGTGCGAGTTGTTGAACTAGGATCATTGTGGTGGCACTAAGATATTAGAAAGGTGAGAATATGATAGAATTGCCTAGAAGAAATAGATCTTAGCAAGTTGAAAAATCGAAAAATCGATAGTATTTTGATCACTAAAAGAGCTCTGTTCAAATAGTTAAACTTGCCTGGAGACTTATATCCATACATCAGCCAATCCTTCTTCACCCACGTCTTAAGCAGTTTAGTGGTGTCCAGAAACTAGGATACGGCTTTGCTATTAAGGGGGCGAGAAGTCTCCTCCACCTCCTTCAGGTCTTTGGCATAATTCTACGTCTTCTTCTTCTTCTTTCTTGTCGACTTGGCAATCTCACTAGCAGCTCGTCGGCTGGTTCATATGGCGGGCATTCTCCATATTCCGTCCCAGTACATATGAGCACTCTTGGAAGTAGATATTCAAACCGAATGTGATTCGTAGATTGTTGGGCTGCCATTACCCTTTCACAGGGGACTTAAGGCAATATTGTCGGAGGAAATCCCGGATCTTTTCGAATGGTAGTGTTTCCCTCCAGTCTCGCATTGTCAGCGCATATTTTCTCACGGAGAGTATCCATGAGAGCGTTGGAGCCGGTGTCGTTGGGTCGGGAGAGCATAATGTTTCGGAAGGAGGAGATAAGTCTGGGGATCCATTAGTCCAATTAAGATGGAAAGGTCAGAGGGTCAAATCGGTACTTACACATTCCAAGGAAGACGGGAAGGTCCGACGCGTCCGGGCGAAACCTGGTAACACGTGAGAGGCCCCAAATGGAATAGGATGCCTTAGCCTTCTCTTGGTGACCAGCGCACGGTCCTGCGCCGACATCTCATATTTAGTGGGGTATCCTGGGTTTCCAGGAGCTGGAAGTTAATAGTTTATTTGATGCTTCAGATTCTAACTAGTTAGACAGGGCCTATCTCACTTCCAACAAGCCTACACCTTCTCGTTCTCTAATCTTAAAACTCCTAAACCCCTTTCTCTCCTCCTCCGATTCGTAACCTCTAAAACTTTGTTATCTAGACACCACCACCAATTCCTAAAGAACGTCTCTCCAACCTCCCAGGCCTCTTCCGCTAACTCGTTCCCTTCTCCCCACCCTACAACGTTTCCGTGCACTCGAATCCCATCCTTAAAGTCGTCCACATCATGCATAATTTGCATGATAGCCTTTCCCTGTCCATCGCCATCATCATCATCATCATTCCTTGCAATTGGTGGACGAATTGCTGAAGGTAAGGCGAACATGCAGATTAGCTTTTCACGGACCGAGGGCCAAGGCAGAGTGTCGAGAAGCGGGTGGTGCGGGATTGCTATTTGAGCGGGGGTGGGGTGGAGGTTTAGTGGGAGAGAGGCGGGAGGGGTTGGAGAGAGCGTGTGCAGGTGGAAGGGGTTGTATATTTCAGTGACGACGTTAAGCATGGTGGCAATTGTGCCGAAGGCGCGCAAGGCGGAGAGGATCGGTATGGTGAGTTGGGCTCCATCTGGAGTTAAGGGGAAGTTGAATTGTGGTGGTGATGGATTTGAGCTTGCTTGTGAGGGATAGTGTACGGATGAGGGAGAGGAGGGGAGTGGACTCGGGAGTGTGCTGAAGTCTGCGAACGCTATGAGTCTAATTTCAACAGTATGAATAACAATTCATACCTATTGAAGAGACGCTAAAGTCAGGAAAGAGTGGAAAGTCTAGGGCACTCTGTTCGAAGTCCATCATAGGAAACCCTACATCATCCGGGTCCCTTAGGATCTCCTCAACTGCTCCTGCCCCCTTGTCTTCTTGGGTGGTTTCGGCTTCTGATTTCGAAGTCGAAATGGATGCGTTTCTTGACCCAAGTCTCAAAGTCTCGTCTTCTGATTGATTGAATAGTGGAGTAGTGGTTAGGCCCTTAGCCTGAGCTTCCAAAGTCGCGATCTTTTCTCTCCGCTTTTGGCCTATGCGAGAGCATCAGTACGTCTTTGCTAAGATTGAGTCTATGCAAAATGCTATATATCACGACTTACGATATCTTCTTTGAGCTAGGACATTAAGCACCCTCTTTCGATCAGGATCGCCAAGCTCAGGCACGTTCGTGGGAGTGCGGGTGTTCTTTCTCTTCTCTGTAGGCATGTTGTTATGGTATGCAACGTTCACGTTAAGTTTGGTGCGGAAATTTAATGATCGCACGAGTCCTAGAGAGAGAGGAAGGATTATATGAACCCACTGGAAGAGCATAACGTTATGGCCTTCGACCCGACTAAGCTTGATTAAGTTTAGCTCAAGCGTCGATCCTGCATTCGGAATATTTCGCGAAGTGTGACACACTCTTCCACGTCGTCAATGGCGCTCGAGCAAATCCGTAAAGCATCTGTGGTCGGTGCTTGATGCAAGATCCAAGGCGAATTGCGAAGGCGGCTGGAAAACGTTATCATACACCTTTCTTCGAAATGCTGCCAAGTCCTTGGGTCGCTCAGCCTGCTTCGACAAGTAAGGATAGCTCTTCCACACCGTAAGTGAATGTTGATATAGAATGCTTTAGTGGCTGCCTAAAGGGTTGTGGGAAAAGTTATCGACATGCTCATATCGTTAAGGCAGGGGAATAAAAGGACGTCAAGGACGCTCTCGATTTGACATCCATCAAGCACACCAATCCGAGATATATCATCCTCATCAGTCACACTTCATCCAAACAAAAGGTTGACATCAGCACCAACCACACGTCCATTCATCATGGCACCTGGGTCCATCGCGTCTCATAACCAAAGTGAGCGGCTCCTCGCACCCAAGCCCATGAATGAACAGTATTCTGAGCCCCTCTCATCCACCTCCTCTGGAGCCATCAGAGCCCTTTCCATCCTACGCATTGCAGTCGGTGCGGGTTGCCTCATTGCACCACGTTGGACCTGCGCACTTTTCCAATTCCCAATTGCTGCATCCGTCTCGGTGATGCCACGTCTCTTCGGCGGCCGCGATCTTGTCCTTGGAGAGCTCCTAATGACGGCCGAAGATGAGAATGCTCATGATGGAGGGAGGAGAGAGATCAAGAGGGCTCTTTGGGCAGGTATTGGAACAGATGCGATCGATATAGGTGCCATTGCATTTGGAGTTGCCACGGGAACAGTGGGAAAGTTGCCAGGGGCAATTTTTGCTGGAGGTGCGGTCGCATTCATTGGCCTGGGTGCTTTGGGTATGAGAGGGCTGTGAGACGGAAATGGTATGAATGACAATGAAGGCGTGTGAACAACATGCTACTTATTGCTGAAAGGGTAGACGATGGTGGTTTTACGTACACGGACGGAGAATATGATCAGGGATGAGGATCTTGCAATATGTGTGCGTTTTTACGTTGTTCTCGGGTTTGATAGATAAGAAGAACGAATAATATGGACACGGGGTCGGAGGAAATGGAGCACCACACGTCTTCAGTGTGAGGTGAGACTTTTAACTGTAGTGATGCTGGTGATTCAACAAGCGGGATTGCTAAAGGAGTCGCTTGAGTAGTCGCGTGATAACGCGCTGAATGAATGAGAGAACGTGGTGGCGCGTAGCGAACAGTGTCCGGATTTGTTGGCGGGGTGATGAATGCCAAGGCTGACGTCTCAGTCCTGGAAACAAACAAGAGCAGAACTGGAAGAAACGACACGTGAAACTGTAAGTATGTATTGCCCACAACAAGACTCGAGAAACCAAGCTGAGGCGTTGACTGACCCTCAGTCCATGAGCAGCAGTCCCAGGAAGCATCGCGGCCCGTTTCGCCCGATCAACACGCTCTCCTCGCCCCGGAAACCGACATTTAACACGGATACTGTGCGGGCTGAATCCCCGGCAGGAGGTCACTCTGACACAGATTTCATAAGCAATTCGAGTTCTCTTTTCGAAGAAGCGCAACTAGAAACTCGTCGCGTTCCGTCAGAGTGCAGACTCTCCGAAACGGCTCAACTGCACAAAGGCGTTTCCGTGGAAGATTCAGGCAACATGGTCAGGGAACGGGAACCTCCGGTACCTAGCCAGCGTACCGAGCCTCCCCTTCCAAAGGTATTACAAGATCTGACAAACACTTCACCAGAGTTTGGAAAGACAAGTCCGCTACGGAACTCGCTCAAGAAAGATATCCAGAAGGATCCATACGCGCATCTGTTTAACGCACCGAAACCGGGTCAGGCAAGACCCGAGCACCACCGTGTGCCCTCATCGCAACCTCCACCGCCGCCAGCTTACGCCTCAAGCGGGTATAGTGTAACTGGCTCAGGGCATCAGCATGCGCCGACCTTCCCACAATCGTCATCTTTATATAGCAATGGAGGAGCTGCTCTACCACACCCATTCAAGCGCGACCAGCCACAAGGCAGTTCTCGCTATAGCACAGCCTCATCCACCGGATCTGACATAGTTGAGATTCCTTCTGCACAATTTCAGCCACGTCAGCCATCGTACAGCATACCGATTCCGAGGCCAATGAATCCCCCAACCCGAACCACACAGGCAGCTCCTCGCCCCACCTTCTCCTCAATTAACCTTGTGAATAACTTCCAACCCACCAACCAAGGCTTTAATCCCGTCAATCCGTTTCATGGGCCTCGACAAACTATCATCCTCGATGACCTCCCTCGTAAACGTGGCGATGATGATGACGATGACTTTGATCCCGATGCTGAGATACGTGCGCAAGGCAGCGAATTTGGTGCCCCCGACCTGTATGCATACGTGGATCAGTCCAAGGCCAACGAGAACATCAAGGCTCTTTTCGAAGGCGGGTTGGATGACGAGGAGAAAATTCCTCGAATGAGGGGTCGGAAAAAGAAGAAACAAGAAGAAGAGAAGGCTGCGAGGACGTTGGCCGAAAAGCTACAGGCCCTAGAATTAAAAGAACATGAGGTGGACACATCCGCTACAGAGGAAGATGAAGACGAGGAAGACGACGGGACCGTCGACGGTATGAAGGTCAAGTTGCTGCCGCATCAGGTAGATGGAGTTGCATGGATGATTGAAAAAGAGACTGGAGCTCACAACAAGAGGGCCAAACTTACAAAAGGAGGAATCTTGGCCGATGACATGGGACTTGGAAAAACCATTCAGGCGATAGCCGTAATTCTTTCCAATCCCCGACCAGAAAAGAACACCGAGCCCGAGAATAAAAGGAACAAGATTCTACCCTCCGTCGGAAAGGGCACCCTCATTGTTGCTCCTTTAGCTCTCATCAAGCAATGGGAGGGGGAGATCAATTCCAAAATCACCAGTTCCCACAGCTTGAAAGTCCTAGTACATCATGGATCCAATCGGACCAAGTCGTTTGATAAACTCAAGGGATACGATGTAGTTATCACCACATATCAGGTCTTGTCGTCCGAGCACGCTAGTTGCGGTGATGGCCCCGATGGACTTAAGAAGGGTTGCTTCGGAGTTCACTGGTACCGTGTTATTCTCGACGAAGCTCACACCATCAAGAACCGCAACGCCAAGATGACTAAAGCATGTTACGAACTGAAGTCTCACTACCGATGGTGCTTGACTGGAACACCAATGCAGAACAACCTAGACGAGCTTCAGAGCTTAATCAAGTTCCTCCGCATTGAGCCGTATGCTACTATGTCGAACTGGAAAGAATCCATTACTGGTCCAATGAAGAATGGCAGAGGAAATCTCGCGATGAAGCGACTTCAGATCTTCCTGGGGCGACTCATGAAGCGCCGAACGAAAGATGTCTTGAAGAAAGACGGTGCTCTCAACTTTGGCGGCAAGTCTAAGGATGGCCAAGAGAAACAAGGATTCCAGATTGTTGCCCGAAATGTTGAAACTGTCGTTGGCGCGTTCACCACCAAGGAGCGCGAGTTTTACGATAGGTTGTCCAATCGTGCAGAGTCGCGTCTCGCGGAAATGATGGGAGGTGCGAAGACGGATTATATTGGAGCTTTAGTACTGCTACTTCGGTTGAGGCAGGCCTGCAATCATCCTAACTTGACGAAGAGCAATGTGAAGGATGATAAAGATGCCCTGACAACAGATTCCAAGTCCGGTCCTCGGTCCGGTACTCAGACTCCCCGCAAAGGACAGAACGCAGATACAGACGACCTTGCGGACCTATTCGGCGGGTTGAGCGTCCAGACTAAGCGCTGTGATGTTTGTCAGCTTAAGTTAACGAAGGATACCGCGGCCGTTGGTGCGATTCGATGCAACCATTGCGAGGACGACTTAAATGCTTCACAGAGGAAAGTCAAGAAACACAAGAAACACAAGAAACATGGGCACAAGGAAAAGAGCAAGAAACACAAGAGATCGAAGGGCGAACAAAGCGAGAAGGAGGGGAGCTCCAAACTCTCACGGCAGCGCCGGATTATTCTCGATAGTGACGATGAGGATGAGAGTCAAGGTGAATGGATTGTTCCAGAAGGTCAACAGGTGGTCTTGGATCTTGGAAAAGCTGGTGGGACTGACGACGAGAATGCCGAAGGCGGTGGTGATTCTCTCGGTTCGGAGGATTCTGACTCATTTGCAACTGAAGATGAGGGTACGCCATCGAAGAAGAGGCAAGATGATTCGTTCATTGTTCATGATACGGATGACGACGATGATGGCCCTTCTGTGCACAGGAAACTTCCTAAGAAGAGCAAGGTTATTAACCTAGTTTCTGACGATGAGAGCGACTCGAGAACAGACTCTGATACAGAAGATTCAGACTCTGAAGCCGGCTCGGAAGAGTCTGAAACCGGAGAATCTGATATTGAGTACGACGCCTCGGATCTCACGCCATCCACAAAGATCCGCCAATTACTCCAGATATTGGAGAAGGAGACCCCCGATCACAAGGTCATTGTCTTCTCTCAATTCACCTCCATGCTCGACCTGATCGAGCCCTTCTTGCACAGAGAAGGCTACAGCTTCACGCGATATGATGGCAGCATGCGCAACGACCTGCGCGAAGCTAGTCTCCACAAGCTGCGAAACGATAAGCGAACGAGGGTCCTTTTGTGTAGTCTAAAGTGCGGTAGTTTGGGTCTCAATCTCACGGCTGCCAGCCGGGTGGTTATCATGGAGCCCTTCTGGAATCCGGTAAGTCCTCATTAGATGAAACCTACCCTCGTTAGACATCAGCTAACACCTCGACAGTTTGTCGAAGAACAGGCCATCGACCGAGTCCATCGCCTCAACCAAACCGTCGACGTAACAGTCTACCGCCTCTCCATCCACAATTCCGTCGAAGAACGCATCCTCGAACTCCAAGAAGCCAAGCGCAAACTGGCCGAAGCCGCGATTGAAGGTGGGAAAGCGATTGGCAAGCTTGGTATGGAAGATATCCTGAAGTTGTTTAATCGCAATGCGGAGTATGATCACCAAAATGTCGATGATGGGAGTGAGAGGGCGATCTTTGAGAGGACGAGGGTATTAGAGAGCCCAGCGAAACAGGCTGGGCTTACGGGCATGGTGGAGAAGGGTCTTTCTATGATGTTGGAGCCGACGAACTCGGGTGGACCGAGGAGGAAGCCTGGAAGTACGGGGTTAAGGAGAGTGGAGGATAGTGTATGGGGACGGCGTTGAGGGGGATGAAGTCTTGCGCATGGAGTCCCTGTGTCAAGGCCTATGATGAATGGCTAGTTTCGTGTAGTATTTGCGATGATGACACATCTTTTCGGGGTGGCGTTGTTGGGCACGCGGAATCGTGGTCATGTGTGCTCAATACGCCAATTAAGCCAGTACAACCTCCTGGATATCGTGTGAACTATTTGTATTTGCTCATCTATTTAATGTTTTAACCTTTCTTCTGTTGAGGGTGTCCTGAAATAGTACAGAAGATGGATTCCTCCCTGGAATTAGTAATTTTATGACCATCTGAGCTTTGTAAAGGGTCTACCATTCTCTTCAAACATCGATGAGAGGCTTGTCGAGCATAAGAGTAGTGTTAATCCTCTCATGTAGCTGACTATGAGGATGGCCATCCCCTTTAGATCCAGCATCAAGCTCTTCAGACCACATCCCAAAAGAGTTACCTTCACCCTGATTTCCACCACCCGGCTTCACCCACGCTACAACCTTTGGGTCCATCCTATGCATACTATCCTTCTACTTGCATCCTAGGGTCCTTCCCTTGTCACAACCATCCTTCTGGCATATATGACCGTTATAGCAATCAAATCGGCGACATCGACCTTCCTTCCTGCATGGATATTCCTTGACCAAATACTGGAGCGCCTGGAATGCTGCTGGTTCCAGCTTCCTATGGTCAAGCGTACAAGATTTGGCGGTGCATTTGCCTAATAAGTGGAAATTGTTGCAGAGTTTGTTAACATTAACCCGGGTGTTGTAGATGTTCCATCCAGTTGCTGTAGGGGTTCGGATAGAGATATCTAGGCGCTCGTTGTTAGCGTTTAGAGGAATCATGCCGGGAACGCCCCAGCGAGGGAGGGGCATGCGAGATGGAGGATGTTTCTGCATTTTCCGAACCTGTTCCCTCCATCGGAGGTACAGAGGACGTTCGAGTCGAGGTTCTGTTAACTGGGATACGGTCGAGCTTGAGACTCGGTCGGGGAGAGTGACCCTTGGAGCTTATTAGCATTTGATTTAGGCGTCATAGGAGGTGCTATAAATGTACCTTTTGGGAATCTCTGCACATTTGACCATTATGATGTCCGCTTGTGTTGCCCGTGGCGAGGCGTCCATTACGTCCTGTGGGAAAGCTTTGGAGAATTGGCGGCTTCGACATACGGAATACGGATGGAAACGACACAAATTTACAGTCAGGAGGCTGGAAGTTGTTTAAATCACCTCGAATGACGGTGGCCTTGCCATTGTGGGTCTTCAACAAGTCGTTGTAAGAAGCGGTGAAGGGTGGGCCAAGGAAGATATGCTGGCATAGCGGATCTTTGACGTAGTATTTGAAGGCCTCTTGAATCTTTGTCTGGACGCCATTTCGATTTCCTACATTAATGAAGTCAAAGAATCCAAACGCATTGGAAAAGCTACCCGCGAATGACCCAAGAGCGCGCGGTGTGGCGTCTACTAATTTGGCTCTCCATGCATCCTTCGATAGTTCTTTTAGGTCCACATAGACGCGTATTATCAGGTGGAAAGCCTCTGGAATCATCAAGGTTTTCGATACATATTTGCGGATTTCTGTGTCCAGCAGGTGCGAGGCTTCAGCGCCACCTTTGCCGTTTGCCCGTAAAAGGTCGTCTTGGAACTTCGGGATAGAATTTAGCTAATGAGCATGAGTGGATATACATTAAACTTACATGGTGGCTATGGCCATTGATCAGAACTAGAACAAAGTTATTTCCAGCTGCGGTTTCGCCTGTAACATGTTCGTAATCTTGCTTTAGCTGGGTGTATTTTTCCAGCAATGTCTCGTAGCATTTGATCAGGTCCCTTTGATGTTTCTACACCTATTTGTCGTGTCCTATGTCTGGTCTTAGTAATAATCATTCATAATTGGGGTAGCGTCTACCGGATTTCTTGTTCGGTTTGCTCCCCAGCGAACTTGAGCCTAAGTAACTGCGATTCGAGCTCATCGAACTCTCTTTGGCCTCCCATATTTTGGCCACGACTAGAAATGAGGGCTGCTATAGATTGAAGTCGAGAAATTTCATCGTAAACACAAACGTTCTGAGTGAAGGTTGAGAAACACGCAACGTTGTTGCCGGGCCAGCCGAATTTGGTTAGCGTGGTGTCTTTGCCGCTTCCTGAGGAGCTACAGATGGTCAAATTTGTAATCGCTGATATGAAACCTGTGATGATATTTTGTTAATATTCGCTCTGCTGAAAATCTTGAACCAGAAGACACCGGTGATGTTGAAGGCCATGATAATAAGTGAAGATGGCCGGCTCAGGATGAAAATGAAGTGTCTATCGAGCCGAAGAATGCTGCCATAGGGAGAGCTAAAGAAGTCTCAAGTTAGTCAGACTCCAAGCTTTCGTTGTCTAAACCTTGAGGCTTGTGCCCTGATATCTTTACTTCCTTGCACCTCAACCTAATGCCTCTTTGCGAATTTGACGGTCTTTGGACTTGATCTCAAACTGGTTCCAATTGGATGAATTGAAGGGCTTGTCAGGGTCTGACGTTAAAAGGGTTTCCAGACCTTGGTTATGGTCTCCCTATCAAAGTCGGTATCTACGCGAAGTCAGTTAGCTAGCCCTATAGAACGATACCAGGGAATAGACGCGCAAAGGATGGATATGTGGGCCGAGACTTGAACGCCTCATCAAAGCTTCCCACTTGGTTTGTTACGAGAAAGAGAGGACCTTTGTGATACTGAAGAATGCGTAGAACAATAGGTATACTGTTGTTTTGGTAAGCGAATATTGTATCCGCTTCACTAAGTAACATGATGCAATTACATTTGTTTAGCCTTTTAAACTAGTTACTCCTAGCGGCATTACATCGTCCCTTTAGTCTAAGAAGGCAGTTTCTTCACTGTTTCAGAAAGAGGATCAGGAATGAGCGAATCTTACAAATTTTATTTCCCTCTCGGCCAAGTTTGACATTAATACATAAGATCTGGCGGTATTCAATTAGACAAGCCTGTAAGCCGGAAATGGTTCGTTCACCAATGTAGACTTGAATGCAGCGCGAAGTGAGACCTTCTAGCTTACTAAGGTCCAAAACGTAGGCACTGAAGTAGAAGCGCATCACTTCAGCGATAGAAAATTATTTTTGGCCTACCTGTGAGAAACTGATGGGGGTGGTCTGCGAAACTGTGCCATCCACCGTCCCACCAAAGAACTTTCATGGTAGGTGGACTTGGAGTCGTGGGTTTTGCTTTCGCTAACACGTTTGTCAATAATCTCATCACAAGTTCTGAATAGATTCTAACGGCTAGTGAAACGAACTTTCTTGCTATGCGACTGCGAAGAAGAAAGACGATAGGCCTCAAATGCTCATCAATGAGTTAGCGTGTCTGAGGTCTTCTCGGCGTGAACATTTTTGGTAACCTAGAGCATCTTATAAAAGGAACTTTGAAGAACGAAGCATGTGCGTAGTATCATGAGAGCTTTCAATAGAGTGTTGAAAACCCCCTTTATTAGTGAATGAAAAAAATTTGGATGGTACAGTCCGAAAGACTTGCGATATCGCTCTGGAAACGGATAGTACAGTCCCTCGCGAAAGTCATTAGCCACCCAGTGATCTAAGCTCTAGATGGGTGAAGTTAGCTATTTTAGCATAGCAATATCTCTGTTAAAAATTAATTAAATTTAAAAAATTTTAGTTCTATAAGAAGCCTATATATAGGCTAGTTTCTTAGTGTTATAGCTAGTTAATAGTAAGTTAATCTGCCTTTATTTTAGATAACTTCTTTTATGCGCTTTAACTAACTAAAGATACACTTCTTATAATTAGCTAGTTAAATTTTTAACTACTCCTTCTATAGGACCTTTACTATTTGCTAGCAAGTAGTAATATATTCTTGTTACTTTAAGATGCGCAACTTTATAATCTGCTAAATATTCTTAATTAGATTTAAATTAAGGCTCTATAGAAGCTACTTTATCTAGATTATATTATAATTATTTATATACTTTTAAGTTGCCTTTGTAGTGTGTATAGAGGCTCTATCCTGCATTTAGATGCTAATCTCTTAAGCCTTTATAAGTTCCTAATAAAATAGAATCCTAATGTTGTGTAGAATCTAGCAGTATTTTCTAAAGTTGTTGCGCTTACTGTTAGTGTTAATATAAAGCTTTAATTTACTATTAAGAGATATTACACTAAAAACACTAACTATAGTTCTTTTAGACTTAAATGTAGGCTTTAAGGAGCAGCTTTTGTACCTACGCCTAGCTCTTTAATATACCTATAAAGGCGTAGTATCTAATCTAACTTTAAACATAGCCTTATTATAAAACGCTATACAAGCTACGTCCTTATCTTTATTAAATTAGTGTATTTAAGTAAATTAGAGTTGCTTTTCTTTATACACAGCTAACAGCTAAGGCTTACAGCGTAGGCAGAAGGCGTAGTACTTGTTTTTTGCAAGGTATTTCTTTATAGTGTAGGCATAGATCTAACATCTAGCGCTTACTTTATAAAGGTAGAACTGCTATATTATATTAACAGTATATTTAGACAGCTCTTTTCTTAAGGTTTTATTTAGCTTTAGACTTATTAAAAATAGGGTTCTTTTAATAGAGTTATGGTGGGTTAATTTTAGTGCATTTGTGTGGTGGGGGAAGAACTTGGCTAAGTGGCCAATCACTTATGCGAGGGTACTGTACCATTCATTGGATAAAGAAGCGTCTGGGTGTTATTGCTCGCTAGTTAACACTGTCATCACATAGGTCACTAAAATGAAAGAATCTTTGAGGCTATCCCTGACTTCTTCAATCCGAACCCGAAGACAATCTCTCTTAACGAAACTCAACAGGCGTAGTCGTCCCTCAATAGCTTCCTGTTCTGCTGGAGTTAAACTAGCGTAATACTCACTGGCAAACAAGATAAGGGTGAACGGACGTATAAGTCCTCTAGGAACAGAGCTGAAGATTGCTCTAGGTGAACAAAGATAAATGTATGGAGACGAAGATGATGCTTTACATAGAACAACTCAACGCAGATTTTCATCTTTAAGTCTGATCCGGTGATTGTTTGCCTGCTTAACACATGATTAGCGATCAAGCCGACGTTTGACGCATAGAAGATGGGCTATATAGATTGACCGGACTGTTCAGAAATTGACTGTATGTCCTTACGCTGGACCTTCCGGGGAGGCGGGTATAGTACTTCCTTTACTAGTCTATGTTATTAGATTAGCTTATTTATGACCTGAGTCAAAAAGTGAACGAATCTGTATACAAGGCGAGGCAGCTAGCGAACTTAATCTGCCGCTTCCAGAGGGCAATACAAACGCGACCACTATAGTCGAAGGTCATAGATTCAGGTAATCTCCAATTCCAAGATTGAACGAAATGGTCCCGGAGTCCGACGAACTCCTAGCTAGGCCTAGCGAATTCTGAAGTCTTGTATCAAGGGCATCCTCGAATTCGAGTCTAAGTCTTCACTTTCGTACCCGTCCGCACTCTTCTACCAGACATTAGCTGCAGGTGAAAATATCATAGTTCTATCTTTCTTTTGCGGCCTACATATCGAGGGTCTCTTGTACAATGGCTGAGTGGGTCACTTGCTAGAGGAAAAGCGTGGTTAGCCCAACTCTTGAATCAGGATATCTCGTTTTCCATTCCACTTGGCTATGTGCTGAAGGTGTTGAGGAGTTCATGTCGAAGTGCCCACGGTCACTCAGAACCCTTCTCTATTAGCACCAAGCCAGCAAAGTCACATTGGTTATCGTTATAATGGGTGGCTTAGAGTACTATGACTTAGGTTGGAGGATCAAGTCCAAATTTCCGTCCGATACATGACTGAATTAGTGCAGCACTCTTTTGGGGTGGCGGAGGTCATACTTACTGCTTCTAGCACGGCAATACCAGAGCACATGGTGGAGAGCTATAGGATTAATGAGAGGTACAAATTAAGGTCCTAATCTCCCCATCATCGAATTGAGTCTTTCATCTCTTCTACCCTGTCCCCTTCACTTTGAATATATTCTGGTTTCCCAAGGTTAACTACACAACCCTCCTGCTATGGAAAGAGTTCCGAATGCGTTGGCCACTTCCACCACGTTCATAATCGGTCCTCCCTTTTAAACTAACCCGATATCGGCGGCCGAATGACGTCAAATATTTTATGAAGCAAATGGGCAAATAAACAAAATTGTACGATACTAGCATCGAATACTGGAAGCGTTTAAGACTAGGGTATTGCTTCCAAGGCTAATGCTAATCTGCTTGCTGACGTGGAGTTTCTGTTTTGTTTTCATGATGTTATAGGTAGGCTTTAAGGTAAATAATAGGCACGTATTTCGAATACCAGAAGTTCTTTAGCGCTGGTTTCTTTACGGAGCTTCGAAGCTTGAAAATTTGGATTCCAGCACCGAAGAAGTGGAGATGCCGCGTCTGGCAGAGTAGGTGCATTAGAGCTTGTAGGCATCTTTGCAGAGTATTTCGTCGTACTACTTGAACATTGTTGAGGAAGATTTAGATGCTTGAATTAACGAATTAGTAGTTGATAGGCTGACGGAAAGGGCTGGATGAACGAACGTGAGCAATAGCAGGATTCTTCGAGAGCGCGTTGGTAATGGAACCCCGTTGCCTGGCTCGAATATTGGAGCACTGTTGTGAATGATTTGGAAGCCATCCATTTAGCGCATAATAGGTACTCTTCACAGAGGAGTTTGAATTGAGTGATACTTTGTTTGCGAGTTTTAGTACTGTGTGCTTCCAAACACTCTGATAGCTCGTACTATAGCTTAGTCAGTGGGGTTACAAAGAGATAGAGATACATTCTACACACTCCTAGAAAAGCGTGGTTGGATCCTTCTGCTCTTTTGACAGATTGAGCAGAGTTAAGATCATTCCAACTAAATTCTGCCCTGCTCAAGACCTAATCAACAAAGCTCCCGTGATTGCTACAACAGGCGCATAACCCCAGTGGGCCCACTCCCCATCCCCAACCATCCACTTACACACTACGCCATCCACCACCGCCTGCGCTGCTGTGGCCAACAAGATCCACCCCAGTACTTTCTCTCCGCTCTTTCCCTTCCCAAAAAATGCAGCGACATAGATAGCACAGCCGATGAAGATGTCTCGTGCGCCGTAGATAACCGTCATTGCTTCAATGAGGTTTTGGTCAGCAGCGGAAATGGAGGGCGACATGACGAGCTCGAAGAAGGTGAGAGCGTGTGCTGGACGTAAGATAGCGTTTATGCCAAAACCAACAAAGATTGTGGCGAAGACGGTGCTGGCTGTGCAGAGAGCGGATGCGCGAGTGAATGGCATATTGAAAGGTGTTGGAATGACTATTGTAGGTGAGCGGGTAGTGAAGATTATAAAGACCCCGTTGAACAATACCTTGATGCCGGGTTTTCTGGACTTCGTGAAGTATGGAAGTTTGCAGTCGCTTGAAATACTCGGACTCTAGAATTTCGTGATTTGCTTCGAGACTAACAAGGCAGCGTTTACCTTATATAACGTATACTTCGTGCTACTCCGGACCCCGCGGGAACCGTCCTCCGACGCGTCTAACGCACCTTTTCCGGAATAGATCGACTCCAGCTAGGCAACCCACCAATTAGCAAGGATTATGATCCCTATTACACGTGCTGTCGCGCCCCTCACGCGGGGCGTTGATATTGACCATTCCTGATTGGCCGCATGCGGTAGAGTCACAGCTAAGGGATGGATTCTGCTAACCTTTGTCATAAATGGGTTATGGTCGAACTTTTCTCAGAGCATGGCTGATTATGAAAGAGATCTGCGTTGAAGAAAAAACATAAGACATACATGTATGCATTACATTGCTTTACATTACCGTACAAACTTGATATCACTTCGCGATAGAAATCTCCGAATACCCTTCTTCGCCTTTGGCCCACTCTTAACGAGAGCAGCCTTCGCTGCATACTCGAAGACTTCATTCAGCCCAGTGCGGTTTTTGACAGATGTCTCAAAATACGCAAGAGCCTTCATTTTCAATGCGAGATCCTCGCACTAGAGCGCCTTGTCAGCACGACGTTCACTCATCTTAATATAGTTCGAAGCAATCTTACCTCCGGTATTGTTGGCATTACTTGACCTATAAGCTGTAATTGTTTTATCGATGCAGGATTTTCTCGCAAGTCTGCCTTGCATCCAACGAGGATCTTAGGAACATTTTTGAAGTAGGTATCTACTTCCTTGCTCCACTAGATTAGATTAGTGATTGGGATGCTAGACATTCATCTACGCTTTCACATACAAAAGTGGATACATTGTCGAAAGAGTCTGGGGTATTGATGTCGAAGCAAACCAGGACGACATGCGCGTCTTCGTATGATAGCCGGCGCAGCTTCTCGTAGCCATCCATTCCCGTGTTGTCCCACGTTACCAATTCTACTTTGACGCCTTCAACATCGACGAAGCGGATAAAATTGTTGAAAATGTCGAGTTTGTTGGACTGGAGCAAATTAGCTGAATTCGTGCATGGCTCCTAGAAAACAAACCTTGGGTAGTTGACCAGAACCTTTGTTCCATGCACTGGTATCAGGGTTAGTGGTGATTTAGTAAAGATGGGTGATGCGAACGCACTACACAAGCCAGGTTTTCCCACAGTAAGTGTCACCGAGCACTATCAGCTTTCGCCGCACAGTTTCTCCTTTCATTGTCCGTGTGGGTCCGAGTTGAGTTCGGTAGGTCAACTTGCAAGATAACTCCCCGGAGGTTGGACAAGATAACTCCCTGGGGGTTGGACAAGATGAATCCCTCAAATGCCCACAGCCAGGACACTTCGTTTCGGACAAGAATCGCAACGTCAATGATTTGCAGTTGCAACATGCCCAAGTGCCTGTGGGAACATTCTTTCCGGTATGGTTGGTCGAAGTCGTACCTCCACTTATTGGTGTGGTGGGCCCTTTGTCCATTTCCCGTGGCTTCGAAACTGGAACAGGCTTACCATCCATGCAACTGTTGACGTGTATTGAAGCTGCGTTGTCTGGAAGCCCCGACAGACTTGAGCTGCATATTGGACAAGAAGGCATAACCTCAACAGTGGGGCCACTTTGAGTCTTCTGCAGATTCAAGTCAAGTCTTGAGCTGCTCTTCTCAAGTGACCATCCTGGCCGCTCCATGGTCCGCCCATACTGTATAGCAACAGGGTCTGGAGTTCTCGCTTTATCTCTTGATATGTTCTCGGGTGCGGGGAATTGATCAAAACGTCCAAGAGAAGGCTCCCCAACAACCTCAAGCCCTACGTCATAGATTCGGGAACCATGTGTCGATATGTTTGCTCCTGGGTTTGGTTTGAGGACAGATGCTGTGGCTACCACTTTAGGTAAGTTATCATCTCCTGGAGACCATTCTGGCTCTGGTGGTTTTAGTAACGCAAATCGGTTTCGCTGCCAGCGCTGATATCGATTTGCAAGATCTGAATTCAAGCCAATGTCTAACGCCGGTGAAGAAGATATGATAGCAGGCATGTCGATATTTGATGCGTCCATATGTTCTGGCCTAGATAAGTATGAATCTGAAGCACTCCGCCTTAAGTTGGTCCCCTCGGAAGACGATTTGGTCCGGCTTTTCTCCGGTTGAGTGGTTGAAGGGACGTTGACAGCCACCGGAAGTGCAGCTTTAGCAGTTTCTGGAGATACCACAATCAACGGGAGGTCTGGTAGAGGTGTTCTGGCATTCGAAGGCTTGGTCGGAACTATTTTGGGGGAAGGGCTCTGTGGAGGAATATCGGATGTGGCTTTACTCTTAGGAATTGAAGGCTGGGGTTGAGTTGTGATTGGCGCTTGAGGTTTGATAGGTGGAGTAAGTATTCTCTCGACACTCGATGGCTGAGCAGAAGCTTGTTGTTTAGCTTGTTCCTCTGCTATTCGGACGTCGAGATCGTCTTCGAGGCGCTTTGAAATCCCCTGTCAGCAATGCGAACTGGCTGTATGAGGAATGGAGAAGTACCTGAGAGTCTTGGAATGATGGCGTAGATTGATTTCCTACTAGCGGTGTTTCATTTCGCTCGGCAGGACTCTGAGCTAGTTGCTCCGAGGAAGAAAGCTCTGGTTGAGGACGTATCATAGCTAGACTTTCCGAGCCGTCGGGCGGTGGAGATGGAATCTGCTTCATCTTTGCTTGGTGGGTTTCAAGCAACGCTGCATATGCCTCCCTCTCGTCCACCTTATCTTCTACTCTGCAGAGTTGAATGAGTAGAGTCAGGCATTGTTCGTAGCCTTTGAAGCCGTTTCCTCTTAATTTTTTGAAACCCCGAAGAGAACGTCGGGCTTGTAGGTGCGCCTCCATATACTCTTTGTTGTTCATCATCAGTTCAGCCAATTTCATGGTGTCCCATAACAAAACCTCGTCTGGCTTGCCAACCTGGCACTCTGTGATGGAAATTTTATCCACCATACAAGATTTCGCTTTGCCCCAATTGCCCTGCAAGCAATAAGTCTCGACAAGCAATGTCAATACTTCAACCTTTGACACGCCACTAACGGTTGCGATTTGAAGGGGGGCATAACTGGATTTCACAGGCATTCGTGACAAACAGTTGCGGAAGAGTCTTTCCGCCCCTGCGAGGTCTCCCGACTCTTTTCGCTTCATGCCATTCTTTAGCAATGCCCTGATTATCTCGTTCTCGATATCCGAGTCACTGTCAGACTGATACTCGCCGCCAGGTCCCTCACAGTCACTGGATTCGGCAGGCTTAGGCATTGGAGCCTCTAAATCTTCGTATTCATATACGGTGTTGGAATCTATCCATCTTAACATTGGTTCGTTGGCTCCTCTGTTGAAAATGTCGCCAAAGTCGGATCCATATTTGACTGACTTGATATCGCTATTCTCCACGGTAAGTGTTGTCGAAGCAGTAGATGCTAGATCTGCTGCTGAGCGAACACATTCTCGTAGGTTGTTCATTGAATTGAGCTCATGCTTGCTGCTCTGGTCGGACACTGTGCTTTGCAGCTTCTCGATCTTGGCATTCAGAACCGTTCCAAGGTTACGGAACTCCTCGTATAATTTATCTAGGTTCGGAATGATCTTCTCCGGGATTTGATCTGAAGATTTTTGAAAGGTCACCTGATTCCATCTGGGGGCCAGTTAGTACGCAGAGAAAAGGAGTGAATATAAGTTTTTGCTATCGCTGATTATTTTCTTTCAAATTTACCCGTGAGTACGCAAAGTTGTAGCCGTAGCAAAAAGGAATTATCAGAACTCACAGGATGACGGTGCTAAGGGAAAGTTGAAGTGCGCCACGATAGGATTGGATTCGCTCTCGGTACACGGCGATTTGATCTATCGCACTCTTAAAACGTATTTGTTTCCTTGGTCCATCGAAAAAAGATGTGGTTTTGTTGATGTTGTCAAGTAGGGTGTGTAGTTGTTCTAGCGTCCCGGTCCCATCTTTCAATGATCTCGCAAGATTCCTCCAATGACTTCCTACGTGGCCAGTTGCTTGGAGGTTCGCCTTGAGATCTTTTTGATCAAATGTTTCCTTCATAGACTCCAGCACGTGCTGGAATCCTTCGACATCGTTTAGCAATCCGATTAGCGTCGCATCCACTACGCTCACTTCGTCGCGAAATTGGTTAAGAAGGACCGTAACTTGGACAGAGACTTGAATGAGCGTAAGCACACTAGCGGCGATGGATAGAGGGTCAGCCATAGCGCACTTTCGCTATAAGGGCCGTCGAAACATGGAATCTTAACAGTGGGTGCGATCGATAAGGCTGCTGGAGGGAGCGGAGTTTAGCTGAGGAGAGGGAGTCCAGAACTCAGCCACATTGAGCTATTATGTGTAAAAATCGGGAAATTTCTTAGCGTTCCTCAGATCTTTTTTTCCCCTACAAAAATTGTATAGGAGATTAGAAACTTTATAGAACTTCTAATATATTAATAAATCCTTCCTAAATATTGTTAGTAAGTTAAAGCTTTAAGTTTATATAGAGGTACTGCTCTTAGCTTATTTTTTAGAGTAACAGTACAACAATAGGCTTAAAACAGAGGGCTAGAGAAGCCCCAGCCACCCAGACGCGTCAAATTAACTTAGATGGCGACCCTCCAGCCTATTCTACGCGGGAGAGGGCGCAGGGCCTGTCAAGCAAGGGCAAGGAGCCTGCTATAAGTACTAAACTAAAGTTAGCGCGTTGTAAGTTAAATAAATAGTAAGGGCAAAGTAGAAGAAGCTTACTACATCCTAGCGCCTACTAAGAGCAAGCCTGCCCCCTAGAAATTAGCACCTCCTGCTCTAGCTTAACAAGAATTTGTTCCCGTAGTTCCTGCGCGTCATCCTAAGCCTAATACCTTATCTAATATACTTTAAAAAAAGTTAGCATAGGTGCTTCTCTATACAAACTAAAAGCTTTAACTTACCTATGTAACAAGGTCGGCACAGTCAACCACGTGGCCTTCTCTCGCTTATAGATGTAACGATTCTACGAATTGTTCCATCTCGGGTCGCTCAGATCCTATCCGAAGGGTCCCCGTATCGGCCCCGACCATGACTTGACCTAGTCCCCTGCAGTTACCCCTATTCACCTAAGTATTTAGTCGCACCTCTCCTCTTAGCTAGCTTAGTAGTTTTCTAATATCCTTTTATACAAGGCCTATAGGTGTTAATAGCATTTCTAGGTTCTAAGTCCCCACGCACTTTTATATGCCTCTAAGTAGATTTCTACTGCATTTAGACCTATTGTCTTGCCTATGCTGTTACATTATATTAAAAAACTTACTTTTACTAGTAATAGCTTTATTAATAATATTACATTAATTATTTATTTAACTATATTTAACTTTAAAAAGTGTTTAATTTAGTTTAAGTTATAGTTTTTATATACTATTATATTAAATTATCTAGTTATTATAAATAAAAATTTAAAAACTTTTTATTAACTACAGCTTTTAAGTTTAAAACTTTTTATTTTTTATAATTAAAATTACTTTTAAAAAAGTTATAAAAAGTGCACTAAAGTAGAAACCTAAAGACTAACGTACCTAACGGGTTGGCCGGCCACACGGGTTGGCCGGCCACTTTTGCTAAGCCCCCACTAAACTCTACCTATCTACATAATGCCTTAACAACAACACTAGATTAAATCTTCTAAAGAACGTTAGATATAGCTTGCTTTTTAGGCTTTTAAATAAGACTTAAAACTCTTCTTGCAACGCGCTGCAGCTATCTATAATGTCTCTTACACAACACTAAGCAATTAACGCGCTAGACAGCCTTTATAAGCAGAATGCTAGCCTAAATTAAGAAATCTAACTAAGCTTAAAAAGAAAGTAGTTGTTAAGTACATACTTAAGCTTATTACACGCAGATTTTCCCTTAAGCTTACAGCTATAGCTAATATAGCTAATTCCTTACCTGCAGAGCACAATCTAGGCTAGGTTAGCTTAAACTAGACTAGTATGTAGGTTAAGCACTGCCCTAAGTTTATAATAAAGTTTAATTATAAGTATAATTATAAAAGAGCGCTTTATAAGGATCTAAAAGTTATCTAGGGCTAGTTTTGCCTAGTAGCTAACATAAAAGCTAAGTACAGTATCTAAAATAAAGACAAGTATAACTTTAACAAGTTAGGCTTTATAATAGGCTAGATATTAACTAGAGCAGTTATTACAGCTTTAAAAAAAACAAGGACAGCTAAAGGTAATATAGTAAGGT